CATTTTGGTTTCTCAGATTCATTTGAAGCAACGCGTAGTTTAACTTTAAACAGGTGTATTATCGCTGAGGACGCAACTGATACAATCCGGACCCGTGAAGATCCGGGTTAGAATTGATCTTCAGCAAGCCATGCCTGTCGTAAGAGGCGACTAACGGGATCGAGTGGTCAGGCTCGCTGACTTGGTTGACACATAGCGTCTATCTCAGTTGCGTAGACCGATGCTCATGCTGTTGATCACTGGATTGTCTGGTCCAGACTCGATTATTTACAGACCGCCGCCATATAGCTGGCTTATTGGTGAGAGCGGCGTAAAACTAAACTCACTCACTCTTCAAGATCTGATAGGAAAGTACATACCGTTGCCAGTGATCGATCGTTTTTTCACCCTCGTATATTATCAGCTGAACGTACAGCTTGACAGCGCTATAAAAGCCTATACCGAAACATCGCATCATGATATAATAAAGAAGTTGCCAGTATCTTACAGTTGGACGTGTGTCTTTAAGCGTAAAAGATACTAGCCGTACGTGTAAATAATAGAAATATAATATAGTGATAATTTCCTGCACGAAATAACGTCACAAGATCTAGCTCCCCAGGAGAGTGGAAAAACAACCGGATACCCACATTACGGGACAAAGAGAGGTGAATAATGGGGTGTCACATTGCTACTGAGACACAATCGTCACCAGCTACTGACTGGCAACTATAGGGATAGGGATATAGGGGTATATACACTGCCTATAGGGATATAGGGGTATAGACACTGCCTATAGGGATATAGGGGTATAGACACTGCCTATAGGGATATAGGGGTATAGACACTGCCTATAGAGATATAGGGTTATATACACTGCCTATAGGGATATAGGGTATATACACTGCCTATAGGGATATAGGGTATATACACTGCCTATAGGGATATAGGGGTAAATACACTGCCTATAGAGATATAGGGTTATATACACTGCCTATAGGGATATAGGGTATATACACTGCCTATAGGGATATAGGGGTATATACACTGCCTATAGGGATATAGGGGTATATACACTGCCTATAGGGATATAGGGAGTGGTGATAAAAGGGGATACGCCGGAAAAAAAACAAAAACAAAAAACAAAAAAAACAACCCCAAACAAACAAAAAACAACCACACAAAACAAGCAAAACAAAACAATGTAAACTTTCCGGAAAGAGTTTTGATTGTGACTTACAAAAACGCCAGTGTCTACTTTTGGTGAATGTTGCAAGAAATAGGTATGTATTAAAACATTAAATAACCGTCAGATACAGAGAAAGATAAACAAATGTTCCAGATCCTGCAATCAGAAGCAAAATGTTTCTCGTTCACTTTGACAGTACACAGTGAGGTCCATATACTGTCAAACAGTTGCATCGATCTTTGCAAAACTCTTTGAGCTATCAATGGAGCGACACAGCCGCAAAATGATGGCGAAATACGTGACGATCGTTTAAAGGCACTATTTCACACCACACTTCTCTAAAACTAAACAATGCGTTTTTGTCAATAATATTAACTATTAGCCCTCCGGGAAGCTACCATATTATTTAATCCAAAAATAATTACGTATTTAAATTACAATATTAAATTAAGTTAGAATGTATTAATGCAACGTTGCATTAAATCAACTCTCGCGCTCTCTACCGGCAGGATATTATTCCAAGCGAAGCCCATAGAGCTATGTTCCTTGGAACGCTCTTTACGAATATCCTTCGAACAACTTGTGATCGAAACCATGGGCTCCTTTCACGAAGCAACCTTTACTAAGGTTAACCATAACTCCCATTCTTTAACATTGCACTAAGGTTACCTTAGTGACTTACGATCACCTTAGTGCTTTGTGAAAGGAGGCCCAGTTCGGCAAACACCAACAACACCGCGTGCGACAGTTTTCGATTAACGGAGCAATCGTTTACATGCCATACATGGCAAGTGTTATCTGTCTGGAAGCTGTTCGCCTCGAAGTTTCAATTATCGATTTGAGGCAAGTCGTAAGGGATAATAAGTCTTTTACTGCATCAGTAGGCAGCAAAAGTGAGTGCTTATGCCCCAATATATAAAATATAGGCCAAAATATTGTCGAAAATGTGTGACATTGTGCCTTTAATGGCTTATGGTCTGTGCAAATGGGATATTAAAACGCATACAAGTCACTGTCCGTTGCATGCAATGTAGTTGCACAGATTGAAGACCCGGGTTCGATTCCCCACATGGGTACAATGTTTGAAGCCCATTTCTGGTGCTAAAAGCAGCGTAAACCTAAACTCACTCACTCACTTTACCGTACTTAGTTTCACTCTTGAAATTCTAGCATCCTTTACTGAATTATTGAATACAGTTGTCAGAATTAAAGTTATTTTGCGAATCGAACTTACTGTGCCCTCGAAGGAAGGTATTTGTGAGCGGTAGTGTATCTAGAACCCGTTGCTAATTTCCTGTTTAGGTTAGCGTCTCGAATCCAAATTACAACGGTTTTCCATTATGTTCGCTCGGCGGTAATCGGTGGATTTGGGGTAGATATTGTCTACATAACTATTACCTCAGTAATTTGAGTTCCCAGAAATAATTGTATCGCATCCTGTAATCTGGAAACCAGTGGAAATCTTGTGTAATGGTGACCTGGATAGCTCAGTGTGCACGCCATTGTAATTAGCTGTTCTAGTAGGTGTTTGGGTCTGGTTAAAACATTTGTTTGACGGGAATTTGTGTTAGAGAACTTTTTTGTTTAAGGCCATTGTTTCAAAACGCTATGATTTTCGGAAGTCCATTCATATAAACATGTTTCGCCAATCTGTCTCAGATAAATGGAACTCTGGGTATTCTGAGGTATTGGATATTCTGGGCCCCGTTTCACTAAGCTATCTGTCGTACCTCCTATACTGTAACATAGACTTACGACAGTCATAGCGCTACGATAGCTTTGTGAAAAGGGGACCTAGTTAGAGAAAATGATTTCGGTAGTCCAGACACATGTAAACAATCCGGGTCAAGTAAAATTAACTCTGGGTACGAAATGGTGTTTGGAATTTTAAGGTATTTGGTATTCTAGGTAGAGAAAATGGTTTCGGTCGTCAAGACACAAAGACACATGTAAACAATCCGAGTAAATGAAACTCTGGGTAACAAACAGTGTCTGGTGTTTTGAGGTATTGGGTATTCTAGTTATAGAAACATATTCAGTGTATGATTTCAGTACTTGGCTAAATAAACGTCTTCGGTTGTTTAATTGATTAGACGTGTTTGGGCAATGTAGGGAACTGATGAGTTTTATCATGTGATCGTTCGTTATTCAGAAGTATTCGGCACCTTGGTTAACTGAACGTGTTCTGGTTAACTGGAGGTGTTCCGTCCTCTGGTTAGCTGAACGTGTTCTGGGTAACTGGGGGTGTTCCGTCCTCTGGTTTTACTGAATTTGCTCTTGTTAACTGAACGTGCTCTTGTTAACTGGGGGTGCTCCGTCCTCTGGTTGACTGAACGTGTTCTGGATAACTGGAGTTGTTCCGTCCTCTGGTTAACTGAACGTGCTCTTGTTAACTGGAGGTGTTCAGGCCTCTGGATCACTGTACGTGTTCTGGATAACCGGAGGTGTTCCGTCCTCTGGTTAACTCAACGTGTTCTGGTTAACCGGAGGTATTCCGTCCTCTGGTTATCTGAACGTGCTCTTGTTAACTGGAGGTGTTTAGGCCTCTGGTTCACTGAACGTGTTCTGGATAACTGGAGGTGTTCCGTCCTCTGGTTAACTGAACGTGTTCTGGATAACTGGAGGTGCTCTGTCCTCTGGTTTACTGAACGTGTTCTGGATAACTGGGGGTGCACAGTCCTCTGGTTATCTGAACGTGTTCTGGTTAAATGGAGGTGTTCCGTCCTCTGGTTAACTGAACGTGCTCTTGTTAACTGGAGGTGATCTGTCCTCTGGTTAACTGAACATGTTCTGGATAACTGGAGGTGCACAGTCCTCTGGTTATCTGAACGTGTTCTGGTTAAATGGAGGTGTTCCGTCCTCTGGTTATCTGAACGTGCTCTTGTTAACTGGAGGTGATCTGTCCTCTGGTTAACTGAACATGTTCTGGATAACTGGAGGTGCACAGTCCTCTGGTTATCTGAACGTGTTCTGGTTAAATGGAGGTGTTCCGTCCTCTGGTTAACTGAACGTTTTCTGGATAACCGGAGGTGTTCCGTCCTCTGGTTGACTGAACGTGTTGTGGATAACTGGAGGTGCACAGTCCTCTGGTTATCTGAACGTGTTCTGGTTAAATGGAGGTGTTCCGTCCTCTGGTTAACTGAACGTGTTGTGGATAACCGGAGGTGTTCCGTCCTCTGGTTAACGGAACGTGTTCTGGTTAACCGGAGGTATTCCGTCCTCTGGTTATCTGAACGTGCTCTTGTTAACTGGAGGTGTTCAGGCCTCTGGTTCACTGAACGTGCTCTTGTTAACTGGAGGTGTTCCATCCTCTGGTTAACTGAACGTGTTCTGGATAACTGGAGGTGTTCCGTCCTCTGGTTAACTGAACGTGTTCTGGTTAACCGGAGGTGTTCCGTCCTCTGGTTATCTGAACGTGCTCTTGTTAACTGAGGTGTTCAGGCCTCTGGTTATCTGAACGTGTTCTGGATAACTGGAGGTGTTTCGTCCTCTGGTTATCTGAACATGTTGCGGTTAACTGGAGGTGTTCTGTCTTCTGGTAATCTGGACGTGTTCTGGTTAACTGGAGGTGTTCCGTCCTCTGGTTATCTGAACGTGTTGTGGTTAACTTAACGTGTTCTGTCCTCTGATTATCTGGATGTGTTCTGGTTAACTGGAGGTGTTCCGTCCTCTGGTTATCTGAACGTGTTGTGGTTAACTGAACGTGTTCTGTTGACTAAATGTGTCTCGTCCTCTGCTTAACTGAATGTGGTCTGCCCTACGGCTAACTGTTTTGACATTCCATGAAGTGACGCAAACATAACCCACTCACTACCTCCACCCTTGTTTGCAGATTATCTCAATGGGTCTGCTTGCTGTGGGGGTGATCCTGAAGTTCTTCCCGGGGCTACTCATGTCATTCCTGATGGCCGGAATCTCCTCGGTGTCTGGATTTAGCAAACCCGGAAGTGCAAACAACTTGACCTCCATTCCACTCATCGATGACCTGGGCCTGGCACTTATTGTCTTTGGAGCAGTTCTGTTCCTGATTTCCTTCTTTGCTTGCTGCGGAGCCTGTTGTATGTGTAGGCCGTTTCTCATCCTGGTAAGAACCTAGCGATCGGCCTATAATAGGCCGAACGGGAGATTATAGGCCGTTCTGCCTATTTGGCTGTAGGCCGATCGGGCTATATTTGAACATTTTTCTAATTATTTCAAAAACTATCAATTTTCGCACGAAATGGTTTTATATGATCACAGAGATAAATAGTTAATAGACCTCCTCTGCTTGAAAAAAATAAATTTGTGGACAAAATGGATAATGAAATTTATATAATGTTCAGGAAAAGATGTTTCATTAGGAACACAATTTTGCATAGATTTTCATTTTGACAACTAAAACTGAACATCGATGTCATTAATCTTCAGTGAAAATTGTCTAAAAAGTTATAGACTTATATTTAATTAGCAATTTCCAAAATCCTTTATAATATGATGAAAATTCTCAAAAAAGGTTTGAATGAAAACCTCATGACATCAAAACTTGAATGATGTTAATATCCTCATACGGAAATGCACCACTTCAAATTTATTTGATAAATCTCATAATCATAGGCCGATCGGCCTACAGCAAAATAGGCCGATCGGCCTATAACATCCCGTTTGGTCTAATATAGGCTGATCGGTAGGTTTCCCCAACCTCTTGATGTGTTCAAATCCACGATTCGTCCTGATTTGATACTTTGTTTTCAGTTTTCTGTCTGTAACATGTAAACAATGGGTTCCTACATTTTGACAAGCCTTGATAAAACTGAAGATATTGGTAAAGATGCGGCGTTGGCAGTATTTACCTCACTAACTCATTCTCAGTCACAGAAGTTTTAACCCAGTCACATCTTGGTTTATAACTTACTGAACAGTTATCAATCTTGATCAGTCAGAAGCTAGTATTTATGTGTTAGGTGAGTGAGTGAGTTGGGTTTTACGCCGCAATATTCGAGCAATATCACGGCGGGGGGACACCAGAAATGGGTTTCGGACAATGAACCCATGTGGGGACTCGAACCCGGGTCTTCGGCGTCACGAGCGAACGTGATATTGCTGGAATAAAACTACACTTATACACTCAATTAAGTAAATGTTTAGAAAGATTATATATAAACCATAACATGGTTTCAGGTTGATACTTCCTCGGAACCAACAGATTCTTAAAATGTCTCAATTAATGAATGTCGGTGTAGGTCATTTAAACTGCCAGTAACACGTGTTTCACGCGGAGCTATCTTGAAACGGTACGCATTTAGCTATCGACGTGGTACATATGCTGAACAAGAATATTTGCGCACCCCCTGTGGGTGGGGGCTCATCTATTTGACGGTTACATACTTCCCACACCAACTGTTACCCTGAAGGTTGAAACCTAACTGGCTCGGTATATGGTGTCTCTAAGCATATATTTATAAAAATTGGGCGGTGGGGTAGCCTGGTGCACGTGGTTAAAGCGTTCGCTCGTCACGCCGAAGACTCGGGTTCGAGTCCCCACATGGTATCCCCCGCCGTCATATTGCTGGAATATTGCTAAAACCATACTCACTCACTCACTCACTATATACACTATATATATCCAGTACCTACACTGTTAGATCTGTCGATGAGGGCACATACTGACTGTTGTTTACTGTTTTTGTTGACAAGTTTGTGGTGTTCATGATGGTGGTCATCATCAGCCTGGCGACGTTGGGAGGGCTGTTCCTGGCAAAGACGTCCACTGTAAGTAGTTGCTACCGTCTGTGCGCGTAATCCGTGACGATCCGGGCTAGATATGATCTGCAGTAGCCCATGCTTGTCGTAAGAGGCGACTAACGGGATCGGATGGCTGACTTGCTGAAGCGATTTCACATGTCATCGTATCACCTTTCTTTTTTCTTCCAAATGATTTGAAGTGATATGATTATTGAGGTTTGTCATAAACAAACCCGAAGTGATGAGTCTTTACCACCTGCATTTATTCGGGTTTTCTAACTCACATCATTCAACCACACACCCACCCACTCACTCATTCACTCAACCACTCAACCACACACCCACCCGACCACTCACCCAATCACCCATACAATTCCCACTCACTCACTCACCCAACCTCTCACTCACTCAATCAACCACTCAACCACCCACCCACCCACTCACTCACTCAACCACTCAACCACACACCCACTCACTCACTCACTCACTCAACCACTCAACCACCCACCCACTCACTCACTCAACCACTCAACCACACACCCACTCACTCACCCATCCAATTCCCACTCACTCACTCACTCAACCTCTCACTCACTCACTCAACCACACAACCACCCACCCACCCACTCCTCACTCACTCAACCACTCAACCACACACCCACTCACTCACTCACTCAACCACTCAACCACCCACCCACCCACTCACTCACTCAACCACTCAACCACACACCCACTCACTCACTCACTCAACCACTCAACCACACACCCACTCACTTACCCACTCACTCACTCACCCATCCAATTCCCACTCACTCAACCACTCACTCACCCCCTCACTCACTCACAACCCTTCGTTAACATAAAACCTTCACGTCTATGTTCAGCTGCACAGTTCAATCAGAGGCTCTCTCAAGACGAAGGTTCGGAACGAGTACAAAGGACCAGAAAACGACGACATCTTCTCCCTCATCATTAACGTCATCTCCTACGGCGTAAGTAACAAAACCCGATACTCCGATGTTGAACCATTGATATCGATGAGTGACATGACAGCCATTATTTTGTATTCATTTGTTTATCATTTTTTATACTCACAGAATATTTCAGCGTTGGTCTTAGCTGCGCCATGAATGTGATTCTTCGTCTACCCGCTTAAAATGTTCGTCACTCTGATCTTCACCACAGATCCGTCACAATCAAATGTCACTTTAATTACTGACAAGCTGCTACACAGTATCACGCTTGGTCACTGCTCCATACACATCCACACTGCCTTAACACACCCCTCTCCACACACACACACACACACACACACACACACACACACACACACACACACACACACACACACACACACACACACACACACACACACACATACAGAATGAGAGAGAGACAGGGAGAGACTTAAACACACACGCCCTCTCTCTCTTACACACAGACACACGCACACTTTATCACTTTTTCACACATTGCCCCACACATACTTTGAGAGAGAGAGAGAGAGAGAGAGAGAGAGAGAGAGAGAGACACACACACACACACATTTTATTACTATCTCACACTAACACTTTATCTCTGTCTCTTGGGGCGGTTGGGTAGCCTAGTGGTTAAAGCGTTCGCTCATCGATATCACTCCGAAGGCCCGGGTTCGATTCCCCATATGGGTACAATGTGAGAAGCCCATTTCTGGAGTCCCCGCCGTAATAAAATCGGCGTAAAACCCAACCCACTCACTCACCCAATTATCTCCATCACACACACACACGCACGCACGCACGCACATACAGAATGAGAGAGAGACAGGGAGAGACTTAAACACACACGCCCTCTCTCTCTTACACACAGACACACGCACACTTTATCACTATTTCACACATTGCCCCACACATACTTTGAGAGAGAGAGAGAGAGAGAGAGAGAGAGAGAGAGAGAGAGAGAGAGAGAGAGAGAGAGAGAGAGAGAGAGAGAGAGAGAGAGAGAGAGAGACACACACACACACACACACATTTTATTACTATCTCACACTAACACTTTATCTCTGTCTCTTGGGGCGGTTGGGTAGCCTAGTGGTTAAAGCGTTCGCTCATCGATATCACTCCGAAGGCCCGGGTTCGATTCCCCATATGGGTACAATGTGAGAAGCCCATTTCTGGTGTCCCCGCCGTAATAAAATCGGCGTAAAACCCAACCCACTCACTCACCCAATTATCTCCATCACACACACACACGCACGCACGCACGCACGAACGCACACACACACACTGCCTCAAACACCCACACTGTCTCATAACGCTTTTCCAGCACATTAAGTCACTGCCTCTTTCACACTGAACTGTCAAACACAAGAAATCACTGCCACGAACTGAATAATTGTCTCACCCACACATTGAATAATTTTCTCATCTTTCGCACAGTTCAAGTGTTGCGCCATCAGCGGCCCAGACGACTTCGACCCCAAAGCTTCTTGGAGGACCTACACCTACAACGGTGCCACCGTCACTGTCGACGTGTCCCCGGCCTGCTGCAAGCCAGAAGTCCTCAAGACCGACACTACTCTAGAGTGTGCCAAGAAGGATGGTTTTGGGGTATATGACTCCATGAAGACTAACACACAGGTGAGTTCTGGTCATAAACTGTTAATCGCTTCTGGGACGGTGGGGTAGCCTAGCGGTTAAAGCGTTCGCTCGTCACGCCGAAGACCCGGGTTCGATTCCCCACATGGGTACAAAATGTGAAGCCAATTTCTGGTGTCCCCCGACGGCGTAAAACGAAACTCACACACTCATTTCAGACGGGGTGTAGTCTAGTTTTCTATAACACACGTCCTGTATGTGAGGTTATCAAGTGACGACTGACCTAGGAACGATTGAGATAACATGCGCTATCTCATGTAAACTTCCCACTGAAAGCAATAGGTGAAACACAAGCGAGTCTGCACCCTGTAAATAAGGTAATGGGCAAGTCATGAGTCTGCAGATTTCGGAAGGAGAATTTCCGGAATCCGTAGACTCGAGTGATTTCTGTGGCTTCAGTCAAGTTACAGTTGATAGATAATTTCTTGTCGGAATTCACATAATGGTGGCCTATGTCTGTATCTGTTTTAAATGTTAAACTGCATGCGAAGCCCATTTCCGTTGTCCCCTGGGATATTGCTGGAATATTGCAAAAGCGGCGTAAAACTAAACTCACTCGCGTTAATCGCTTCCAAGATTGTCAGAGTTGTATCACCGATTATCAGGCGAATTACATACATTTCCAGGAAAAAGAAAGTGTACACCTGTGTTTGATGGTGGTCAACTGACCGAGTTGATTATAAAGATCAAGGTCTTTTACAAGAAGGGTGAGGTGAGGTGAAATTGGGTTTAACGTCGTGCTTGAGAATATTTCGCTCATATGACGACGTGCATGAGTGTGTATGTGTATGTGAGGCTGCTTGTACTAGCCCAGACTTAAGCTGGTTTTATAGTGCTAGCCCACTGAGATACCATGCCGCAGTGAAGCATGAATACCCCACTCAGACACATTATACTGACTCCGAGCCGACCAGTCCTTGTTGTACCCAATAATGCCGAGCGCCAGGCAGGGACCAACAAGTACCATATTTTAACGTCTTTTGGTATGACGCGGTCGGGGATCGAACCCGCGACCTTCCACTCTCCGGGCGGACGCTCTAACCACTACACCACGGAGACGGTCCGACAAGAAGGGACTCTCTAAATATATTTATACTCCGGAAGAAATATATATCCGATCTTTAATACCGAGTACGTTTCAATTATAACGTTTTAACGCTTACATCCGAATAATTCGCGATTGTGTAATCACCCCTCTATAAATCGATGCCAATACTAAAACGGTCTCCCATAAAAATATCGACTTTATACACAATGCAAAGATTGCTGCGAATACATAGAAAGTGAACGTTGAGCTATGGGCTTTGCGTCAGTTGTACATCGAAGATAGTGTTTACAGTGAGTGAGTTTAATTTTACGCCCCTTTTAGCAATATTCCAGCAATATCACGGCGGGGGACACCGGAAATGGGCTTCACACATTATACCCATGTGGGAAATCGAACCTGGGTCTTCTGCGTGACGAGCGAACGTTTTAACCACTAGGCTACCCCACCACCCAGTGTTACGGGACAAAGCCTTGGACTTGAGTTACAGTGGTTGTTGTGTTGTTTGCAGGGCTGCTATGATAAGATCCTGGAGGAAGTGGAGAAGAACAAGCTGTACGCCATATTGGGCCTGGTCGGCCTCCTGCTGCTCCTGGTGAGACCGTCACTCTGGCGAGGCTTTGAGTGAATGAGATTTTACACCGCTTTGAACAGTTATGTCAGTTGGTTGGTTGGTCTGTTGTTTTACGTCCCACTCGGCAATATCCCAGCTATATGGCGGCGGTCTGTAAATAATCCAGTCTGACACAGACAATCCAGTGATCAACAGCATGAGCATCAATCTACGCAATTGGGAACCGATGACATGTGTCAACCGAGTCAGCGAGCCTGACCACCCGATCCCGTTAGTCGTTTCTTACGACAAGCATGGGTTACTGAAGATCAATTCTAACCTGGATCTTCACGGGTTCAGTATACCAGGTATATCACTGCGATGTGCGGTTCCACTGGAGTATTTGATGTATCGTGGAATGTGTTAGGCTATAGCGAAGAGTATAATGTCTTCCTATTTATCATGTATTCTGCCATTTAACTATGTCAATCAAGATGCTCAGAGAGACGGGTTCCTCTAAAACGGTCTCTAAAAACATTGTCTCAAACACGTTTTGGATCCGACTGGGTCTGGGTTGTCGAAGTTACCGATGTATTGTGTGAGTAAGTTGCGATTTAGCAATATCCCAGTAATAGCACGCTGAGGAAAAAAGGTTCCACACTTTACACCGATATGGTGAGCCGAACCCGGGTCCTCAGCGTGACCAACGATAGCTTTAGCCAATGGCATACCCTTACGAACCTTTACTACAGGTAGGATGGACCATGAGTCATGGGGTGAGTGAGGGAGTGAGGTTAGTTTGACGCCTATTTTAGCGTTATTCAAGCAATTACACGGCGGGGACACCAGAAATGGGCTTCCCATATTTTATGCATGTTGGGAATCGAACCCGGGTCCTTGGGGTGACCAGCGAACGCTTTCACCAATAGGCTACCTCACCGTCCCTTGAGTCATGGAAGAATGGAGACGTTTGACGTTTGGTTCCAGTCCAGCGCCGCCCAGCCATTAGGGGGGTCCTGTCACGCAGACTTCTGAAGCATTGTTGTGTTTGGTACCTTGCAACACAAGTACATTCAATTATCAGCCCTGTTTCAAGGCGCGTCCCATCTATCCTTCTCACTGCGTCCGTATATGTCCGCTAACAAGTTATAAATTCAATTACACCCGAATTCATCTCGCTTAACTGAGGGTGAGAGAAGGTTACAATGACAACTGTACTCAAAAGCAAAAGTGGGATACATGTATTTGTTGTTTTTTTTCGTGTGTTTTTTTATATATTTTCTCACTCACTCACGTTAATTGCTTCCAAGATTGTCAAGAGTTGTATCACCGATTATCAGGCGAATTAGGTACATTTCCGGGAAAAAGAGACCCGTGAAGGTCCGGGTTAGAATGTGCCTTCAGGAACCCATGCTTGTCGTAAGAGGCGACTAACGGGATCGGGTGGTTAGACTCGCTGACTTGGTTGACATATAGCATCGGTTCAATTGCGCAGATCGGTGCTCATGCTGTTGATCACTGGATTGTCTGGTCTAGACTCGATTATTTACAGATCGCCGCCATATAGCTGGAATATTGCTGAGTGTGGCGTAAAACTATACTCACTCACTCACTCTAGCGTAGCACCAGATTGTACACAATTAATTGCACGGAAATACCAAATCCTGCAAGGCATATATTAGGTTTACTGTTATTCAATAACTGTGCCTTCTGACCGGCGATGAATGCTTTTTTTATGTTTCTTTAAACGTCTGCTTTAAATCTATATTTCACACAGTGAAAACATCCAATAGGGCTGTCATGCTTTCATACCTGGCTGATAGTGGCCGTTGTCCCATGTGGAACAGATCATATATACAGAAAACTACGTTTATATTGAACATGCTTGTGACGACTTGACTGACATAACAGAATATAATATTTGCTGTATATTTTAGTCGAGACGCTTGTATCGAACTACGGTTATTACGAACTGAATTAGTGGTCCCATTGAGTTCATTGTGGCATATTTTTCAGAACATTGCTTCGGGATTTCAGTTTGTAAATGTATATAAACATGTTAATGTTGAATTAAGAATGGACAATTTTACAGGACAGTTATATGTAGCCATAAGCGAGAGTTCGTGATGTTCCCACATAAAGAAATGCAGTATCACAATGGTAATATTTTCAGATTTATATAATACAAATTGACAAAATGACAATCAATATTCATTTTAATGTTATTATGCTTTCCTACGAATTTTATCCTTCATACTCCCCTGACACCCCCACAAATAAACCCAAAACAACAACAGCAAACAAAAACAAAATACCTTCCCCCCCACAATAAAAATAAAAATGTTTAAAAAATCAATAAAATAAAATAATTTTTTAAATTTTTTTTTAAAATGACGTGTTTACACAGAAGTTGTTCACATATATATTCATTCACAAACGCAAATTTTCTCTATATGAAGAGACTTGCAATTGTTTAATTGTTCAAAACAATCTTCTCAATGTTATCCTATTGCTTTTTTCAGCTGCTGGAAGTTATTTTCGCCATCGTCCTTATCAAAGACATCAGCGACAAGGCCAAAGTGGGCCCCGTTTAACCAGCCGCCTTGCAGTGTTGATGAAGTTCAGGCCTGCAGCTGAACAAACAGAGATTTTATGAATGCTTGCAATTGATTTCGATTTCGCTTTACTGACATTTGTGATTTTGTGTTGTGTTCATCGATAACTGCAGTCACATTTTATTCGTATTTTGAGAGAAGCTGGTCATTGTTACAAAGGCTTGGCCTTAGAGACCGTTTACTCACATATTTAGAAATTATAGAACTTGCGGTTACCATTACTAATCAAATATCTCTGTAAATGAGTTCAGGGGTGATGGGGTAGCCTAGTGGTTAAAGCGTTCGCTCGTCACGCCAAAGACCCGGGTTCGATTCCCCACGTGGGCAAAATATGTGAAGCCCATTTCTGGTGTCCCCCTCCGTGATATCGCCAGAATATTGCCAAAAGCGGCGAAAAACCAAACTCGCTCGCTGTAAATGAGTTCATGGGTTTTGTGTCTGATCTTGATGGTTCCAAGGCTCCAGTTAACAATGAAATATCAACTCGCTTATTGCACACTTTTTGTAACATTTAAAAACACTTGTATTACCATGATACTTGTACACGTTCCAGACGAATGTCTCCTCGGGTGGATACGTTTAAATGACTGTCAGGATAAATGATAATTTGAAAAACTCAAGTTTGGGGCTTAGACACCCTAGCCCGAGTTGGGGGCTTTGTGCTGCAGAGTTAGCTCGGAAACAGTTAACTACGTTTATAACTAGCACGCTTGTAACGAACTGACGGATAAACCGATCTGTTTTCCTGGGTCCCAAGCACTTGCGGGGCTTTGGGGTGGCTCAGCGGTTAAAGCGTTCGCTCGTCACGCCGAAGGCCCGGGTTCGATTTCCAACATGGGTACAATGTGTGAAGTCCATTTCTGGGGTGACCCCCGCCGTGATATTACTGGAATATTGTTACAAGCGGCGAAAACCATACTCACTGACTCACTATATGCAGTGAGCATTGTTGAATTCATCCAGAAACGAACTTGGTGTTGACCTCGTTACACCCCTTTCCTTTTATACAGTGCTAAGACCCCGTCAGTGACAGAGTATACCTTGATGACAGTTGTTTCTGTTTGTTACAAGCACCTGTGATTCCAAATAATTTATTTTTATTGTCAAACGTTTATCTTTCAGGAAACAGGAAAAAAACATATAGCGGAACGGTTGATTACGATTGCATTACACTGGACACCTACCTTAAGTCCCTCACCCCAACGCGAACCCTAACCACCTACCCCCAATGAGTGAGTGAGTTAAGTTTTACGCCGCACTCAGCAATATTCCAGCTATATGGCGGCGGTCTGTAAATGATCGAGTCTGGAACAGACAATCCAGTGATCAACAGCATGAGCATCGATCTGGGGAACCGATGACATGTGTCAACCAAGTCAGCGAGTCTGACCACCCGATCCCGTTAGTTGCCTCTTACGACAAGCATGGGTTGCTGAAGATCAATATTCTAACCCGGACCTTCACGGATGACTTACCCCCAAACAATGCTTGACATAAATTGACCGAAGCGGCACGAAAATCGCCCACGTGTCCGGTATAATGTACGACTGCAGCTGACGTGTGACAGGTGCTCTATCTTTCTCGTTGAATAACATCACCTTGTTAGTTGTAGTACGTTTAATCCACTAAACAAAACATTTTTTGAATTCGCGATTAGAGAGTTAAATGATTCAATGGCCCCATAACCCATAATTCGACAGAATAAGAACTCAATGACCGTTCTGTAACTGTGGTGACGTGATGTATTAATATATCTTCCCTATAATGACCACGTGTTTGTACATACTCGTTCTTAAACAGTGTGCTGTGCTGTAAGTACTGACACAGTAAAACACTGTTTCGTCGAAGTTGAAGGAACCTAGGTAAACACTTCGAGTCATCGGAGGTTGGACGCTGTTTTGTCGAAGTTGAAGGAGCCAAAGTAAATACTTCGAGTTATCGGAGGTTCAACACTAAACAAACTATTATTAATGACGAAGAAGCAGAGATCACATTTTTATTTCGAGACATCCATACGTTCGGCACATAAAGGTTCGACACAAGGGTGTATGACTGATATTTATCTTATGACGCATATTTGAAGCATTCCGTCCTTGTTAAACATATATTTGAGAGACATATACTATTTTTGTTACTATTTTGTTAAGGATTCCCTGTTCATGTGATATTTTGTTTCATATTTATGAATATCAATTTAGAAAATAGTATTTTGAATAAAAAAATGAAATAAATAATAAAGCTTGTACATAAAATAGCGTGTCTTCTGCCGTGTGTAGAGCTCCCTGGAGCTCTGTAGAAATACAGAAAAGTATACTATTAACACTTTGTTAAGGATCAAATCGTGGATTCAACAGAAAACTATGATGTGGGGTCAAATTTAGTTGAAATATCTAAGCTCATTGTAAATATGGATCCCAGGTTGCAGTATGTCATTTCATCTTGTGGAACCCATACCTGCTATTGACAGGTGTTGTGTACTTGTCAGTGACTCGTTCCATGATTTCCAAAATGGTTGCTTGGTGCCATAAAAACCATGTTTATGGTTACTCATGTATCAAGTGCTTAAGGTTAGATTAAAGTGGCTGTTTGCCTAAAGAGGGGTTACCACATCATTATTTATTCAGTTTTAAATGGATACAATTTCAAATTATGAATCTACGTTTAAGTAAAGTTGTGAATTTTTGTGATCCTTAGCAAAGTGTGAGTAGTATACGTTTATAACGAACACGTTTATAACGAACTGTTCTCCTTGATCTCAACTACTATTTTAGTCGAAACGCTTATAACGAACTGCGGTTATTACCATGTGAGATTGGGGCGGTGGGGTAGCCTAGTGGTTAAAGCGTTCGCTCGTCACGCCGAAGGCCCGGGTTCGATTCCCCACATGGGTACAATGTGTGAAGCCCATTTCTCGTTTCCCCCGCCGTGATGTTGCTGGAATATTGCTAAAAGCGGCGTAAAACTAAACTCACTCAGTCTCAATATTGCAACTACCTAGAGACAAGGCTGGGCATAAACATATGTAAAGCGTGGTCATTTACCCTCGGGGGGCGGTGGGGTAGCCCAGTGGTTAAAGCGTTGGCTCGTCACGCCGAAGACCCGGGTTCGAATCCCCACATGGGTACAATGTGTGAAGCCCATTTCTGGTGTCCCCCGCCGTGATGTTGCTGGAATATTGCTAAAAGCGGCGTAAAACCAAACTCAGTCAGTCAGTCATTTACCCTCGGCATTTGTATTTTTACAGAGAACTTCAGAATTTACTTCAACAACGTGTTCATTCCCTTGAGCTAGATATGTCGAATGCTGTTGATTCTATATTGGTAGTACATAATTATGGTGAGGTCACGCTATTGTTGTTTCGAAAGATCGTGCGCTAGGAATTCACTGACCATTCTCAACATGCAGTTTAACATTTAGAACAGATACAGACATAGGCCAACATTATATGGATTCCGACAAGAAATTATCTATCAACTGTAACTTGACTGAAGCCACAGAAATCACTCGAGTCTGCAGATTCCGGAAATTCTCTTTCCGAAATCTGCAGACTCATGATTTGCCCATTACCTTATTTACAGGGTGCAGACTCGCTTGTGTTCACCTATTGCTTTCAGTGGGAAGTTCTCATTAGATAACGGACCGCCTCCGTGGTGTTGTGGTTAGAGCGTCCGCCCGGAGAGTGGAAAGTCGCAGGTTCCATCCCCGACCGCGTCATTCCAAAAGACGTTAAAATTTGGTACTTGTTGGTCCCTGTCTGGTGCTCGGCATTAATGGGTACAACAAGGACTGCTCGGCTCGGAGTCAGTATAATGTGTCTGAGTGGGGTATTCATGCTTCACTGCGGCATGGTATCTCAGTGGGCTAGCACTATAAAACCAGCTTCAGTCTGGGCTAGTACAAGCAGCCACACATACACATACACACTCATGCACGTCGTCATATGAGCGAAATATTCTCAAGCACGACGTAAAATCCAATTTCACCTCACCTCATTAGATAACGCATGTTATCTCAATCGTTCCTAGGTCAGTCGTTACTTGATAACCTCACATACAGGACGTGTGTTATAGAAAACTACACTACACCCCGTCTGAAATGAGTGAGTGAGTTTCGTTTTACGCCGTCGGGGGACACCAGAAACGGGCTTCACATTTTGTACCCATGTGGGGAATCGAACCCGGGTCTTCGGCATGACGAGCGAACGCTTTAACCACTAGACTACCCCACCGCCCCCGAAGTGAGTGATGAGGAATTACTTAATGATGATACAGTGGAATCGTCTCGATGCAAAGAGACCACTGTTTGTTCCGAAATATTCTACTTGCAGAGTTGCATCCCTTAGACAAGCCATAGGCGTCTGACCTTGGGTTCGAATCCCTTTTCGCCCCTACGGTGGCAGATGCCTGAGACATGTGCTGCTTCGGCATTTTCTCCCACATCCAGCTGACACACTCCGATATTTAACTACATGTCATCGGTCCCCAATTGCGCAGATCGATGCACATGTTGCTGATCACTGGATTGTCTGGTCCAGACTCGATAATTTATTGGAATATTGCTGAGTGCGGCGTAAAACTAAACTCACTCACTCACTCCGATATTTAACTGGAATATTGTTTCAAAACGGCGTTGAATACATTGTTTTCACTCGAGTGAAGTTAATGACTGAAGTGCATTCAGTCTAACTCTCATTTGGAGCCATGGGTGAGCCGAGCGGTTAAAGCGTTCGCTAGTCAAGGCGAAGACCCGGGTTCGATTCCCTCCATGGGTACAATGTGTGAGCCCATTTCTGGTTTCCCGTGAAATTAAACAGGCAGAGATAAAACTAACACACAAACAGTTATAAAAAATTCCTGTAGATACTTTAAGAAATTCGCAATTTTTCTCACACAGATACTAACAGATATAGCCTCAATGTTTGTTGCCGATTACAACTAAAGCACGCGATTCCAAAATATACGGTATCACGACTATTTTAAATATGTTTGTCCCGAAAACTTTAGCATGAAGTCGGAACACATGGGGACTAATCGCGGATATTTTATGACACTCTTCCAGTTTATATCCATAATTGATTATTGTTATCGCGCTGAAACAGAGTAACCTGATTAAACAGCATAGGCGGATCCAGAGGGGGGTTCAGGGGTGCGCACCCCCTTTTGTGCTGAAAGTTTGTTAAATGACCATTGAAACTCGGGTGAAAATGAAGTGTGCACCCCTCCTTTTCTCAATAGTGTGCACCCCCCCTTTCTCAAAAAGCTGTATCCGCCCCTGAACAGGCAGTGATTACACTAGACACCAGCCAAACAGAAACAAACCAGATAATAGATAATAATAATAATAATAATAATAACAATAATAATAATAATAATGGATAGCATTTATATAACGCAAAGACTAACACTTAAAATAGTCAATGTGACTAAAAAGGACAACGCAAATAAAACAAACAATACGGATAGAAAGGACAATACAAATAAAGGACAATACGGATAGAAAGGACAATACAAATAAAACAGACAATACGGATAGAAAGGACAATACAAATAAAACAGACAATACGGATAGAAAGGACAATAAAATAAAACAGACAATACGGATAGAAAGGACAATACAAATAAAACAGAAAATACGGATAGAAAGGACAATACAAATAAAACAAACAATACGGATAGAAAGGACAATAAAATAAAACAGACAATACGGATAGAAAGACAATACAAATAAAACAGACAATACGGATAGAAAGGACAATACAAATAAAACAGACAATGCGGATAGAAAGGACAATACAAATAAAACAAACAATACGGATAGAAAGGACAATAAAATACAAACGGATAGAAAGACAATACAAATAAAACAGACAATACGGATACAAATAAAACAGACAATACAAATAAAACAGACAATACGGATAGAAAGACAATACAAATAAAACAGACAATACGGATAGAAAGGACAATACAAATAAAACAGACAATACGGATAGAAAGGACAATACAAATAAAACAGACAATACGGATAGAAAGACAATACAAATAAAACAGACAATACGGATAGAAAGGACAATACATTTAAAACAGACAATACGGATAGAAAAGACAATAAAACAGACGCTAAATAAAGGACAATACAAATAAAACAGACAATACGGATAGAAAGGACAATACAAATAAAACAGACAATACGGATAGAAAGACAATACAAATAAAAAGACAATACAAATAAAACAGACAATACGGATAGAAAGGACAATACATTTAAAAAGACAATACGGATAGAAAGACAATACAAATAAAACAGACAATACGGATAGAAAGGACAATACAAATAAAACAGACAATACGGATAGAAAGGACAATACAAATAAAACAGACAATACGGATAGAAAGACAATACAAATAAAACAGACAATACGGATAGAAAGGACAATACATTTAAAACAGACAATACGGATAGAAAGACAATACAAATAAAACAGACAATACGGATAGAAAGGACAATACAAATAAAACAGACAATACGGATAGAAAGGACAATACAAATAAAACAGACAATACGGATAGAAAGGACAATACAAATAAAACAGACAATACGGATAGAAAGACAATACAAATAAAACAGACAATACGGATAGAAAGGACAATACAAATAAAACAGAAAATAGAACAGACAAAAGGAGAGAGAAACGCATCATACAGATATATCAGGGACATTATACGTAAAAGACATAGACCTGGGTGCCTTTGTACAAAACAACCTTAGCACTAAGGCTACCTTAAGTCTATGTTAAAGTATGGGAGTTACGGTCAACTTAGCGCTAAGATCGCTTTGTTCAACGGCACCCTGGGCTTCCTTTCACAAAGCATTAAGGTGATCGTAAGTCACTAAGGTAACCTTAGTGCAATGTTAAAGACCCCTAAAGGTTGCTTCGTGAAAGGAGCCTCTGGTGCTTTGGGAATATTGTCCCCAAAACGACGAAAATATTTTTGAAACGTGTTTTCACTGTGATTTCACGAACATTGTGTATTTGTTGCCAAACCACCAGGTGTATACTTTCTTTTGTACGTCAGCATATATCAGGGTCCGATTCACGAAACAAGATGTCGCAATTCCATGTTAAACTTTGATCAGTAAACGAAACGGGGCCTTAGAACTCGATCTGGTCAGTAATCGCCGTGTCTGTCTGTACATAGAGGGCGGGCATCTTACCACACCACAGTATCACAATACTTTTCATGGATAAGGAATGTCAGCATTCAGCGGTATTGGATATCAACTCATATTATTATCTGACCTATTTATTAAATTACTTTACTGTTATATGCTGCTCCACTCCAGGGATATTTTTATCTCTCTAAGGGAAGGAAAAGTGATTTTCAAACATGTCAAATATATTTTATATAAAATAAAGGACATATCGATTATGCCCGTTAAAAGTGTGTTTGTATAACGCCCCACTCTGCAATATTCCAGCTATATGGTGGCGGTCTGTAAATAATCGATCTGGATCAGACAATCCAGTGATAAACATCATGAGCATCGATCTACGCAATTTATATACGATGACATGTGTCAACCAAGTCAGGAAGCCTGACCACCCGATCCCGTTAGTCGCCTCTTATGACAATCATACTATTAGTATGACGGAGATAAGTTCTAGCCTGGATCTTCAAGTGGGTCTGTTAAAAATTGAGTAGAGTGTCCTTGATTATGACTCAAGTACCGTTAACTGTAATTAGCAGAAGTAAGAGCTAAATATAAATTGATTTCTCCTTACATACTTACGAAAAACTGTCATTAGCAGATGTAAGAGCTAAAAATAGATTGTTTCCTACTGATATACTTACGAACAGATTCAGACAACGCTGAACTAACATACCACGGTAATATGATACTACCATATCGACTTGTAAGCTGTGTGATAAATCATACGGGTCCTTGTAATGTAGATCACAGATGCTTGATTGGGGGTATCTTTATCACCACCATGCGCGCTTACAATGCGCAGATAACAGTAGTTCCCGCCGTCACCTGATGAACCAGACTGAGGTGTGTTAACCCACGAAACACGACATGGGGTTCTTTTCAAGCGTTGGACAATGTCTTTTGGTTCTGTTGAACATTATTTTCGTGGTAAGTACCGAATAACTGTTTATGAAAATGTACCGTTACGGAAGGAGGCTGTGATGTTGATGGTGCAACAGGTGTCTGGAGTCGAAGAGGATGAACGAAGTTGCTGACCCAGTTTGAAATCTGATGTTTGACGTTTTTGACGCCAAATAGAAACAGGAACTTACAGGAAAACCCGTGCCTTTGATTTCCTGTAAATTTAGTTATTAATTGACGTAAATTGTATAATAACATCCATCTTCTGTGTAGCAGTGATAATAAAAAAATCGTCTCTCCACGTCGGAGAACGCTCACTCCCCAACCGACGAAGTGGATCGGGTGGACAGGGTCGATGTAGGCTCATGATATGAATCGCGGGGTGCCTTATCCAGTTCCAATTATGTACAAACGGTCGCTATAGAGCTAAAGATGGTTGATTCCAGCGTTGAACACATTCCGAATATTACATAAATATTCATTTGCACCAAATGTGTTTTGTGGCCTAGAAATGGTTATCTATCTGGAAAGGATCTCACATACTCATGCCATTTTTAACTGAAAGCTAAGCTTGCCTGTAAGCCTTAGTCTAGTGAAAATCCACGTGGACAGTGAAATCCCACACTTTCACTAAATGTGGTTGAATATGTATGACTGTGAATTTCCTGTAAGTTTAGTGCTGGTGGTCAGGGGAATATCTGGGTATGTGCCGGACACAGAACATCCTCGGTCATCCAGGCACATTTTCGTTGTATCCCGATACACACCATGGAGTCATTCCCTGCCAGAACTCCGGTTCGAGCCTGATTTTGAGACCATGCTTGAAAAGCTCTTTAACTAAATATTATAAGCTCCAGACATTCAGTGCTAAGTTAGAGATAAGTGCTTTCGAGCGGATCGTACGTCGCATTTTACGTCGAACTATCAAACACTGGTCCAATTTTGGGGTTTCACTCAGCATATCAACCGCCACGGCAACCGAAAGTCTGTTGGAAACAGTCTCAGACAATACAAGAACGGACCTGAGTCCGAATCGTCTTGCTACACTGAATCTTTGAGAAGATCCGGGTTCAGTAGCCGATGCTTGTCATAAGAGGCGACTAACGGGATCGGGTGGTCAGGCTTCCTGACTTGGTTGACACATGTCATCGTATTCCAGTTGCGTAGGTCGATACTCATGCTGCTGATCACTGGCTTGTCTGGTCCCGACTCGATTCTTTACAGACTGCTGCCATATAGCTGGAATATTGCTGAGTGCGGCGTTAAACAATAAACAAGCGACATTTGAACAAGGAACCATCATTAAGCCTGCTGCTGAATTTGTACAGGGTCAGATTATACGGAGGGCAACTGTTAAGCGATGGCATTGTTGTTATTCTTAATGGGATGAAGTGAAGATATAGTCTGACACCCTTGTGTCGAATTTTGACATGTCGAAATTATGGTTGCAAACTTAAGTACAAGCTCAGCACATGTTCCTCTTGTGTCTTACCTTGGCTAGCTTGAAGTATTTACAAAGGTAAGTCAAATTCGAAAGCTTGCTTGCATTTGTTAGCGTGAATATAGCGACTTGTGTGTGTGTGTGTGTAGTTATATGTCCCGGTCGATAAAGTCCTTGTTTTATCCTTTAAGGCCGAACGCAAGGCACGGTGACATCAAATACCACGTTTTGGTATGACACTACCAGGTGATCGAACCGCCTACTATCCGCTTTCCGACCAGACGCTTTATCCAGTAGAACCCCAGCTGTTGTTATTGTGCTACCTCTTTATAGCACTATGATGATCATTGTTAGGAATCCAATAGTAAGTTACTCCGCCTTTAGTAATGGTTCAGCAATATCACGGTGGGGAACACCAGAAATGGGTTTGACCCATTGTACCCATGTGGGGAATCGAACCCTGGTCTTTAGTGAGTCAGCTTAAACACAACCTGCATCACTTTGCCGAATATAGTTCTGACAGACATAATCACACATTGTACCCACGTGGGGAATCGAACCCGGACCTTGGCGTGACGAGCGAACATTTTAACCACTAGGCTACTCCGTCGGCCCCAGTAGCCATAAAGGGACCAGTATTAGATAAGGTACTACATATATGTACCCAAGGTACTTGAACACTGAATATCATAGCTTAGTAATGTACAGAACAGGTGGCAGGCGTGTCGGCGTGATGAGCGAACGCTTCACCCACTGGGCTACCCCATCGATTCCTATAGTGTCACTGAGTATGATTGTAATGATGATGTTGAACATCAACGTTCACTGTTCACAGCTGCTGTCACTGGTGCTAGTGGTGGTTGGAGTGATCCTCAAGTTCTTCCCCGGTGTCCTCATGCAGTTCCTGTTTGAGGGGGTGAAGGGCATCACTCACTTCCAGCTGCCCGACGGCTCCTCCGAACTCGACACCGTCCCCCTGCTGGACGAGCTGGGCATGTCCGTCCTCATCTTCGGGGTTGTGTTGTTCAGTGTGTCCTTTCTGGCGTGTTGCGGGGCCTGCTATAAGATTAGGGTATTCCTTGGGCTGGTGAGTACATCCTTCTCTTGAATGGGGTAGATCCTTCTGGGCTGGTGTGTCGATCCTCGTGTTTACGGGTGAAGATCTTTAGGGGCTGATGGGTAGATTCTTCCTGGGACTGGTGTGTACATCCTTCTGTTGAAGAGATCTAGATCCTTCTGTTGAAGTATGTAGATCCTTTTGGGTTGGTGGGTAGATCCTCCTGTTGAAGTATGTAGATCCTTTTGGGCTGGTGGGTAGATCCTTCTGTTGAAGAGGTGTAGATCCTTTTGGGTTTGGGTAGATCCTTCTGTTGAAGTATGTAGATCCTTTTGCGCTGGTGGGTAGATCCTTCTGTTCAAGGTTGTACATTCTTCTGGGCTGATGTGTGCATCCTTCTGTTGAACGGTGTAGCTCCTTCTGGGCTGGTGCGTAGATCCTTCTGTTGATGAGTGTAGATCCTTCTGGGCTGGTGAGTAGATCCTTCTGTCGATGGGTATAGATTCTTCTGGGCTGGTGGTAGATTCTCCTGTTGAATGGTGTAGAATCTTCTGGGCTGGTGGGTAGATCCTTCTGTTGAAGGGATGTAGATCCTTTGGGGCTTGTGTGTAGATCCTTCTTTTGAAGGGTGTTGATTCTTTTGGGCTTGTTGGTAGATCCTTCTGTCGATTGGTATAGATTCTTCTGGGCTGGTGGGTAAATTCTTTTATGGAATGGTATAGAATCTTCTGGGCTGGTGTGTAGATCCTTCTGTTGATTGGTGTAGATTCTTCTGGGCTGGTGACTAGATCCTTCTGCTGAAGGGGTGTATATCCTTCTAGGCTGATGTGTAGATCCTTCTGTTGAAGGGTGTAATCCTTCTTTTGAAGGGTGTTGATCCTTTTGGGCTTGTTGGTATATCCTTCTGTTGATGGGTGTAGATCCTTATGATTATATGGTATAGTGTCTTCTGGATATGGGGTGTAAAATATTCTATGGATTTGATGCCGATGATTCTCCGAAGAACGTAGATTCGTCTGGGGACGGGGTGTAGATTCTTCTGAGAATGGGGTGTAAATTGTTTTTCGGATGGGGTGCAGATCCTTCTGTACGTGGCGTGTAGATCCTCAGCAGAGTATTAACGTTATCCCGTTTTTGTTGCTGCAGTTCTGCGTCCTCGTCATCATCCTCATCCTCTCTGTGGCCACTGTGGGAGGCCTCTTCTTCAACCCTGATTCGCCGGTAGGCTATATGGTCTTATATCACCTCTCTAGCATGCTCGTACAAACAATATTAACCTGGTTCGGTATAATTGACTTTGTGTACTTGTAGATACATGGTACAATTTGGAATCACTCATAATGTTTTAACGTTTTTGTGTTTAAGTTATTAAATCGATTTTAGGTGAAGTGAGGGGAAATGGAGTTTAACGTCGTACTTGAGAATATTTCGCTCATATGACGACGTTCATGCGGTGTATGTGTGGCTGCTTGTACTAGCCCAGACTTGAGCTGGTTTTATAGTGCTAGCCCACTGAGATACCTTGCCGCAGTTTAGATGTTAGGGAAGTGATGTTACTTACAGCAATGAACCCTTGTGTGTGTGCGTGCGTGCGTGCGTGCAAGTGCGTGTTTGTGCCAAAGCCTGCTTTGTCTGTTGGCATGCGTGTGTTTTGAGTATGTGTGCTTATGTGTGTCAGTATTTGTGAGCACATGCATGTGTTAATGTGTGAGTGCATGCGTGTGTTTATGTGTGGGTATGTGTGTGTGTAAGTATGATGCGTGTTAATGTGTGAGTGACTGAGTAAGTGTCTAAATATCTATCTATCTATCTATCTATCTGTCTATCTATCTATCTATCTATCTATCTATATGTGTGTGCGTGCGTGCGTGGGGTGGCCATGTGTGTTTACGGGTGCTCGCTGTGACGTTGGTAGTCTACGTCAGTAGTCTGGTGAAAACCATAGGAATTCCTACAATGATCACTTGATCCTGGAACATGTAAGGGAGGCAACAAAGTATGTGTGTGTTTGAAGGCATGTTTTGCCCTTGTGACGTAAAATGTAACTCACTCACTCACTGCAGGCATGGTAACAAGGTGGTCAGTGTGCGTTGTGTTAGTGCTGGCGTGTGTGTGCCTGTGCGTGTGCGTGTGCGTGTGCGTCTGTGCTAACTGATGCATATGCGTGCACATTTTTGTACATCTCCGCATGTTTCCAGTTGCATACAAAGATCAAGAACGAGTTCAAACAAAAGGTGCACGATGACTACACTGGACCACAAAAGAAGGACGTCTTCTCCCTCCTTGTCAACATCCTCTGCTACTCTGTAAGTAAATTGACATCACCAACGACGATGCTATATGCCATTACGAACCATAGACTATATATCATTACCGACTCTTAGTTCAATCACTAGTGAAGACCCGGGTTCGATTCCCCACATAGATACAATATGTGAAGCCCATTTCTGGTGTCCCCCGCCGTGATATTGCTGGAATATAGCTTAAACCGGCGTAAAACTAACCTCACTCACTCACTCTGTCACTAGTATCTAGAGTGATTGGCTATTTGCAAAGACAGAGTGTTGAATAAAAATTATTTCCACCTGCAGCGTTAATATTGAGGGGCGATCGGGTAGCCTAGTGGTTAATGCCTTCGCTCGTAACGCTGAAGACCCGGGTTCGATTCCCCATTTGGATAAAATATGTGAAGCCCATTTCTGGTGTCGCCCACCACGATATTGCTGGACTGACTGACTGAGTTTGGTTTTACGCCGCTTTTAGCAATATTCCAGCAACATCACGGCGGGGGACACCAGAAAATGCCCATGTGGGGATTGACGAGCCAACGCTTTAACCATTAGGCTACCCCACCGCCCCGATATTGCTGGAATATTGCTAAGAGCGGCGAAACTGAGGTACCGGAATAAAATACTCCGCCATCGAATAGCAATCCTCTGATTTTTTAAATTTTAAGCCACAAATAAACATGGGGGTAGCATACAATCCTTTGTACGGCAGTCTACATCTGTACCACAAACCACCATCCCCTCCAACCCCCCTACCCTAACACCAACCCACCCACTTCACCCCCTCCCTCCCTCACCAATGGTTGGAAACGTTTCACTGTTGACGACGTCAGTGACGTGGTGTTGTTTCGCCAGTTGAACTGCTGCGGCATGGCTGGACCTGACGACTTTGACCACACGGCGCCGTGGACGAACTACAACCTAAAGACCGGGGGAACGTACCACATTGACGTCACGCCGGCATGTTGTGTCCACAGCTACCTCAAGGCCAACGACCTCTCATGCGCCCGGAAACAACCTGGGTCTGGGTCTGAGTATGACACAAACAAGACAAATACAAGGGTAAGTACCTTTCTCTTTTAGACGGGGCGGTGGGTTGGTCTAGTGGTTAAAGCCTTCGTTCGTCACGCCGAAGCTGGGACAGGACACATCAGGTGGGGAATATTTACCTGAAGCTGCCTTTGTGTCTGTTGTTGTGGTGGTGGTAGAATTGGGTTTAACGTCGTGCTTGAGAATATTCGGCTCATATGACGTCACGCCGAATCTCACCACAGCTGGAACAGGACACATCAGGTTAGGAATACTTACCTGAAGCTTCCTTTGTGTCAGTTGTGGTGGTGGTGGTAGAATTGGGTTTAACGTCGTGCTTGAGAATATTTCGCTCATATGACGTCACGCCGAATCTCACCACAGCTGGAACAGGACACATCAGGTTGGGAATACTTACCTGAAGCTTCCTTTGTGTCAGTTGTGGTGGTGGTGGTAGAATTGGGTTTAACGTCGTGCTTGAGAATATTTCGCTCATATGACGTCACGCCGAATCTCACCACAGCTGGAACAGGACACATCAGGTTGGGAATACTTACCTGAAGCTTCCTTTGTGTCAGTTGTAGCTGTAGTTGATAGGAAGGAGGGACAGTGAGGTAGTGTAGTGGTTAAAGCGTTTGCTCGTCATGCCAAAGACCTGGGTTCGATTCCACACATCGGTACAATGTGTGGAGCCCATTTCTGGTGTCCCCCGCCGTGATATTGCTGGTATTTGTTAAAAGCGGCGTAAAATTCTCTCACTCACTTTTAGACCGTCTCCATGGTCAGGCGTTTGTTTGTTTGTTGTGTAACACCACACTTAGCAAAAATCCAGTGATTGATATCATGAGCAGCGATCTACGTATTTGGGGGGCGGAGGGGTAGCCTAATGGTTAAAGCGTTGGCCCGTCACGCCGAAGACCCGGGTTCGAATCCCCACATGGGTACAATGTGTGAAGCCCATTTCTGGTGTCCACCGCCGTGATGTTGCTGGAATATTGCTAAAAGCGGCGTAAAATCAAACTCAGTCAGTCAGTCAGTCAGTCAGTCTACGTATTTTGGGGTCAGCGATCTGGACTGTAGTCTGTTTGCATTGAAAACGTACCGATGAATGTCAATTTAAACAAAAAAGTAAATCGAATAAGATGAAATTAAGATTGCGAATCCTCATATATTTACCTTGCCAAGTGAACATTTAAATCTCAGAATTTTATTCAACTTAGGATAAAAGTTGTTTAACAAACGATCATAGTTTCAAATCGCTATTATTGGTTTGTATTATAAGGGGGTATGCACATTAAATGAAACACCGGTACATGTAGAGTTGGTCTAAGTTAACGCTCATCACGAACCGCACGTGCATTTGTTTCACTGTTCCATCTACAGTGCTCACCCCCTTGTAAAACAAACCAAGCCAACTTTTGTCCTACAATGTATATATTCTGAGATTTAAATGTTCACTTGGCAAGGCAAAATTATGAGGATTCGCAGTCATAATTTCACTTTATTTGATTTACCTTTTTGTTTAAAGTGAAATTCATCGGTACTGCAAACAGACTATAGCTGATACAGTAAGTTAGTGTTGGGAATCGGAAACCAAATCCACAATCGATTATGGTAGGACCTGTGGCGAACGATTATCGATTATAATCGGAATATATACATTTTTAATGTAATCACCAAGTTTAGGGTTTTTTCCCCAGTTTTCTTTTTCGAATTAAAGTTTTTTAAACTTATACTGTCATGCAATGAAATGCATGCATGCAAGTAAGACACTGCAATTGTAATTAAACTGTAAAAGTGGTTAAAATTTTACAATGCGCATAGCTTTACACTGTTGAGCGGATGTTTGTTCGTGAATATTCGTCAAATTTAATGGTTAGTTTACTTCATTCAAATCAAAATTCCAATCAATCGAAAATATGTTTTTTTACAATCGATAATCATTTTTAATCCTTCTTTCGATCGATTTTCGAATATTTTCGATCATCGGAACACCACTGCGGTTAGTCACTTCTTAATCGAGTGACCGACAATAAGAGTGTCGATGTTTGCATTTGGGATACGATGAAATGCCTCAATAAAGTCAGCGATCTGGACTAGTGGAAACGGTTACTATGTCGATTTGTAAATAATTGATTCTGGATAGGGAGGCCTGGGGGTAGCCTAGTGGTTAAAGCGTCCTCTTGCCACGCCGAAAACCCGGGTTCGATTCTCCACATGGGTACAACATGTGAAGCCCATTTCTGGTGTCCCCCGCCGTGATATTGCTGGAATATTGCTAAAAGCGGAGTAAAACTCACACACTCACTCACATTCTGGATATGAAAATCCAGTGAATGATATCTTGAGCATCGATCTACGCATTTGGGATACGCTGACACGCGACAACTGAGTCAAGGATCCTGGCCAGCCAATACCATTAGACCAATTCTAACCGGTCCGTGATCTAGTGGCTGGAACGTCTATTTGAAGAGTGGAAGGTCGGGGGTTTGATTCGATGACCGCGCTTTGCCGTCTTAATCATGGTACTTGTTGCTGCTCTGCCTGGTACGTGGTATACAGGGGTTAAACCAAGGACCTAGTCAGTTTTCAGTTTTCAGTATACTATGAGCTATGAAGTCCCAAAATATAATGCTTTACATGTCAACCAACAAATCTGACATCATACAGTAGAGCACCGTTGTGTCAAACTCTGATAACTCGATATCTCGGTAGTCTCGATATAAATATCGGTTCCGGCAAAATCCTTCATAATTTATCATTATTCAAGCTCTTTTAACTCTATATGGATGTCTCGAAGTTCGGATTACTCGGTATTTTTTCTTGGTCCCATGAATATCGAGACAACGGTGCTCGACTGCATGTTTCGATAGTACAGTTAAAACAGTGTATATTTTCTGTAACCCCAATTTCTTATATCTATGTTTCAGGGTTGTTATGACAAAATTCTAGACGAGGTCAATAACAACAAGAAATTTGGCGTCATCGGCATTGTGGTCATCATTGTACTACTGGTAAGTCTCACGTAATATGTCACGTCCTGTGGTAGAAATGACGTAACAGGTCTTGTCTTGTGATAATAATGACGTAACAAGTATTGTCCTGTGGTAATAATGACGTAACACGTCTTGTTGGGTGATGATAATGACGTAACAAGTATTGTCCTCGGGTGATATTGACGTAACACGTCTTGTCCTCTGGTAATATTGACGTAACAAGTCCTATCCTGTGGTAATAATGACGTGACACGTCTTGTCATGTGGTAATAATAACGTAACACGTCTTGTCCTGTGGTAATAATGACGTAACACGTCTTGTCCTGTGGTAATAATGGCGTAACACGTCTTGTCCTGAGGTAATATTGACGAAACACGTCTTGTCTAGTGATAATAATGACGTAACACGTCTTGTCCTGTGGTAATATAACGAAACAGGTCTTGTCCTGTGGTAATAATGGCGTAACACGTCTTGTCATGTGGTAATAATGACCTAACACGTCTTGTCCTGTGGTAATATTAACGAAACACGTCTTGTCCTGTGGTAATAATGACGTAACACGTCTTGTCATGTGGTAATAATGACCTAACACGTCTTGTCCTGTGGTAATATTGACGAAACACGTCTTGTCCTGTATTAATATTGACGTAACACGTTTCATCCCGTGGTTATTATAAAATAATACGTCCTTTCCCGTGGTAACTTTGACTTCACTGGGAACGGTACCGTCCGGTTTAACGGGATTTCATTGTATACATATCCGTTTACTAAGCCCTGCAAGTGTTGTTTTCAGGCTCTGGAGGCGGTGTTTTCGGTTGCTCTCATCAGAAGCATCAACAAGGGGGTCTCCCCTGTATAACAGGTGCGTGCCACGTGGTCTCCTGACTTCAATATGTTTACATGACAGTTACATGACTTGGACTAAACCCTGTGTTCAACTTAGTTTTGGTTTGGTTTGTTGTTTTATGCCACGCTCAGCAATATTCCAGCTATATGGCGACGGTCTGTAAATGATGGAGTCTGGACCAGACAATCAAGTGATCAAAAGCATGAATATCAATCTGCGCAATTGGGATACGAGCGAGCGTAACCGCTTGGTCCCGTTAGTCGCCTTTTACGACAAGCATGGGTTACTGAAGACCAATTCTAACCGGAGTTTAGTAACATATAGGGGTTTGAGTTTAGTCTGCTTTTAAGAATGAACAAAATAGGCTCTACGTGTACAATCATGGTCACTCACTGTCAAACACTGAAGCTCACAATATATGGCATTACGTCATACAGGTACAAGAATCGCAATATATTGCCATATGATTTATTGGCCAATACACAGTTCTATTATCCATAGTCAGTCAACTTCTCATTGACTGACTTCGGCTTATGTATACAAGATTGTAGTCTGTCTCACAGTCCCTGAACCACATTATTTCCCCTACTGCCAAGCCCTCTCTGCAGTGCTCAAGCCCTATATAAAGCAAGTCTAGATTCCTCAGGTTCAGAATCTCTGGTCTCCCTAGGGCTCCTTTTCAATATATATGGGCTTGTTTGTTATTATCAAAATTATATGTATTCAGAGACTAAGCCTTAGTCTAACAAGATTGCTGTTGTTTGAATCTCATATGACCAAATTTCCTTCTCGAGTCATCGTGTGTATTTATGAGACGAATTCGTGTAACCGGTATTCAAATGGTGACAACTATAACAGGGAATGGTCGGGACCGACAGGTACTTCGAGTTATGCATAATATTCGAGACACCGGCATTCGACTCATCGGGATTTGACTGTATATATTTCGTTTCAGGTTTCTCTGAAGGGGATGAGGGCGCGTGCACATAAATGTATACATACTTCATTGATATGAAGGATTCTCATAGACCTCGATCTTCACGGCAAATTCCCACATACTGATCTGACGAAATCAATGGCCATATGACTTTGTAATAGGTCTACATATCGGTTGCTATACAGTTTGAGTGAATGAACCACAGATTTACAGTCAGTATGTTGGATCACCTATAAGTATGTCGGTGTTTCAAGTATGTCTTACATTGTTCGTATACACAAGTTAAAGGCTTCCTTTTGAATGCCTATTTTCGTTATAAACTGAAGTACAAAAGAAAGGTCTCACCTTTTGTTTTGTGTGTATTTTCAACCAAACAACAAAATATTTTGGCTAGTTTTCTAAAATTACTAGTAAGCACAAGATGTGAACTTTCATTTTGTAATCAGTATATTTTTATCTGTCCATCCACTTTGAAATTGTGTACAATAATTGTTGAAAAAGAATGAACGAATGTTATTTAATGCCGCATTCTGCAATATTCAGCCATACTTTGACGGCATGCACAAAGCTTGAAACAAGAAACCAGAGTTGATATGATAACCATTGCCCCATGCCATCGTGTAAAGTGACATCCAATAAACAAAGCCAAACCGTCTGACCACCAGATCCTCTTTAATACCCGAGGCGATTGGGTAGCCTACTGGGTTATGGGTTCGCCCATCACGCTGAAGAGCCAACAGGCAACATGAACGTGTAAATTGTATTTGTTGAATTATATGAATGGACATGTGTTTATCTAAACTGACGTACGAAAGAAAGCACACATCAGACTTTTGGGGACTTCGCTCCAAAAAGCCAACGTGAATATTTTGGCAAGTGCTTAGTTGTGCCTCACAAACATTGTGTCCGTGTGGCCAAAACACCAGAGACATCGTACATAGGCGGATCCAGAGGGGTGGGGGTGGGGTGCAGGGTGATTTTGTCCTGAAAGTTTATTAAATGACCATTGAAACTCTAGTGAGAAACGGGTGAAAATGAAGCGTGCAAACCCCACACACCCCACATCCCCACCACCCCATCCTCCTCTTTCTAAAAAAACTGTATAGCCCTAACGAAGACGGTTCAGTGGATGTTGACGGGTTCATCACTTGCAGGGTATTATCAAAACACGTTTCACAATATTTATTTATATTTTTGTGGACCATATGACACACGACACGCCCATTGCTCGTGTAGGCTCACCACTGTTCAATAAATAGTCTACTTTATACGCTGGTTGTCAGTTAAATGTATGTCGTGTATAATACAGAAAAAATCATTACAAACTGTATTCCTGTTGTTTTTCCTGTTTTTTTCTTCAAATAACTATGACGTGACTGTTATCCTTAACTGCAATGATGTCAGAAATTGCGTTATTATAGAAAGATTACCATGGAAACCGACATGATGAGATGGTGTTCAGCAATGAGGAGACAAACATTACGCTAAGCATTGTACAATATATAATATAAATGTATGTGAAACACTAGACATATACAGTAATACAGTAGAAATGTATGTGAAACACTAGACATATACTGTAGAAATGTATGTGAAACAATAGACATATACTGTAAAAATGTATGTGAAACAATAGACACACAGAGTAGAAATGTATGTGAAATACTAGACATATACTGTAAAAATGTATGTGAAACAATAGACATATACTGTAAAAATGTATGTGAAACAATAGACACACAGAGTAGTAATGTATGTGAAACACTAGACATATACTGTAAAACTGTATGTGAAACAATAGACACACAGAGTAGAAATGTATGAGAAAAACACTAGACATATACTGTAAAAATGTATGTGAAACAATAGACGAAATGTATGTGAAGCAATAGACACACGGTAGAAAAGTATGTGAAACAACAGACATATAATGTAAAAATGTATGTGAAACAATAGACACACAGGTGAAATGTATGTGAAACAATAGACATATACTGTAAAAATGTACGTGAAACAATAGACGAAATGTATGTGAAACAATAGACACAGAGTAGAAATGTATGTGAAACAACAGACACAGAGCAGAAATATATGTGAAACAATAGACACACAGAGTAGAAATGTATGTAAAACAATAGATACAGAGTAGAAATGTATGTGAAACAATAGACACACAGTAGAATTGTATTTGAAACAATAGACACAGAGTAGAAATGTATGTGAAACAATAGACACACAGTAGAATTGTATTTGAAACAATAGACACAGAGTAGAAATGTATATGAAACAATAGACACAGAGTAGAAATGTATGTGAAACAATAGACACAGAGTAGAAATATATGTGAAACAATAGACACACACAGTAGAAATGTATGTGAAACAATAGACACACACAGTAGAAATGTATGTAAAACAATAGACACAGAGTAGAAATGTATGTGAAACAATAGACACACACAGTAGAAATGTATGTGAAACAATAGACACAGAGTAAAAATGTATGTGAAACAATAGACACACAGTAGAAATGTATGTGAAACAATAGAAACACAGAGTAAAAATGTATGTGAAACAATAGACACACAGTAGAAATGTATGTGAAACGTTATGCCATATACAGTACTCTGGGTTTGTATGCTGGGAAAACTGTAATCTGCCGGCTTCCACACTTTTTCACATGATTACCAAAAGCTATTAAGATTATTGGGCTGATTTGCTTGCGTGCTGTGCACATTCGGCTCTTTCAAGGTAATGAAATGTAATTCCAACGGATCATATAATTGTATAAACCTCCTCTGACGTCACTCTATTGTCTCGCCAGGTTATCCTTTTACCGGGTAAACCTCTACAGGCAGTTTTAATTTTCTCCAAGAAATCCCAGGGATTTTCTACAGAATTTCCCAGGTCCTAGGGATTTTCTTCACAATTGCACGGGGATTTTCTTAAGAAAAGCTCTCGATTTTACGTGTACAAGGTTTGAAGATTGATATAACTTTGTCTTGCTATTACTAAATACGAAGAAAGTCATATCATGTGTCTTTTTCTCATCATCCGTTGAACATTAATTGTCCGTCAAGTGAGGCCTGAAGTTGCTCTTTGGAGACTCTCTAAACAATTATGTTTACCCAAATCTTTTTTATATCTCTGTCTGTATAAAGTTATTAAACATCTGCGAATCTTCCTCCAAAAATGTTTTTCTTGAAAATAAACACGTGCATATAGTCACTCAGAGGCCCAGATAAGCTGCGTATCCGGGTAAAATACGCATAGAAAATTTCCAATTACGCATTGAAAAATAATTGTTGCGTACCAATTACGCATTTAAAATGTTAGATACGCAAAATGTTTAAAACAAATGCGTACGAAATATATTTATATAAATCGCTTGCGTAATGAAAAAGACATGGATTGCTATCAAGTTGTACTGTTAGTATAGGACTAGTGTTGTACTGTCAGTATAATAATAATAATAATAATAAGTGTTCTTGTATAGCGCACAAATCAAACTGCAAGGCAATTTCTCTAGGCGCTAAAAGATAGAGTGATCTGAAGAAAGGATTAAAGTTCATAAGCTTGTTTAAAAAGGAAAGTTTTCAGTTGGGACTGGAAAGATTCCACGGACGCGGCTTGTCGGATGTGAAGAGGCAGTGAGTTCCAGAAAAGGGGGAGAGCTGTGTAAGAGAACTGTCTATGTCCATATGACTTTAATCTGACCTTGGGGACATTCAACTGACAATTAGAACTTGATCTTAAAAGCCGTGGTGGGACATATTCACTGAGGAGATCTTTCAGATAGATTGAGCTTTGTCATGGAGGCACTTGAAAGCGAGAGTGAGGATTTTATATTCTATTCTCTGTTTCGTGGGCAGCCAATGTAAGCGTATCAGCAATGGTGTAATGTGACTGCGCTTGTTGACTCGCAAATCAATCGCGCCGCAGAGTTCTGAATCCTCTGGAGCTTGGACAATAGATCTTGGCGGATATTTACAAGAAGACTGCAGCAATAATCCAAACGTGAGAGAACAAGTGAACGAACTAGGTGGTGAGCTGCATCAAATGTCAGAATATCACGAATGGAAGCAATATTTCTGAGATGAAAATAGCATGACTTACAAACAGAGTTTACGTGTGTTTCCATGGATAAATTTGAGTCTAGAAAAACACCAAGGTCTTTCACGGAATCACTGAAAGGAACTTTCTCATTACCCACTACCAACGAAGACACATCCACCTTAGCAGTGCTACTGGGTGATCCACACAGCAAAACCTCGGTCTTACTGTCATTTAATCTCAGCTTCCTTTGTAACATCCATGCTTTGGAGTCAAGGATACAGTCTTCGATTATAGACATATAGGATGAGTGATTTTGTATGAAATCATTTCTATTATATTTAAGTTGGTTTTGATTAGGTATGACATAACTCAGAACATACCTGCTTAGTAAACTTACTCAATGACATAATACTTAGGTGAGTAAAATGACTGAAATACGCACATATTTGAAAGCAGTGGGTAACGGAAAATGAAATACCCACTCAACATTCATAATACCCACTCAAAAAAAATACAGTGGGTACAGTACCCACATGAGCTAAATCTTATCTGGAGCTCTGAATATAGTGATACTCATCCAGGTCAGACAAGAGACAGTATGTTATTCCTGAGGTTAAAGAAGGGGTATGCTTAAACCAATGATGTTCCAGGTAACTGATGAACTGATAGAAATATGAACTTTTACGAATATTTAAAGATAAATGTTCAGCGCCCACTATGACCGCCATGCATTAAAAGAGAATATCCTTTTGGATTATGTATAAAACCAAAAGTAATCATATAAAGTCATACAGGCTACTCGGCTTATAATTTCTAAACTGATTGAATCAGAAACGGAAATCACAGAATAGCTGTTAATGTCCTTAGCAGCGAAGAGTATATTTTATACTGGTATGCAGGTGCGTTCACTTCACGTTTCATCTGGGTTGCCTCCCCTGTCTTCTGACATGCGCTGTGAACCCTAGCAACCGACATCACATCACGATGGACGGCGAAGAGGAACAAGCTACTTCTGCTGGAGATACCAATAATGGTAATATTGTATGGCTTATGCACTATAAATTTTATGTTATGTCGTTTTAATTGCCAATTTTGGTGGTAATCATCTGGCATTAGTACTGACTGTCGAAGAGTACAATGCCGAAAATGTTAGATGATTGTTTTTGTTCTGTTTTCGATCACACACAAACACCTGCCTGTACCTAACTCTCACTTAAAAATTATGCAGTTTGAAATGATGTACCATGTTATACAATTACTTAGCATTTATTAACTTAACACTAGGCTGTGGCAAAGCCTCTATGGCCTTTATGCTTAATTTCGAACACTGACAAATGTATTTTCTGCAGTTTGAATGTTTACTGAGCTCTATTTAAATAGACAAGCGATTGTCAGTGAGTCTCACATGCATAATGTTCACCTAAAAAAAAATAATAATAAGAAAACAGATCACATTTAGTGAAAAAATATTGAGCATAACTGAAACAAATCTAATAATGAGTAATTCTTTATAAAACAGAATGGGTATGATGGTAGAAAGATTGTAAAAAGCCAGGGGACACCATCTAGCAGCAGCATCAAGTAGCGTTGATTTTGAACACATCCTGTCAAAATGTTGTGGCTTCACGTTTTTGAATTTTGTGAAATCATAGGGTTAGAAAATAAGTTTACCAATTTGGTCTACTGCATGGCTGCCATTTATGGGTCTTCAACAATTAAAGTCAACTGCGCTTCCCATGACCAGCATCAGTACTTGTTTCAGAAATACTAACAATGACTAGAGTATATTGCAAGCATGCAGGAAACCCTTATGTTCAAAGTACTGTGATATGATGTGATACATACTATCAGGGTGCCAAGTACCTGTGTGATAATCCTACCGTTCCCTGGCTGTCATGGAAAATAACTATTATCCAGCTTATATCAACTGATTCAGTCATTTTGTTTTGGCGCAAAGCTAATTATACAGTAATAATATTTGTTTGGCTGTTATGTCATGAAACAGCTTTTGCAGTCGACTTTGAGTTTGAGACAGGAATGCATTTTTCTGGGTACAGTTACAGTACTGCATAGTTACAGAGGTGGTGGAATTCCTAGATGACATTTCTCCATCACAAAAGATTCATAGGGTCGCATTCTGTAATTACATCAGATTGTTGTTTGATAATTTATGATTGTATAATTTTCATGTGTACAAAATACCCAAATATCTGCAAATATTGTTTGATGGCTTTGAACTGACCAACTGCTTGGTTTCTATTCGAATCTCATACTTTCATAGTAATATTAATATTGCTGTTAATCCAAATCTATCAATATATTCTGTTATTAATATTAATATGATTCAATAATCAACATGCTTTTATAGAATTGCAGTTTAGTTTAGAAACGTGATCATAATGCCAGACTTTTGTTGAGTGTATTCATGACCCACTTCAGCTACCCCTGATGAGTCTAGGTCTACCCCAACTGTGGGGAGGAAGTCACGTAATCTGAAGGAAGCCACCATCCATCTCAAGGAGGAAGCACTGAGGCGATACAAGCTGAAGCATGGCCATGATGCCCCAGCTGATGCTGACTTCGACCGAGAAACTCCAGGTCCTGAGGAAACCAAAGATGAAGGGAGGGCTGATACGGATACAGGCAAGTCTCAGGAGGAGCTGACAGTTGATGCTGATGTTGAGATGAAGAAGTCTACAAATGAAGATGCTGATGCTAGTGGTTTGAGCCTCAAACAGGGAGAAGCTACACAGTCCCCCAGTCAACCTGCAGGGCTCGATGAAGGGGTTACTGGAAATGTTGTACAATCAGACATTGGTGCTGGAAAAAATGACAAAGGTGATATAGAAGAGAAATCAGCATCAAATCAAAAGGAGGAAGAGGATGCAAGCAAACCAGCTGACTCTGATGTAGCCATGCCTAAGGATCGAAAAGACACAGACACTATTTCAACAGCTGGAACAAACAGGGCTAACACAGATGACCCCGAATCAAGTCAGTTGGGGGTCATGGCAGCTGTAGACAGTGCAGCTGTAGCTGAAGACTATGGGACAGGGAAAGCTGTAGATAACAGCGCGCCCCACCAGCTGAACCTCGGTCGTTAGGTATATAGCGTGTGATCCACCCCCCCTCTGTCTCCACGATTCTGGCTGCCTCGTGTTGGCACCTCCAGCAACTCTTTGAACCTCAACCAATGATATGTTGATGATTTGCATGAATATTTATAATAATCCTCTTTTGTATGTTGGTTATGGCTTCTTTGCAATGTTTGTTTGATAAATGTGTCGGTGATTTGCATGTTTCATCCCATATTAATCCTCTTCTGTATAATATACTGTACAGCAAAAGTAACGCAAGCCTGGCTTTTTGTCAAGTTTTTTAATAGAAGACAACCAAAATCATGTCTAATCATTTATTCTATAGAAAACACTGTCAATTTAACAGTTAAAAGTTGCTGTTGTCATTGAATTGCAATAAGTTCAAATTGATCACAGTCCGTCAAATGGAGATACCCCTGAACGCAAAAAGTGACAGTCTCTCTTTAGGAGCTTGCACACAGGCCGTACAACGTAGCCTCATTGACTTCACTAGAGTCTGAAAGACTGCCTGAGGCAACTGGTTCCGCTCAAACACCAATCTGTATTCCAATTGTGCAAGTGTGAGTGGCTGTCTACCTGCCCCAATCCTCTGTCCAATTTCGTCCCAGAATGTTCAAAGGGAGCCATATCCGGGAAAGAGACGGCCATGGAAAAATGTTAACATTGTTCTGAGCCAGATGATCCATCAACACCCTTGCTGTTTGAGGGCTGCTGGCGTTGTTGACCTGTCAAAACTGGCCCCACATATGACCGTCGGCAGTGGATTCCAGCAGCCCGAAGACGACGCCTAATCGTATTGCTGGACACTGCTCCACTTGACCCAAGAACTAAGGCTGCTGTTACTGTTTCTGCTTGAGTTCGGTTCTTTAGATGAGTGACTCGGATGAACCGATCTTACGTATGAGTTGTCACTCGTAGCTGTCCGGTATGGGGACGATCAGCAGCAACCCCGGTTTACTCATGACGTTGAGAAAGTTGTGTAATGGTGGTAAGATGTCAGCCCAATTGTCTAGCTACAGCGGTTGCAGAGCTACCTCCGTGCAACTTTCCAATGGCCATTCCCCTCTGCTCAGCCATTAGTCTAGGCATCGTTTGTGTCGCGTGTACACCTCCGAACGTCAATACTGAACTGTTTTTTGACACAAACCTTTATAAAGGATACCTCAGAGTGAAATGCATGCTTCCCATCCAGAACCGTCGACGCATGTGCTAAAATTATGGTTTTGCTGCACTGATGGTGTGTTTGAGCGAATGTTTCGTATGGACGTCAAATTGTATGACATCATCTCATCTGGGATCATTACGTCACTTTACCATGAACGATCCATAAACATGAACGCTTACCTTCTTGAAATTTCATTTTTTCGAAACTTGCGTTTCTTTTGCTGTTCAGTATAGTATGATTTGTTCACTGTGTGACCTTTTACTCTTTCTGAGGTTCTAACCTGTATAACTAACATCCATATACCCACAGATTGATTAACGTTAATCTCTCACTGAGTTTCTAATATTGAGCGATACGTTCAATAACAGTCTGTGCTTATAGTTTGAAGCCCTGAGTCGAGTAAAGTTTATGCGTCAACTGCTTTATTATGAGGAACTCAAAGTTTTGAGTATATTCATCCCCTCCTTCGAGGAATGATAAACAATTGAAAGAAATATATAATAATACATAAAGGCAACAATTTATGGATGTCAGCTTCTATATTTTGAGGAACATGATGTTTCAGAGTAGATTCTTACTCCTTAATCAGGTCATGTTCGATGCCGTGTACCTCAAAATAAAGATGTTGACATCCATAAATTCTCACTTTTTATGTGTATCACTTCTACATGCTGTTCAGTGACTTTATTACAATTAATGTTCTGGTAAATAGCATCGAGTGGCAAAGTTTGGGCTGGTAGAATCAATTATGTTTTGGGCCCAGATTACAACAGACAAATTATGTTTTTGAATGAAAGTTTCACAGGTTGTTAGTTTTGTAATAGCTTTGTGTCATAATTTTTATCTTTACATTGATATGTAAGCTGGTAATTAAGAACTGATATTGCACCCTAAATGAAAGTATCATGAAATCAGTAATTTTATTAAAGGTGAAAATTTATGGATGAATTTTTCCCTGAATTTCCGCCTGTATGTAGATCAATTCTAAATGCCGTTCAAAGACAGTAATGTTATTGACACTTAGTGAGAGAACATGTATACCCTAGTGTTTTAAGAAGCACAACTCTCCTATGCTTGTCGTGTTACAGTAGGATACTGTTTAGTACCTCCCTGTACTTATAGTTTGGATATTCTAGTTACGGTGTAACAGTGTTGTCTTACAGATTCAACAGGTAATGACAGTTTATTGAGATAATTTGTATGTATTTAAAATACAATAGTAACATGCTTTTAAATTTGGTAACAATATCAACTCCAAAGTTTAGGATATGTATATTTCTAGTAACTTTTTGAAAACCCCCAAAATGGATTAGTTCTTAATGTGTTTTGGTTTTGAAAGGAAATTTCTTAAAGACAATATGAAAATAATGAAAGAGGAATTAGATGAAAATTGGTAACAGTCAACTTAAGATGAGACATTTTTTGTCAGTTTTATCTCTAAATATCACATAATAAAAAACTTGAAGGTAAATAACTTTCATCTTCATGCCTCTCTGTTTTTTGTCAATATCTTTTGCAGCCCTACAAAATGGTTGAGATGTATGCAATGTTTTTCATGTTGGACATAAATTTGAACTTTGTGAGACCAAACCATATATGTTTCTTACCCCTGCATTGGTTACAGCTGCTATCACTATACAGTCGTGTACTGTTTAACCCAGTCATACATATTCATATACTCACTCACTATTCATATACTAATGGGCTGCTGTATATTCTGTAAATCTACACAATGTCAGGACACTTGTAGATATATAGCAGGGGCGTAGTTACCGTAATAAAAAAAGCCCGGCCTTACCCATGATTGTTGCTAAAAAGGCTGGGCAAGCCCTCAATACTATCTAAATATAAAGCTTTGTAACCTATCGGGCTTACACGAAAAAATTGGCTTGCTACGTGCCTGTATAGAGAAGTTCACCTTAATCCATATACTAGTATAGCTGTGTGTGACCTTCTAACCTCCATGTATTGCTGTAATCAAGAACACCAGTAGAATCATCATCTTTACTGATGAATTAATCCATATATAGCTGTGTGTGAGTCTCTAACTCGGTCATATATACTTGTATATCCATGTACTACTGTCACAGTGTTGCTCACTGCAATATCACCAGTAGAAACACCATTGTAACTGATGAATTAATCCATATATAGCTGTGTGTGAGTCTCTAACTCGGTCATATATACTTGTATATCCATGTACTACTGTCACAGTGTTGCTCACTGCAATATCACCAGTAGAAACACCATCGTAACTGATGAATTAATCCATATATAGCTGTGTGTGAGTCTCTAACTCAGTCATATATACTTGTATATCCATGTACTACTGTCACAGTGTTGCACACTGCAATATCACCAGTAGAAACATCATCGTAACTGTTGTAACGATCCATCATGTTGTAAGTGTAACTAGCCATGACCTGCTGCGTGCTTTAGTGTAGTGTTAATTGTGAATTGTTCTACTGTGACCTATGTGTTTTATGTTTCACTAACATTCATAACCAGGTGTCTTGTAAGTGATGAGAGATTTCTACAGAGACATATTAATATGGTTGTGTGTTTTCAGAACCTGGTCAAGGGGAGACAACTCAAGACACAGGCGATGCCCCTGTTGAAGGTATGACTATTAGATACCCTTCTTGATTTTTTGATGATTAAAAATTTCCAAGTTTTTATAATTGCAGTCAAATCCCGATGAGTCGAATGCCGGTGTCTCGAATATTATGCATAACTCGAAGTACCTGTCGGTCCCGACCATTCCCTGTTATAGTTGTCATCATTTGAATACCGGTTACACAAATTCTTCTCATAAATACACACGATGACTCGAGAAGGAAATTTGGTCCCATGAGATTCAAACAACAGCAATCTTGTATACATAAGCCGAAGTCAGTCAATGAGAAGTTGATTGGTGTAGCAAACTGATCCAATTAACAAAGCAGCGCGGCTCACACCTTTCCGCCATTGACGGGTGAGTTCAAAAGGCAGATTAGTGATTTTACTGACATCACTGTCTGTGCTAATCAGACTGGAACTGATAAGTTGCCCCTATTAGTGATATGGAAATCATTAGGTAAACAAATGCTTAGGTGGAGGAATTAGGACTGGATCATCTTTTTTCTACCTTCTTAGACATACCTTTGTCTTGAATACATCGATAAGACGAATTTATTACTTGTAACATGTGTTATATTTGGGATTACACTTTCTTAGTAAAGTACAAATTCTAGTACTTTTTGAGTTGAGCCCCATCCGGGATTCGAACTCACACCCTCAGAGTCAGGCACCCAATCGCCAGCACACAAAGTCAGCCGCCTAACCCACTCAGCTACCGCGACTTCCACAAAAATGGAAGTCGGACAACTGGTAGTCTAGACTGCGGGCTTTGTGTACCCCTCTGATAAGTGTTAATTGGCACGGCTCCCACGGCCGAAAGCTATGATTACACAATGCCATTTAGAAAGTGGTCAAATGTAACATGTGTTATATTTGGGATTACACTTTCTTAGTAAAGTACAAATTCTAGTACTTTTTGAGTTGAGCCCCATCCGATTCGAACTCACACCCTCAGAGTCAGGCACCCAATCGCCAGCACACAAAGTCAGCCGCCTAACCCACTCAGCTACGCGACTTCCACAAAATGGAAGTCGGACAACTGGTAGTCTATACTGCGGGCTTTGTGTACCCCTCTGATAAGTGTTAATTGGCACGGCTCCCACGGCCGAAAGCTATGATTACACAATGCCATTTAGAAAGTGGTCAAATGTAACATGTGTTATATTTGGGATTACACTTTCTTAGTAAAGTACAAATTCTAGTACTTTTGAGTTGAGCCCCATCCGGGATTCGAACTCACACCCTCAGAGTCAGGCACCCAATAAGCCAGCACACAAAGTCAGCCGCCTAACCCACTCAGCTACATGACTTCCACAAAAATGGAAGTCGGACAACTGGTAGTCTAGACTGCGGGCTTTGTGTACCCCTCTGATAAGTGTTAATTGGCACGGCTCCAGTTGTCCGACTTCCATTTTTGTGGAAGTCGCGGTAGCTGAGTGGGTTAGGCGGCTGACTTTGTGTGCTGGCGATTGGGTGCCTGACTCTGAGGGTGTGAGTTCGAATCCCGGATGGGGCTCAACTCAAAAAGTACTAGAATTTGTACTTTACTAAGAAAGTGTAATCCCAAATATAACACATGTTACATTTGACCACTTTCTAAATGGCATTGTGTAATCATAGAATTTATTACTTGGTCCCCAGCGATTCGACTCATCGGGATTTGACTGTAATTCAAATTTGAATTTGTCCCACTTGACATATATTTTTATTGAGATCAGTAAGCTGTGAAATTGTTGTGTTTCACCTGCTGATATTCTGTGTGTTATATACCTAGTGTCTGAGCAAGGTGCCAACACCAGTCGACCCCCGAGCGGGGCAGGGATACAAGCAGGTGAAAATATCATTATATAGTCTAGCCTTTCTACTAGTTACCACCGTATATAACATGTATATGCTTATTTTCCCTCTTTCTTGCTCTTTTTATCTCTTTTCTCTCTCTTGTCTCTTCCTCCCTCTGTCCAAAATATCATTATGAAGCCTAGCCTATCTTCTAATTACCTCTTAAACATGTACATGCTTACTTTCTCTCTCTCCACTCCATCTCTCCATCTCCATACCCCACTTTCTCCTCCTCCCGCTATTGCTAGTGCAGGGATTCAGAATGCCTTGCCTGACTCAAGCAAGTTTAACATAGCTGACTTAATCATAATGCTCACTGTGGTTGCAACATCACTGGTATACATCTCAAATTGCAGTAAAGCAGACAGTTACATTGGCTGAGTAGGTTATATAGCCTTTAGGGTGTAACAGATATGTGGTCCAGGGCCCTGTTTCACAAAACTATCGTAGTGCTACGTCTGTCGTACCTCTATTACTGTAAAATCGACTTACGACCGTCGTAGCGCTACGACTGTTGTACCTCTATTACTGTAACATCGACTTACGACGGTCATAGTGCTACGTCTGTCGTACCTCTATTACTGTAACATCGACTTACGACAGTCGTAGTGCTACGTCTGTCGTACCTCTATTACTGTAACATCGACTTACGACAGTCGTAGTGCTACGTCTGTCGTACCTCTATTACTGTAACATCGACTTACGACAGTCGTAGTGCTACGTCTGTCGTACCTCTATTACTGTAACATCGACTTACGACAGTCGTAGTGCTACGTCTGTCGTACCTCTATTACTGTAACATCGACTTACGACAGTCGTAGTGCTACGTCTGTCGTACCTCTATTACTGTAACATCGACTTACGACAGTCGTAGTGCTACGTCTGTCGTACCTCTATTACTGTAACATCGACTTACGACAGTCGTAGTGCTACGTCTGTCGTACCTCTATTACTGTAACATCGACTTACGACAGTCGTAGTGCTACGATAGTTTTGTGAAACAGGGCCCAACACCCAGCGTTCGCATTAATCAATGGCCCGGAGGCCCAGGGCTAGTTGTTATTGTATCGGGCCGGTAGTTTCAAATAGGAACGTCCCTCTGCGCCATAGGCTTTGCTAATTGATTTTGTAAAATCAGTTTGAAACTGTGTACAGTGTAGTCTATTTTGTTTTTGTTAGTTTGACTTTAACAAAATGGGCCTGCAGATTTCATTCAGGGTCTGTAGATTTTAAAGCCTGCAGGCGGCAGGTGCCAGGCCCTGATGGCCAACTGGCAAATTATAGTATTGCAAACACTGCCACTACTAGGTGTTTAACAGTATATACTGCAATGTACCCATAACTAGTATCAGACACTACATCCCTGTGTCAGAATAAATATGTACACATACTGATGTACCTAGATCTGTTTCTGTAGCATGAATGAACATCTCTATACAGTTTGAAATCAGTCAGCAAGTCTAAGCATGGAATTGATTTCCATGTGACATGTCCAATAGACAGCCTGCCACCAGTTGTGTCCATTACTAAGCCAGTCCCTCCTGGATTCTGTGACAAATTTTTAAGAATTCCGCGGCAAATTTAAGTTAATTCTGCATCCCATTTTTCAAAATTCTGCAAAAATTTCTGCAGTAAAGAACTTGAAAAAACACCCAAAATAATGCAATTTCAATCTTCAAAAAGATTGATTTTGTGAACATAACTGTATTGTCAAATTTAAATAATATTATTGTAAGGTGCTGAAGAAAATATTACCTTATGAATAAATCATCTTTTTTTGTGAATATTTTGAAAACATGGTTATAACAAATGCCTTAGTTCGTTTTTGTGTAACCAATCATACTTTTGACATTTACCCCCACTTTTCATTTCGGCTGATAGTCAATCTTGATTCAACTTTAAAAATAAGTAAATTCCGCGGCAGAGAAATGGCAAATTCTGCAGATATTCTGCATGAAAATGCGTTTTCCGCGGACCATACGATTTTCTGCATAAAAAAGTAATTTTCGCGATTGATTCTGCAACCACGGAATCCAGGAAGGACTTACCTTATCTGACAATGATGCTTTACTGGCTACTGACATGGGGGTGGTGGGGTAGCCTAGTGGTTAAATCATTCCCTCGTCACGCTCGGGTTCGATTCCCCACATGGGTACAATATGTGAAGCACATATCTGGTGTCCCCGCCGTGATATTGCTGGAATATTGCTAAAAGGGCGTAAAACCAAACTCACTCACTCACTCATGTCGACTGACAGTAGGATGCTGGTAACAAACACCTCGAAGGACTGTTGTATCTGAAAACTAATGATTTTATATCCTCTCTTCCTCAGAATAGTTGCTTTATAACCCCCATCATGCCAAATATAGACCCAGTGTAGAGCTATATAGCAACATGATGTCACTGCATTTTACTTGAGAATCTACCCGTGAAGATCTGGGGTAGAATAGGTCTTCAGCAACCCATGTGCTTGCCATAAAAAGGCGACTATCTTGTCGTAAGAGGCGACTAACGGGATCGGGTGGTCAGTTTCGCTGACTTGGTTGACACATGTCATCGGTTCCCAATTGCGCAGATCGATGCTCATGCTGTTGATCACTGGATTGTCTGGTCCAGACTCGATTATTTACAGATACAGTCGCCATAACCGTCAAAGCTGGAATATTGCTGATGATGTGCTGAATAATGGGTATGTCTAGTAAAACTAAACTCACTCACTCAATTGACAGCAGTACTTGACAGTTTGCTAGTTGTATTTTAAAAGCAGCCTTACACAGCAATCATAACTTAGTCAGTTGTCTGACATGTGCGTTTACCCATGTTTTATTTTGACTTACCAGGCTGTATAATGAGATGAGTGTTGTACAGTTAAACACTTGTACCTTCCTTCACCCTGCAAAATGGAGTGGTTATTGTATAACATGAATTCTTATGTGTTCAGGAGGAGCTACGACGGGTGAAGGTACAGTGAACGTTGAGGAACAAGCAGAACAAAGTGAAGCTAAACAGGAAGAAGGAGCCCCAGAAGTAGGACAACAGAAATCTGAAGAGGCAACAACTGCTCAGGATCCTGAGGTGTCCCAACAGGAAACTGAGCCCAAGGGTCAGGACGAACCCAAGACAGACACCACTACTGATGGCCAGAAAGAAATAACATCCGAGGATCAAAAAGAAACCGCAGGTGAAGATCAGAAAGAAACCACAGGTGAAGATCAGAAAGAAACAGCAGGTGAAGATCAGAAAGAAACAGCAGGTGAAGATCAGAAAGAAACAGCAGGTGAAGATCAGAAAGAAACTACTGGTGATGATCAGAAAGAAACAAGTGAGGCAGCTGCTAATGACACTGGAGCTCAGCAGGAAGCAACAGCTGAAATAAGTCCTCCCCAGACGGAAGGACAAGCACCTGCTGAGGCCCAGCAGGAGACCCAGGAAAAGGGTCAGCTGGATGAGCAATCTTCTGAGAAGCCACCTGAGCAGACTGGGGATGGGTCTGGGGATAAACCTCTGGAACAGAGTGAGGAAGCGAAAGAAGGGGAGGCAACTCAAGAGGAAGCAAAATCAGATGAGACAACAGACCAGACTGCCAAGACAGGGGAGGTAACTGAGGATGGAGAGGCTGCAGGTGACAGCAATCAGAATGCAGAGGGTGAGGAAGCTGACCAATCCCAGAATGCACTTGAGGGTGAAGAAGGTAGGAATGTGACTGAGAATATCAAAAATGGGCCATTTGATTGACATCAGCATGCAAATCGGGTTTCACCAAGAACAGTTGTTTAATTCTGTGAATGGAGTAATGAGTATTGACAAGTTTATGAGTAAAAGCAATAATTTCCAATTAATAGGTCTTGTGGAACCTGTAAGACAGAAAGTAATTTTAGTGAATCCCATAGTGAGCTCTAAAAATGTAATATGTTGTCACTAGTTTGAGCCATTGTATTTTGTTAACCTGTGAGTGTCAAGGGTCCTTGTTATCCCAGTCAGGACACATACCCGACCCTACTTAAGTGAAGACCCGATTCAGAATTGGTCTGTAAGTATTGCTAGGTGAGGCATTAAACACCAAACAAACAAACAAACAAACAAACAAACAAACAAACAAACAAACAAAGCCTTTCTGCATGATCAATTGAGGCAAACAGGTTGTGTCTGTTAGATAGCTTGTGCAACTATCTGGTATGTGTGTGTAGGTGAGCAGGACACAGATCCTAAAGAACAGGAACTCCTCATCCCTGAAGATTTCTACTACAACTTTGAGGAACAAGTTTCCAAGGCCAAGGTGACCCAAGACTCGGGCCTCCCAGAAGACTTGCTCACTCTACAGTATCCTTGGAAATACTGGCTTAGCATGTATTGTCGGGTAGCTTGTGAGAGAAACTACAGACAGTTCTATTGTGAAAAAGACTCTTCTTCTGGGTTATTTGTATGTTGACTCTTTTGATTTAATGCATACTGTGATTCATCTGTTTCTTGGACCGTTGGGTAGCCTAGTGCTGAGGGACCATTCATAATTTATAGCTTGGGGGGTGATGATGATTTTAAGGGGTGGACACCCATTTTGTTCTGGGGAGCAAGGGGGGTCATCAATTTTGTACAAATGTACTGTCAGCAATTTTGAACATAAAATATTTTAAATTATGCTTAGATTGACATTTTTATCGACAAGTCTGCATGTGATACATATGTCAGATCATAAGACTTGAGGAAGACGTTCAGTTTATCATTCAAGATCATGCTTTCAACACTTGCATGGGAATAATGTGTGAAGTCCATTTCTGGTGTCCCCCACTGTGATACTGCTGGAATATTACTCAAAGCTGTGTAAAACCTTCCTCACTCACTCACAGGTAGGGGTTGTAGACAGCAATGACCAGTGTCTTGAGTGTGTACAGTAGAGAAAGTAGACCCATGAAGGTCCGGGTTAGAAAATTGATCTTCAGTAACCCATGCTTGTCGTAAGAGGCGACTAATGGGATCGGGTGGTCAGGTTTGCTGACTTGGTTGACACATGTCATCGGTTCCCAATTGCGCAGATCGATGCTCATGTTGTTGATCACTGGATTGTCTGGTCCAGACTCGATTATTTACAGACCGCCGCCATGTAGCTGTAATATTGCTGAGTGCGGCGTAAAACTATACTCACTCACTCACTCACTCACAGAAAGCAGATCTACCCAGCTTCACTGATGCCATTTGATTCTGACAAAGATAGTATTGTGATGCACCTTCATTATAGTGACAGTTTGTGCTGATGAAAAGATATCCCCTTAATGCCAAGAAAAGCCCCTGAAGAACTGTTTCAAACTCCATCAAATTTGTTGTGACCCTTGACCCTCATACAGACATTCATTTGGTTACGACTGTTGTCGCCGTGCCAATCTGTTCATGCTCGACTCCAATACGTTGATCTTCATCGCGGGTAACCTGGTCCAGTTGCTGGACATCAACACCAAGGAACAGCGCTACATCCGCAGCACCAGCGGGGGCGGCATTGGTGCATTGGCAGTAAGTGACAGCAGCAGCAATTACTAGCATGAAGCAGGAAGAGGTCACACCCAGAAAGAAGTGGCTAAACTGTAATGGATGGTCAGGCTGGCAGGCAGTGTGTGAATAGTCTAATTTTGCTGGCCAGTCGGGCTAGCTATGCCTGAAAGTTACAAGCCCACAAAATAATTCACTAGCCCAAAATCTGAAGGTAGAAACGAAGCAAAAGATTACAAAAACATATGCGGATCCAGAAGTTGGGTGCAGGGGTGCGCATACACCCCTTTTGTCCTGAAAGTTTATTAAATGACCATTGAAACTCGAGTGAAAATGAAATGTGCATCCTCCCTTTTCTCAATAGTATGCACCCCCTTTCTTAAAAAGCTGTATCCGACCCTGAAAAATGTATGAGAATAAGATATTGTTGGCATGACACAGGTTTTATCATTAAGCTGCAAATATGATGAACATTTTTATCAAGCCATATTGATCTTGCATGATTAAAAATTGTATTATAACTTGACAAGTCAGAGAGAGTGATGCATTTACAAAATGACCCAAAGAAAATTCACTAGCCAGTCAGGCCAATGACTGTGGAGATTTACTGGCCCAACTGGATTTTTACTAGCCACGGGCTAGCGGGCCATCATGTCACTTCAACATTCCTAGATTGATTAATATCACGTGAATGTCAGTTTGTTATTCTATATGTCTTTCCGTATAGGTTAGGTCAATTCTGATATATATAGATCTTGAAGTATATAAGCTATGACAAAAGATCCAGATGGCTTCAGGTATTGCTCACGCCTTCTGTCACTGGTGTGCCAGGTCCAGACTCAATTATTTATTGATTTTATTGTTTGTGATAGTGGTATAATTTTGGTGTGATGTAAAACAACATTCATGCTGACTGTTGTGACTTCAGGTTCATCCCAGCAGGAAGTACTTTGCTGCAGCAGAGAAGGGTGATGGTCCCAACATCAACATCTTTGAGTTCCCTTCTCTTAAGCTGTACCGGATCCTGCGTGGGGGCACGGAGAGGTCCTATTCCTCTCTAGACTTCAGGTACAGCTTGATTTTGTTTGTGTGTTTTACTTTAGCTTCTTCATCCATGGAGATATTGGCAGACTGGCAACTTGACAAATGTCAAACACTTCTGGTAAACCATGCAGGACAGTTATTCTGTGATGGGTGGAGGCCATGTGTGTAATTGATGATACTGTCCTCTAGGGTGGTGAGTGTGGTGTGTGATATGGTGATGATGGTGTGTGATATGGTGATGATGGTGTGTGATATGGTGATGTTGGTGTGTGATATGGTGATGTTGGTGTGTGATATGGTGATGATGGTGTGTGATATAGTGATGATGGTGTGTGATATGGTGATGTTGATGTGTGATATGGTGATGTTGGTGTGTGATATGGTAATGTTGATGTGTGATATGGTGATGTTGGTGTGTGATATGGTGATGATGGTGTGTGATATGGTGATGATGGTGATGATGGTGATGATGGTGTGTGATATAATGATGATGGTGTGTGATATGGTGATGTTGATGTTGGTGTGTGATATGGTGATGTTGGTGTGTGATATGGTGATGTTGGTGTGTGATATGGTGATGTTGGTGTGTGATATGGTGATGATGGTGTGTGATATGGTGATGTTGGTGTGTGATATGGTGATGTTGGTATGTGATATGGTGACATTGGTGTGTGATATGGTGATGTTGGTGTGTGATATGGTGATGTTGGTGTGTGATATGGTGATGTTGGTGTGTGATATGGTGATGTTGGTGTGTGATATGGTGATGATGGTGTGTGATATGGTGATGTTGGTGTGTGATATGGTGATGTTGGTATGTGATATGGTGACATTGGTGTGTGATATTGTGATGGTGGTGTGTGATATGGTGATGTTGGTGTGTGATATGGTGACAGTGGTCTGTGTTGAAGGGATGGTGATGTGTGATATAATGACATTGGTGTGTGACGTGTGATATAGTGTCCTCTATTGTTTGAAGGCTGTGTGTGTGATACTGCAACCTGTAGTGTGACAGTGTTGTGATGACAAGCTACCTCATATTGCAGCTCTGATGGCGAGCTGCTGACCTCCGTTGGTGGAGAGCCAGACTTCATGCTGACTGTGTGGAACTGGAAGCAAGAGAAGACCATGCTGCGATCCAAGGCGTTCTCCCAGGAGGTGTTCCGGGCAACGTTCTCCACAGAGCTGGAGGGACAGCTCACCACAGCTGGAACAGGACACATCAGGTGGGGAATACTTACCCGAAGCTGCCTTTGTGTCAGTTGTAGCTGTAGTTGATAGGAAGGAGGGGCAGTTGGGTAGTGTAGTGGTTAAAGTGTTTGCTCGTCATGCCAAAGACCTGGGTTCGATTCCCCACATGGTTACTGTTTGTGAAGCCTATTTCTGGTGTTCCCTGCCGTGATATTACTGGAATATTGCAGCGTTAAACTAGACTCACTCACTGATAGGAACGACAAAAATTGCAAAAACATGTTTAATCCCTAATTATGATCATTAGGGTCAAATTATAAACATCTAACGAAAGAAGTACTACTTTGTTATGTCCTCAGATCATAGGTGTTTGAAAGTTTACAGACATTGTAAACTCTTGAATCTTGGCTTGGGTTTAGGATAAAGTTATGTTTCACAAGTTAGTGACATGTTTCACAACTGTTCATGTGATAATGGAGACAACAATGGATGTTCTTAAGTGTCCGATAACCCTTAACACAAGGACATAATGTAATGAGCTACTTTCTTATCGTGACTTTTTAAATATTGACTTTTTTTTATCTTCAGAGATTTGGTTAATTTTTTTTTCTAAATTTGTGAAATGTTTGAGACAGTGAATCATGAACAAGTAATAAGAATATATCTGTACCTAATGGACAGATTGGTTAATTACTATGAGCATAGGGTTTGATTGACAGTATTACTGAGGATACCCAGGGTGTAGATTACTCAGGGTGTGGATTACTCAGGGTGTGGATTACCCAGGGTGTAGATTACTCAGGGTGTGGATACTCAGGTTGTGGAACTCAGGGTGTTGATTACTCAGGGTGTGGATTACCCAGGGCGTGGATTACCCAGGGTGTGGGTTGCTTAGGTTCATGATATATGCCAGGCTGGTCTCATAATTATGTTGCTCCTAGGTTCTGGAAAATGGCGGACACATTCACTGGCCTGAAGCTACAGGGAGAGCTGGGGAGATTTGGTAAGACGGAAATCTCGGATATCGATGGCTACGTGGAGCTGCCCGACGGCAAGGTGTTGTCAGGGACAGAGTGGGGCAACATGCTGCTGTGGGAAGGAGGACTCATCAAGGTGGAGATAGTTCGCAAGAACAAGAGGTCCTGTCACCATGGTGCCATACAGCAGATCCTGCTGGATGAGGGAGAGCTGATGACCATAGGGGTGGACGGATTCATTAGGGTAGGTGTCATGTGTCATCAGGGACAGGTTCATTTGGGTAGGTGTCATGTGTCACCAGGGATGGATTCATTAGGGTAGGTGTCATGTGCCATCAGGGATGGATTCATTAGGGTAGGTGTCATGTGTCAGGGACAGATTTATTAGGGTAGGTGTCATGTGCCATCAGGGATGGATTCATTAGGGTAGGTGTCATGTGTCAGGGGCAGATTTATTAGGGTAGGTGTCATGTGCCATCAGGGATGGATTAATGTCATTAGGGTAGGTGTCATGTGTCATCAGAGATGGATTCATTAGAATAGGTGTCATGTGTCGGACAGATCTATTAGGGTAGGTGTCATGTGTCAGGGACAGATTCATTGGGGTAGGTGTCATGTGCCATCAGGGACAGATTCATTGGTGTAGGTGTCATGTGCCATCAGGGGGATGGATTGTTGGGTAGGTGCCATGTGCCATCAGGGGGTGGATTTTTGGGTAGGTGTCATGCTGGGTTTGTTAAGATAGTAGTCTAGCTGGATTGTCAGGGTAAGTGTCATCCTGCTTTAGTCAGTGTGGCTGTCATGCTGGATTTGTAAGTATAGGTGTGATTGTTGGGTTTGTCAGTGTAGGTGTTGAGGTAAATTTGTATAGGTGTCATTGTTGGGTTTGTCAGTGTGGCTGTCATGCTGGATTCGTAAGTATAGGTGTCATTGTTGGGTCTGTCAGTGTGGCTGTCATGCTGGATTTGTAAGTATAGGTGTCATTGTTGGGTTTGTCAGTGTGGATGTCATGGGTTTGTCAGTGTGGCTGTCGCGCTGGATTTGTAAGTATAGGTGTCATTGTTGGGTTTGTCAGTGTGGCTGTCATTCTGGATTTGTAAGTATAGGTGTCATTGTTGGGTTTGTCAGTGTGGCTGTCATTCTGGATTTGTAAGTATAGGTGTCATTGTTGGGTTTGTCAGTGTGGATGTCATTCTGGATTTGTAAGTATAGGTGTCATTGTTGGGGTGTGGCTGTTTTCACTGTGACTGTCAAGCTGTCATGCTGGATTTGTAAGTATAGATGTCATTGTTGGGTTTGTCAGTGTGGATGTCATTCTGGATTTGTATGTATAGGTGTCATTGTTGGGTTTGTCAGTGTGGCTGTCAAGCTGGATTTGTAAGTATAGGTGTCATTGTTGGGTTTGTCAGTGTGGATGTCATTCTGGATTTGTAAGTATAGGTGTCATTGTTGGGTTTGTCAGTGTGGCTGTCATGCTGGATTTGTAAGTATAGGTGTCATTGTTGGGTTTGTCAGTGTGGATGTCATTCTGGATTTGTAAGTATAGGTGTCATTGTTGGGTTTGTCAGTGTGGCTGTCAAGCTGGATTTGTAAGTATAGGTGTCATTGTTGGGTTTGTCAGTGTGGATGTCATGCTGGATTTGTAAGTATAGGTGTCATTGTTGGGTTTGTCAGTGTGGCTGTCAAGCTGGATTTGTAAGTATAGATGTCATTGTTGGGTTTGTCACTGTGGATGTCATGCTTGATTTGTAAGTATAGGTGTCATTGTTGGGTTTGTCAGTGTGGATGTCATGCTGGATTTTTAAGTAAAGGTGACACGATATATTTGTCTGTGGATGTCATGCTGGATTTTTAAGTAAAGGTGTCACGATATATTTGTCAGTGTGGATGTCATGCTGGATCTGTCAGAATAGATGTCATGCAGCATTTACAGGCTGGACTGGTGTTCCTGTACAACTGGTTTAGGTGTCATCCTGGTTGAACTTTTTGCATTTATTAATGTTGTTATGGTTACAGAAGGCAACGTTCCAAGTCAACTTCACTTAACGCAGCATTGTTTAATTCTACTGTGAAATTAAATCTTGAAATTAAAAAGCTGTAACTTAAGTGCATATGTGAGAGGGACTGCCTAGGGGTGCATGGTTGAAACGAAGATGCATGGACTGCATGCTTGTTGCAGATGTGGGACTTTGAGTCTATAGACACGGCAGACTCCACTGATGACACGGCACGGTTCGAGATGGAGCCCATGAATGAGCTACAAGTGAACCCCGATGCCCAGCTCCGCTCCATCGTCAAGTCAGTGGATGACGAGAATGAACCCACCATATGGTACTCACAGGTAAGTCCAATGACCATGGGCCCATGGTTGGTGGTTTGCTCAGCTCAACATGTACAGTGTACAGAGTTGCCTCCCTTAGATATGCCACAACCTGGGTTCATGTGTTCAAACCCCAGATTTGCTTTTGGTAATGTTTCTTGGTTTCTTTGAGTGAGTGAGTGAGTGAGTGTAGTTTTAAGCTGCTTTTAGCAATATTCCAGCAATATCACAGCGGTTGACTCCAGAAAAGGGCTTCACACATTGTACCAATATTGGGAATTGAACCTAGGTTTTCGGCGTGAGGAGCCAACTCTTTAACCACTAGGCTACCCCACCGCCCCAAAACAGACTGCTGAAGAATCTTTGTGCAGTGGGACCCTGGTTCCTTGCTGTGAAGCTGGAGTTGTTTTTCTGGAAGCATGGAGTGTTCCGAGAGAATTCCCTGACCACATGCTTGCTGTATCCCTGCAGGATGCTAATGGGGGGATCTGGAGGCTGGACCTGTCCTTCTCACACACATCCCAGGCTCCTGAGAAGCTGATGACATACCATGCCGGCCCCATCACTGACTGTAGCACTTCTCCCATCACACACCTCACAGCCACCATTGGCGTGGACAGTAAGTATATTATAGCTATCGCTGATGGGCTCATACCCAAAACAAAGTGCTAATACAGAAACGTACCCGGTAAGCTAAATGGGGGCGAGTCAAAAACTGGAACTGTATGTACTTGTTCCCATTCAACGGACTGCGGACCGCCTCCGTGGTGTAGTGGTTAGAACGTCCGCCTGGAGAGCGGAAGGTCGCGTGTTCGATCCCCGACCGCATCATACCAAAAAGAAGTTAAAATATGGTACTTGTTGGTCCCTGCCTGGCGCTCGGCATTAATGGGTACAACAAGGACTAGTCGGCTCAGAGTCAGTATAATGTGTCTGAGTGGGGTATGCATGCTTCACTGCGGCATGGTATCTCAGTGGGCTAGCACTATAAAACCAGCTTAAGTATGGGCTAGTACAAGCAGCCGCACATACACATACACATGCATGCACGTCGTCATATGAGCGAAATATTCTCAAGCACGACGTTAAACCTCATTTCACCTCACCTCACCTCAACTGACTGCGAGTCGTGTTGTGCATTGCAAAATATTACCACCTTAACACTACCCCATCAGACATCTCACCATCAACATATCTGTGTATACAGTGGGTATGGTCATCTCTATCAAAAACCATCTCCTTGGATTGCACTATAATAACTGCATGGGCATGACTTAAGTAAGTTGAACAGCTCCAAAGAATGTTTTCATAGTGCCACGGCAATATTTCTCTCAGTGTATCAGATATTTAACTGTGTGTTTCAGACACTGTGCGTGTGTTTGACTATGTCCAGATGAAGCAGGTGTGTGAAGGACGCTACACGGCTAGTGGCAGCTGCCTCCTGTGGACCCCTCAGATAGTATGTATTCATTTGTTGGTAGCTACTTAGTTCATGACTACCGGTATTATGTGCCTCACTTCTCATTGAACATCCTGATGGTGCTGTTGAATTATACATCCTGATAAAAGAATAGTACAGTGAAACCTGTCTAAACCAGCACCCCACGGGACTGAAATAAAATGCTGGTTTAGACAGGGTGCCGGATTAGACAGTGACGATCATTTTCCAACATGGCTGCCATTTACACTTGTCAATCTCTTCATCTATATAATGCCTTTGATCTTATGTAATTGTGCAACAAATTAAAACAATGTTGATGACAGATACTTATTCTTTATTCTGTACTAAACTTTGTTCAAAACATCACGCTTTTTCAAAATGTCCTAAACCCATCATGACACACAAAGTGACTGACGAGTCAAAAACACCAATGCCAGTGTATTTATCCATGCCAGTTTAGACAGTGTTACTTACAGTTAAAAGTGCCTGTTGGGACCGGAAAGTCGTGCCAGAATACGGAATAGACAGGTGCCGGATTAGACAATGTTTTAATGATCATAATATTGTTGTAAAATGGCGGGACCAAAATTTTAATCCGGTTATGACAGTGTGCCGGATTAGACAGGTGCCAGTGTTGGCAGGTTTCACTGTACTTTGTGTTTACATTGAAGTACTGCTGACTTCCATATCTGGCCATGTTGTCTCTCCCCAGGTTGACACAAAGGGAAGCACGTTGGTCGCAGGCTTTGAGGACGGAGTGGTCCGAGTACTGACCGTCAACAAGCTCCCTGAACCGGCCCGACATCGCAGCAAGTCAGAGGAGTGTGAGTTGGCCCTCAAACAGGTGTTCAAGCCCCACAGGACCACAGTGACAGCGCTGGCCATAGACAGCAAGGGGGAGATGTTGGCTTCAGGGGTAGGTGCTCAACTGTAGGAGAATTAAGGCCGACTTTGAAATGTTCAACATGGAATTATTTTAGCAATTTCAGATTTCAATATTTTGATGAAATTTATTGTCCTTGTAAAATACTAAATAGATGACTTCTGTTTAACTTGCCAGGGTGCTGATTAGTTTGCGTTCTGTATGTAGCATACAAGATGACTACTGTTTGTGTCGCCAGGGCGCTGACAACACTGTGTTCTTCATGAACTTTGGGAACAAGGAGTTGGAGCCGATCGGCTATGTGCCCGTCCCAGCGCCGGTGCGCAGCATGCAGTGGTCACCAGACAAGTTTGTGAGTACACAATCCATCTTGCTCTCAGACTGACTGTCCATCAGTCTGTGTCTCTGTACATCTATCCTGCACTTTTACTTTACATTCATCGCAGTCTGTCACTGTACATCCATCCACCCATGTCTCTGTACATCCCTCCATCCTGTCTCCATCCATCCATTTTTCACTGTACATCCATCCATCCCTGTCACTGTACATCCATCCATCCCTTTCACTGTACATCCATCCATCCCTGTCACTGTACATCCATCCATCCCTGTCACTGTACATCCATCCATCCCTTTCACTGTACATCCATCCATCCCTGTCACTGTACATCCATCCATTCCTGTCACTGTACATCCATCAATTCCTGTCACTGTACATCCATCCATCCCTGTCACTGTACATCCATCCATCCCTTTCATCACTGTACATCCATCCATCCCTTTCACTACATCCATCCATCCCTCCTCACTGTACATCCATCCATGTCCACTGTACATCCATCCATCCCTGTCACTGTACATCCATCCATCCTGTCACTGTACATCCATCCCTGTCACATCCATCCATCCCTGTCACTGTACATCCATCCATCCCTGTCACTGTACATCCATCCATCCCTGTCACTGTACATCCATCCATCCCTTTCACTGTACATCCATCCATCCCTGTCACTGGACATCCATCCATCCCTGTCACTGTACATCCATCCATCCCTGTCACTGTACATCCCTCCATCCCTGTCACTGGACATCCATCCATCCCTTTCACTGTACATCCCTCCATCCCTGTCACTGGACATCCCTCCATCTCTGTCACTGGACATCCATCCATCCCTGTCACTATACATCCCCCCAAAAATGCTTGAAACATTACTCCTCTTCCTCAACTCCAAAATGTTCCTGGCAACCTTAACTGGTATGGGAGTCCACATTTCTTGCTAAAAAAGAATAATGCAGTTTATTTCAGCAAAGTCTATCTGAAACAATAAACAAAACATATCTATGTATATCATGGATCAAGTGGCTAAGAGCATTAGCTATGAATGATTGATGTGCTGAAATATTCCTTAGATATTGGGGGTGATGTTGTACTAAAGCAACCATAGTGTAAAAGACGACCTGAAGTCTATGTTAAGGTATGGGAGTTCACGGTCACCTTAGTGCTAAGACTACCACCTGAAGTCTATGTTAAGGTATGGGAGTTACGCTTAATCACCTTAGCACTACGACTGTCACCTGAAGTCTATGTTAAGGTATGGGAGTTACGGTCACCTTAGTGCTAAGATCGCTTTGTACAACGGCACCCATGGTGCTGATTTCGAAACAACCTTGCGCTTATTCCATTATTATCCTCTTACAATTACCTTAGCGCTAAGGTTGCTCAGTACAATGACTAAGTTCTAGTCTAATATCCAGATGGAACAGATTAAAACAACATTCATTATGTCCTGATGGGTTGCTTGACGTGCTCTGCTGTTCTGGCTGCAGAACAAGACAACGCTGCTGGTGTTCTGTGAAGAGGGCAAGGTGGTGGAGATCCAGGCTCCGGAACCGGGCAAGTTTGACACTTCTCACTCCTTCCACATCACCGGACTCCAGATGAAGACATTCACCTTCCGCAGCATCAAGTCCAGGCTTCGGGTGAGAACACAGCAGGGCTGATATTGAGCTGGTCTGGGATCAAACTGGGTTTTTATTTGTTTAATGACATAATGACAACAAGATGTTGAATATCAGTAAGGGCTCGATTTAAGAGATGTTAACTTACTTGCACTTGGTGCAACCTAAGATAAAACCTACTTGCACCAGCCCAATTCCAGTTGCACTGCTTTTATTGGAATATGTACTGTCACTGTTGCAGAACATTGGCTAATAACCAAATTTGGGCGTGGTGGGTGAGCTGTCTTGAGGCGCCAGCCTAGTGATCCAGCAAGTTTTAGGTGCTGGGATTGAGCCCACCTGTGACCAGATGTAAAAACCTTTGTGTGCAGACTCTTTCAGTGCTGTCACAACTCCTAGTGTACAGTACACAACCCTGAGCACTTAAAAGAACCCACGAATCCGTTGGTATATGACCAGATGGTGGCCACATGAATACGTGCAAACACCTAGTTGCGGGTACAACAACGTGTGGTAAACTTTGACAAGGTACTGTGACTATGTGCCCCAGTCCACCCAGCTGTGAATGGGTACCTCGTTCAGATGGGAAAGCCACATTAACTTGGTGCACCTTGTGGCTGCAAGAGTTGTATGATCCCCAGGGATTGAGATTGAGATTGAAAATATGATGTGCTGTTGAGATTGATATAATAAAAGCAATAATGTTAAACTCAGTTAGAACTGGTATACTGTTCCAACTGATATGAACACCAGCTCATCCTTCTGGCAGTAGCATGAGACCCAAGTGACTCACTCACTCCTGCAGCATGAAGAGGAGATGGAGAGGAAGCGCATCGAGGAAGAGGCTCGCAAGAAGAAGGAGGACGAAGACAGAAGGAAGAGGATAGAGCGAGGCCTGGAGACGGAGTCTGAACATGGGGATGAAGAAGGTAGGTGTCTAGGGAGCACTCAGTGTTGATGGCAGATGTTGGGTTTCAGCACCAGTTGTTTGTGATAACATTCAAAGCAGTAGAGAAAGACAGTACACTTTATGGATGACAACGTCTCTATTATATTATCATAAACCAAATGTCCTTTTCTAGTTGTTAATCATGGGGTAGCCTAAATGTCCCATGTCGAAGACCCGGGTTCGAATCCCCACATGGGCACAATGTGTGAAGCTCCATTTCTGGTGTCCCCCCTTGATATTGCTGGAATATTGCTAAAAGCGTAAAACCATACTCACTCACTCACACCACTTCTAGTTGTTAATACCCCACATGGGGGTAGCCAATGTGTAAAACGTTGGCTCATCATGCCAAGACCGGGGTACGATTCCCCACATGGGCACAATGTGTGAAGCCCAATTCTGGTGTCCTCCACCATGATATTGTTAGAATATTGCTAAATAAGTGGCGTAAAACCATACTCACTCACTGTTAGATGTATATTAGTCTGTTCTGGGCTGGTGTATTTCCCTTTTACTTGACGAGGGTATATGAATCTATACCGAAACGTCGCATCATAATATAACAAAGAAGTTGTCATCCATAAAGTGTCAGCCTTTCTTATTACTAGTCAACTTCTAAAATGCCAATTGAACATTTTATTCAAATCAGTGTTTGCTTGTGTTAATTTGTTTTAGTTTGCTACACTGTCCACATTCTTGCAGATGACTTGATAAATAGGGTCACAATTCTTGTTATGTTTTAAAGGGGATGCATAAAACCTTAACAAGATTAATAAAAGGAGCTAGGGGGGAAGTGTCTTGAGTGTTGCAGCTTAACTCTGTTTGCTGCAACTGCTTGAGATGACTTTATGTGAATAATGACCATGTGTGACTTGATGTGCACAGAGGAAGAAAAGAAGCCTGTTGCAGAGGAATGGCATCCTTACATCCCAGATGTCCCCAGCCCCATAATGCAAGGCTTCTACTCCCAGGAGGGCTGCTTCTGGTTGTCTATGGTAGGTTCTGTCTATACACTCTTGAATCTACATCCTGGATGTCCCCAGCCCCATAATGCAAAGCTTCTACTCCCAGGAGGGCTACTTCTGGTTGTCTATGGTAGGTCCTGTCTATACACACTTCAGTACATCCCAGATGTCCCCAGCCCCATAATGCTAGGCTTCTACTCCCAGGAGGGCTACTTCTGGTTGTCTATGGTAGGTCCTGTCTATACACACTTCAGTACATCCCAGATGTCCCCAGCCCATAATGCTAAGGTTTCTACTCCCAGGAGGGCTACTCCCAGGAGGGCTCTGGTTGTCTATGGTAGGTCCTGTCTATACACACTTCAGTACATGTCCCAGATGTCCCCAGCCCCATAATGCAAGGCTTCTACTCCCAGCTTCTACTCCCAGGAGGGCTACTTCTGGTTGTCTATGGTAGGTCCTGTCTATACACACTTCAGTACATGTCCCAGATGTCCCCAGCCCCATAATGCAAGGCTTCTACTCCCAGGAGGGCTACTTCTGGTTGTCTATGGTAGGTCCTGTCTATACACACTTCAGTACATGTCCCAGATGTCCCCAGCCCCATAATGCAAGGCTTCTACTCCCAGGAGGGCTACTTCTGGTTGTCTATGGTAGGTCCTGTCTATACACACTTCAGTACATCCCTGATGTCCCCAGCCCCATAATGCAAGGCTTCTACACACTCCCAGCAGGGAGGTCTTCAGCATTCAGACTAACATACTTGGTGAGTGCACATGAATTAAGGTTGATCTTCGTCACGATATGGCTGAAATATTGCCAATGTGACGATAAATTTTAACTCACTCACTCACTAAGTTTGATCTTATTTTCCCCCTGCAGGGTGGCTTTGATGCGGGCTACTTGTATGAGTGTAAGTTCCTCACGGACACAGAGAAGTCTACGATGGCCGAGCAGTTAGTGGATGAACCAATACGAGCAGTCCCTGTCCTGGAGTCTGACGATGTCCCTGTCTCCGTCATCGAGTTCAGGTTGGCACCTTGCTTTGTCTGTCTTCTATATAGTGACAATTGGTAGTCGTGCCAAACAAGTTGATCATGCTAATACTGCCTCCATTTCGTCACTCTGTAGAATTTCTAGTTGTGAGAATCTGTATCTTTGATTCATCTTTCATGTTAGGTGTGGGGCGGTGGGGTAGCCCAGTGGTTAAAGCGTTCACTCGTCACGCCGAAGACCCGGGTTCGAAGCCACACATGGGTACAATGTGTGAAGCCCATTTCTGGTGTTCCCCACCATGATATTGCTGGAATATTGCTAAAAGCAGCGTAAAACCCATCTCACTAACTCTTGTTAGTTGTAATTCTGGAGGGGCGGTGGGGTAGCCTAATGGTTAAAAAGCAGCGTAAGACCCGGTTCGAATCTCCACATGGGTACAATGTGTGAAGCCCATTTCTGGTGTCCCCCGCCGTGATGTTGCTGGAATATTGCTCAATGCGACGTAAAACCAAATTCAGGCAGTCAGTCAGTGTAATTCTGGATAATTTCTGTGTAAACTTTAGTTTGATTGACAGCCACTTCAGGAAGAAGTTGATATCCAAAATATCTAGAATCTAGAAATGGAGGACAATGTCTGTAGTTTTAAACAATTAGTCAGGCTACATTAGCAGTTGATTCTGGGTCAGGAATCCACTGGCCATCTAGCATGTGCTTGCTTAGATGCATATATTTAAAAAATTAAACTGATGAAACGAATAATAGATCACTTTTCAAAGTTGAGAAATTATGAATCAAATTATAGCGAAATCACTTGACACCTTTGATGGGTTGTACTTCTGGAATCCACAGATTCTCATGACTTCTCTATTGTGTCAAGTTATGCTGAGATGTCTTATTATTTGTCTTCCAATAAGATAAAAGTTTAAATGGAAGTCTCAGTACTTATTAACCTGGGGCCCGATCCACAAAGCATTCGTAACGTTACGACCTGTCGTAACTCTATAGTTTACCATAGGTTTATGAATGTCGTAGCGCTACGAACTCTTTGTGGATCGGGGCCCTGGCTTTGAACTGTATGGCTGATCTGTTCTGGAGAATGGTGTTTTGTGTACATGCAAATATATTGAATAGGTGAAGCCATTTAGTCAATAACAACATGCTTCTTCTTTCTCCTCTTTCAATTTCCTCCCTCATCTTATCCTTATGTTCTTTGTTCTCCTGTTCCTTAATATATCTGTTCCTCTCTTCCTTCTGGTCATCCAATCATTTTCTTTATAATTCATCCTTCTCTTCCTCTCCAATGTTCTTCCCCTTTCTATCTTCATTCTATCCTTCCTCTCCTTTTGGTCTTCCCCTTCCGCACTTTATTCTCCACTGGGGCAGTGGGGTAGCCTAGTGGTTAAAGCGTTTGCTCGTCATGCCGAAGACCCGGGTTCGATTCCCACCTGGGTACAATGTGTGAAGCCCATTTCTGGTGTCCTCTGCCATGATATTGCTTGAATATTGCTACAAGAGGCGTAAACCCAAACTCACTCACTCACTCATTCTCCACTCTGGTCATCCCTTCCTCTTTCTCTTCCTGTCTTCATTCCCTTCTTTCTCTCATTTTCCTCTTTTGTTTCCTCAGGCCTTTCTATCATTTTTGTTTTTCCTCCTATTTCTTTCCCGTCCTTTTCTTTTTGCTTCCTTTTCATCTTCCTCTAGCGATATTTAAATTTGTTTGTTCCACTTTACATTTCCTCCCTCTTTTTGACCTGTTTCTACCCCTTCTTTCAGTTCTTCATTATAACTTAAGAATTGAATTGTTTGCTCACAATTAATTTTGTGTTTTTGTATATGTAGTACTATTAAAGTTGTGCTTCACAGGTTTTATTCTGAAGTCACTCGTGAAGGTCCAGGTTAGAATGAACCTTCAGTAACCCATACTTGTCGTAAGAGGCGACTAATGGGATCGGGTGGTCAGGTTCGCTGACTTGGTTGACACATTTCATCGGGTTCCAATTGCACAGATTGATGCTCATGCTGTTGATCACTGGATTGTCTGGTCCAGACTCGAATATTTGCAGACCATTGCCATATAGCTTGAATATTGCTGAGTTCGGCGTAAAACTAAACTCACTCACTCACTCACTTTATTCTGAAGAGATATTGTTTATCACCCATAATACTTGCACACCTTTGACTTATTCAATGTGTTTTCTGTTTTTCAGCAACTCTGGCCAACAAGCTCTCTTCGGTATGGAGAACGGAATGATCCGAGTTCAACAGTTGGAAAATAAGTTTGACATCTCCGACCTGGGTCCATACTGGTCACTGAGTATCCATGACAACAACTATGGTCATGTGACAGCTCTCAGAACGAGCCACGATGGGACAACACTGTTGTCGGTTGGCGCTGATGGCAACTTCTTCCAGTTTGGCTTCATGGATGATGAGAGGCTTGTGAAGAAGATTGCTGAGAACAAGGCCAAGATCCCATCAGCCAGGGTGAGCAGTTCACTTAGCCTTCCTTACAGACACATTCTGGACCTCATCCTCCATAATGCAGGGTGTTTTATCTCCATTCTATCATGATTAGTAGGGCTGTGCAATATAACCGGTTTACCGTTATTTACCGGTCCAGACATGAAAACGATACGTATTGCAATACGCTGATCGAAAACCGGTATTTTGACTTGCATTCGGAAAACTTCGTAACACTCGGAAATCTTCAGATATTTCCTTGTTTCATTAGTGCCAAATATTATTCACATATTTATTTTATCATGATTAAAAAGTGTTATTAAAGTTTAATCAAGCATAGAGATTTTGTTGTGTTTTTGCTCTATAAATCAAGCATTAAATCGATTATAAGTAGTTTTTTGTTTTATAAATACTTTGTGCAATATATTGCAATACATATCGCAATACATGCTGTTACATCGCAATATATCGCAATATGAAAATTCTCTGCAATACCCACGTCTAATGACTAGGGGTGACTATTGAGGGGAAACAACTGTTGCCATAGTGATAGTCTATTTCAACATACTTTTGCAAAAGTTTTTTTTTTCTCCTTGAATTGTCTCATTTGAAGTCATTTCCATAGTTTATATGAAATGAAAACAAGCTGAAGTAGTTTCAGTCTCTTTAAATAACTGACGAAAACTTGAAACCCAGATAAAGTTTGTTAAAGGGGTAGCAGGGGAGGTTAACTCTAGCGTTGTATTATTCGAACTGGGCATAGAATGAAGGTAAGGTAGGACGTTCATTCTGGGTTTTAGTAATAGAATGTACATTTGTTAATTGAGAGGGTCGGTAGGGTCACCTAGTGGTTAAGGCGTGGGTACCACATGGGTACAATGTGTGAAGCCCATTTCTGGTGTCCCCTGCCGTGATATTGTTAGAATATTGCTAAAAGTGGTGTAAAGCTAAACTCACTAACTGTTAATTGAGAATGATAGGAATTGGGGCCAACTAACTGTGGTTTTATTGATGCTGGACTGTGTTTTCAGAAACAAGAAGCCAGAGAGCGGGCTATTGATGACATAGATGACCCTAATGCCTACAGGTGAGATGCTGGATGTTACGATAGAAACTGATGTGGTTGCTTGTGATGGTTGCAAGTGGGATGTTGGGGAGTGATAGACAAGGGAGGGTGTTGAGGGCAGTCGGTGAGTGAGTGGAATTTGGTTTGCATGGCTCATTGCTTGTATAGTATACCTGTTACATGGACCTTTTATATCCCTTGTACAGTATGCCTTTTATATTTTCTATACAGTATGCCTGTTGTACCCTCTGTACAGTATGTCTGTCTTTTCCCTGTACAGTATTCCTGCTATATTCCCTGTACAGTATGCCTGTTATATATATCCTCTGTGCAGTATGCCTTTTATGTTCCCTATACAATATGTTTGTTATATCCTCTGTAGAGTATGCCTTTTATACCCCCTGTACAGGATGCCCTTTATATTCTGTGTACAGTATTCCTGTTATACACCTTGTACAGTATTCCTGTTATACCCCCTGTACAGTATTCCTGTTATATTCTGTGTACAATATTCCTGTTATATTCCCTGTACAGTATTCCTGTTATACCCCTTGTACAGTATTCCTGTTATACCCCCTGTACAGTATTCCTGTTATATTCTGTGTACAATATTCCTGTTATATTCCCTGTACAGTATTCCTGTTATACCCCTTGTACAGTATTCCTGTTATACCCCCTGTACAGTATTCCTGTTGTTATCCTCTGTACAATATTATGTCTATATTTTCCCTGTACAGTATTCCTGTTATACCCCCTGTACAGTATTCCTGTTATACCCTCTGTACAGTATTCCTGTTATATTCCCTGTACAGTATTCCTGTTATATTCCCTGTACAGTATTCCTGTTATACTCCCTGTACAGTATTCCTGTTATATTCTCTGTACAGTATTCCTGTTATATTCCTTGTACAGTATTCCTGTTATACCCCCTGTACAGTATTCCTGTTATATTCTGTGTACAATATTCCTGTTATATTCCCTGTACAGTATTCCTGTTATACCCCCTGTACAGTATTCCTGTTATATTCCCTGTACAGTATTCCTGTTATATTCCCTGTACAGTATTCCTGTTATACCCCTGTACAGTATTCCTGTTATACCCCCTGTACAGTATTCCTGTTATATACCCCCTGTACAGTATTCCTGTTATATTCTCTGTACAGTATTCCTGTTATACCCTCTGTACAGTATGCCTGTTGTATCCTGTGTACAGTATTCCTGTTATACCTGTATGCTTATACAGTATGTCCTGTTATATTCTGTGTACAATATTCCTGTTATATTCCCTGTACAGTATTCCTGTTATACCCCTTGTACAGTATTCCTGTTATATTCCCTGTACAATATTCCTGTTATATCTTCTGTACAGTATGCCTTTTATACCCCCTGTACAGTATGCCTGTTATATTCAGTTCGTCTCTAATATCCCGTATACTGTGTGCTTGTTATATATCACCTGTACAGTATGCCTGTTATATTCCCTGTATAGTATCGAGGATGCAAAGCAGAAATCTGAATATGACAAGATGATGAAGGAAGCTGAGGAAAAGAAGAGAGAAGTGCGACGTAACATCGCTAAGCTGCGGCGCCAGTTCCGTGGGGTGCTGGAGAAGAACGAGTCCCTCCCCAGACACATCCAGCTACTGAAAGGGGTGAGTAGTGTGACAGGTCATCTGTAAAACTGTCAGGAATATTTAACATCTTTAGAAACTGCTACAAGCTTATTATTTTCTCAATAAGAAGCCATCATTTCATTTATCTTTTTCTGTTCATGCACACATATTTAAGAAATAACCTTCACCAATCTAAAAGAATATACCTTTCCAAATAATATCAGCCCCTCCTGTGTTCCATGGCAAGTTTTTGAGAATTCCGTGGCAAATTTAAGTAAATTCTACATCCCACTTTTCAAATTCTGCAAAAACTTCTGCGGTTAAATACTTGAAAAAAAAAAATGATAAAGAATTTCAAAATTCTTAAACACCAAGCTGTAACCGTTTTAGAGCTTTATGACATTCAAGGTACACCTGGCAGTTCTTCTTTTCTTGCAAGATGTTTTTTAGATTTAGAAAGATGATCTGAAACAGTACTTTTATGGGTGTGATCAGGAATGACAAAACAAACTCTTTAAAAAATGGCAAATTCTGAAGGTATTCTGCATGAAAATGCGTTTTCTGCGGACCAGACGTTTTTCTGCATTAAAAGGTAATTTCCGTGATTTATTCTGCAACCGCGGGATCACAGAATCAAGGAGGGACTGTAATATGTTACACTTAATAAGTAGATTATCTCGTCTAGACTTAGATATTAACAGACTGCAGTCATATGTCAGGAAATGGCAGACAACTAATGACTTTAGGATTACAAAGTAACAGAGTTTTTACTGTTGAGTAAGACACGGTACACAAGGATTGTGTGTTACATTGTATGCCCTCCCAGGAGTTTGAGATGGATCGGGAGATCAAGTCCGAGCTGGAAAGACATACCAATGAGAAGATTGAAGTGGTGCGTCGGGAACTGGCCTGGGAGTCGGAGAAGCACCGGATAGCCCTCGAGAAACTCCGCAAGAGGTAGGCATACTGTCATTTACACTCAAAGAGGGTGGATCGTGTAGCCTAGTGGTTGAAATGTTCGCTTGTCACTGCGAAGACCTGGGTCCGATTCCCCACATGGGTACAATGTGTGAAGCCCATTTCTGGTGTCCCCTGCTGTGATATTGCTGGAATGTTGCTAAAAACTAAACTCACTCACTCACTACTCATTGGTTAGGTTAGCTCAGTCACATGTTGTACCCTGAATTTGAACAGTCATTGATCATGATTTGTCAGTTGGAGGTCTCAAATCATAATTAACCACTTCTGATTGAAACAGCTGATTTGAATACCACATCACTGTGGAAGGTAATTTTCATGGAATAGTACTCCTTTATCTGTCATTGTCGCAGGAATTTTGAAATTAACATGCAAGCTGGGGGAAAAAAGGGAAATTAATTTTTAGTTATTTATATCTATTCAACAGCTGGTTAGTATCCGTGAAGATCCATTTAGAATTGGTCTTCAGCAACCCATAGTTCCTGATAGATTTAACACTCTTTGAAAGAGGCAATTAACAAAACTGGGTGGTCAACTTGATGGATTAGGTTCACAAATATTAGGTTTTGAAATTGCTTTAAAATATTTCATCTGTATATGGATATTCTTGACATGGTGTTAACATGCTGCCTGCTGTGTGCCCAGGTTCAAAGACGTTGTGGAGTGTGATAGGATTGTACTAAAGGCGTTCCTCACCCCCCATGAGGTCTCCAGCTTCCGTGCCAACAAACTCTCGGATGACTTCTACCAGCTGAAGGCCGACTTTGAGCGTCGCCGCACACTCCACTACACCAAGGACGACCTGACCAGGGACCCCACTCGGGACCTGGCTACTGGTCAGTTCCTGCTTGTACTGTCCATTACGATTCTGCTGTAGTTAAATGATGGGAACAAATATTTCTTGTAATTTCATGAAGTTTGGGCATCTGTAAATTGTGATATTGGACACTGTTTGACTGTTGTTGTACTGATTATAATGTTTGATTTTGCAGTTAAGTTTATACAATTTCCCTTATTTTGTAATAAACTAAGCAAATATACAACTGTAACTTGTGTAAGATTCTTCAAATCTAGAATATACAAAAAGTATGTGTACATAAAAAGCACCATTATTGTATTTTCCTGAAAGCTAATTTAGATATTGAATGAAAAATATACATGCAGTTACACACACACCACATACATAAAGTGAAACCCCATGTCACTTCACATGAGAAAGCATTAACTATTGTTGAAGACATTATTCTGTTGTGAAACAGGCTGTTATGATGAAGCTGAGAATGCTATGAAACATCAGAAGTCAAGCCTTTCCATAGTTTATTAGAATCTATCTGTTCCTCGTGCAGGCCAACATCGGGGTGAAGACAGCGGAGACGGCAGTGGTGAGAAGACGGATGAGTCGATGGGGGCGAAGGTGGTGACCTCCCTGAAGGGCAGCATGGGAGAGAGGATCACAAAGGCCCTCAAGAAGGTTGAGGAGAAGAAGAAGAAACGTGCGGCCAGGAGGGCACAGGTGAGTGATGACCTTAGTCTGGAAACAAGCCATGATGAACAATGTCAGTGATATCCTTAGTCTGGAGATATATCACGATGAACAATGTCAGTGATGTCCTTAGTCTGGAGATATATCACGATGAACAATGTCAGTGATGACCTTAGTCTGGAGATATACCACGATGAACAATGTTAGTGATGACCTTAGTCTGGAAATAAAGAATGAACAATGTTTGACAACCACTTGTCCAACAATGTAGTGTTGCAGCTAAAATGTGTGAATTCAAATATGTTAATACATTGTTTTACCTCATTTCTGAGGTAATGTTCCAGATTTTAAGACACAAGGTAGGCATGGGAAAGTAAGAAGCGATTTGAGGCTCTCTTCTTTTGTGTTCAAGATGATTGACAAGTGTCCTATTTTGTTTTGAACCCCATTAGCCTGTGTATGACATAAACCTGTGTATGCCATTTTAATGTTTATGACCTTAAGCTCTTTATGACATTGTTTATGACATTTAAGTGTATATGACACCTACCTCTGTATGACAAAAAACCCTGTATATGACATTTTAATGTGTATGACATAAGGCTGTTTATGACATTATTCATGGCATTTAAGTGTATATGACACCTACCTCTGTATGACAAAAAACTTGTATATGACATTTTAATGTGTATGACATAAGGCTGTTTATGACATTTAAGTGTATATGGCACCTATCTCTGTATGACATTAATCCATGAATGTCAACAGTGGGAGGACCTGTACATCCAGAAGCCTGACGATGACTACGAGGACCCAGCGGACGTGTCGGGCATCAAGGAAGCCAAGGAGAACATGGGTGACTACAAGCTGAAGACTGCCCCCGACTATGTAGTGCCGGACCACCTCCGCATGAACGTGGAGAAAGCCAGGGGGAGACTACTCGTACTCAAAGACCTGGTCAGTATATGAACTGTGTCTTGTCCTTCACTTGGTTGGAGCTGGTGAAGTATGTGTGTATTGCTGCCCAAGTTGTAGGAAGTCGGCATTTTTTATTTACTTTATGTACCCTGACGAAATAAGCGAATCAGTTAGGTTTTATGCCACTTTTAGTAATATTCCAGCAGTGTCATACGTCAATGTGTTTTGGGGCGGTGGGGTAGCCTAGTGGTTAAAGCACTCGCTCGTCACGCTGAAGACTCTGGTTTGATTCCCCACATGGGTACAATGTGTGAAGGCCATTTCTGGTGTCCCCCGCCGTGATATTGCTGGAATATTGCTAAAAGTGGCGTAAAACTCAACTCAATCACTCATGAATGAATGGGTTTCACACATTGTGGTCATGTGGGGTATCGAATATGGATCTCTGGTATGGTGCACCAACTCTTTAACCCCTAGGAGTAGATCCCCCTCTGAAGATATGAAAACCAGAGGAAAAATCTGGCAAGCACTGTATTTCATATTTTACACAATATAAACACAAGTGTTAAATTCAAAGCTGACCGGACCAATATAATGCTGTTTGAAAAATATATTGTGTGTGAAGTGTTGAGTTTGTCATTGAGATTGTCATTCTGTTGCTCTAGATCCATGAGCACAAGTACAACTTCAACGTCAAGCTGCTGGCATTGAGGGACAAGAAGATCCGCATCATCGAGGACATCCACAACCACGTGCACCAGCTTCACAATGTCCAGACTCGCCTTTCCCCAGATAGACACCAACCAATCCCCGCCATCCCTGAAATGCACATGGAGGAGCTCCCTGAGAAGTAGGTCATCATACAACTTTCTAGGTCACAAGGTCATGAGGTCATGAGGGGCTCAGACGGCAGAGCTGCCTTCTATTGTGTGCAGTAAACTCCGTTAAGAACAAACACACTTATTACGAATTAACAGATATGACGGGGTTGGGGGAATCTGTTATGTGTTGGCATGTGGTTCGCCGTGTGTTGTGAAACCAGGAATCTGATCATATCTAGGTTCACATAGATGTTTCAAGCAGGTTTTTCAGCACCGTGAGTTTCAACAAACTCTCAGGACTTGATTCATTCACTTAATTTTATATCATTTCTTGGGAAACATTTCATCAATAATGATATACTACCCAATATGTAGTAAAATTATTGGTGTTTAATCATACAATAAGTGTTGGATGAACGGTGTACTGTTTGTTCAGGCGCATGGAGTATACACGAGAGACACTACTGCAGTTCAAGAAGGACATGGAGTCCCAGAGATTAGCAGAGCAGAAGAATAAGGCAGGAGGGAGCGGATTCGGTGCTGGCTTTGGAGGCTTCGGTGGCGGCGGTGGTGGTGGAGAGCAGAAGGTAGGTGATACAGCTGATTGTTGTGTGGTCTCATTGTGGATCGCTTTAGCTGAGGTGAAGTAGGGTCATTCTGAAGATTGTTGCACAGCAGCGTGTAGTGATGTATGGTCTTGTGCATAGAGCCCAGCTCACAAAGTTAGGCATCATTGGTCACAGAGAGTCCTTGGATGGGTGACCCTGTTTGGCAGCTTGACTCCTGAGAGTTTCTAGGACTCCTGTCTGCCCCACAATGAAGCTCATGGGCCTCACCGTGGGCAAGTGAATTTATGTAAAATTGCCTCTGTCTCTGTTCACCCAGCAGTGAATGGGTACCCGGTGGGATAAGTCATATGACTATTAACCTTCTTGCACCTCAAAGCCAGTAAGGGTTATTCGATGTAATAATGTCCATCATGTTGTTGAAGAGCATGTCTACTGTGGCATGGATTTCAGCTCTATATAAGTGGCCTTATCATTATTATTATTGTGTGTGTGTGTGTGTGTGGTTGTATCCACATAGACTTAGAATTCCGTTTATCATGCTTTATCCTGACGTGTCTGTCCTGACCATAGGCACCCACCTCGACCACACACCATCGTATTTCCCCGCCTCCAGCAACCAAGCAGTCTTCTCTGCTCAGTGCTCCGAAAACTGAGGCATCCACAGTCAGCGCTGGCACGGAGGGAGAGGAAGAGTTGTCTCCCCTGGAGCAGCAGATCAGGCAGATAGAAGAGATCAGGTAAGATACCCAGGCCCCGATTTCTCGAAACAAATTTAAGTTTTTACTCAAATTTCAAACTGAGTTTGACAATTTGAAACAGCTGAATTTTTAACTCAACTGCATTTTTTAAATAAAAAAGCCCAAACAACTTAAGTAATCTATCTACCAAACACAAATTGTCCACTATGTTTGAGTTTAATATTGATTTCAGTTTATTCTGGGAAATGCATTTTTCTGTGTTTTCTCAAATTTGAGTAAAAACTCTAACTTAAGTCAAAACTCAGACTTAAGTTGGTTTCGAGAAATTGGGGCCAAGACAGTTAGGTATAGCTGTGTAAGGCAGGGTAGTTCAATATACTGATACAGTATATCTATGAACCAGTACTTGTATATTCACCTCAAGGAGGGGAGATGGGGTAGCCTAGTGGTTAAAGCGTTCGCTTGTCGAAGACCCGGGTTCGATTCCCCACATGGGTACAATGTGTGAAGTCCATTTCTGGTGTCCCCCGCCGTGTTATTGCTGGAATATTGCTAAAAGCGGCATAAAACCATACTCACTCACTCACTCACCTCAAGGAAGGTGACAAAAGTGATAATAGGTATGCCATTATGATCTAATTGTTCAACCCAGAAGTAAATGGTTATGGTATTTTTAAACATTTGTTAAGCACTTTTCATATCCAGTTGAAAGTAGAAGTCCTCCAGCAATGTCTTTATCACACATAGATTGCATCCTTATATTATGATCTCAGTTTTCGAGTCCTTCAGGATGTGATTACTGTGGCGGTCAGACTACAGACATGTTCCATGTAGCTTGATCTGGATCTCTGGCAAGTTGCTGCATGTTTCAGACTTACATACGAGCAGGATGATCTCCTCAACAAGATAGAGGAGCTTGTGAAGAACTTTGATGCTGAGCTCCGTCTCCTCCGACATGACAAGTTTGAGCTGGACATTGTCATGAAGAATGCTGATCTTAGGTGAGTGGATCTGTGTATTCTTCTCTCCACTGAGTCATGAGGTTGAAAGGTGATGGAGAGTCTGAGTGGTTAAACGTATAAACTGTTTATCTCCTACATGAGTTCAGTCAGAGAGGCCATTTATTGTATGCCCTTCAACCCTCCATCCTCATCCGGGATTTCTTGTAATACTGAGGGCGATGGGTAGCCTAGTGGTTAAAGCGTTTGCTTGTCATGCCGAAGATCCGGGTTCGATTCTCCCACATGAGTTCAGTCAGAGAAGCCATTTGTTGTCTGCCCTTCAACCCTCTATCCTCATCCGGGATTTCTTGTAATACTGAGGGTGGTTGGTAGCCTAGTGGTTAAAGCGTTTGCTTGTCATGCCGAAGATCCGGGTTCGATTCTCCCACATGAGTTCAGTCAGAGAAGCCATTTGTTTTCTGCCCTTCAACCCTCCATCCTCATCCGGGATTTCTTGTAATACTGACGGCAGTGGGTAGCCTAGTGGTTAAAGCGTTTGCTTGTCATGCCGAAGATCCAGGTTCGATTACCCACATGGGTACAATGTGTGAAGCCCATTTCTGGTGTCCCCTGATATTGCTGGAATATTGCTAAAAGTGAAAACCCAATTACTCACAGTATTTTGCCCATTTCTGGTGTCCCCGCCATGATATTGCTGGTATTGCTAAAAGGATCTTGTCTATTTTTCTAACCACTGTGTCATGAAGTTGAAGAGTCTGAGTGGTTGAAAGTAGTGCTGTAGCTGTGCATCAAACTATCGATTGATTGCAATTGTTGAGTCTCCGATAGCAATTAATCGATGGTAGAAATGAAAAGCTATCGATGCATCGACAGTATGTGTGAGTATCAATAGTTAAGTAATTGACTTCAGTTGATAAATTCGCAGCGCAAAATATAGTAAGTACCAGATTTGTTCACTTTGATTTAGGGTTATCTGCCCCTGTTATCTCATAAAGAAACATGGCGGCAAACAAGGAGAAAAAAACCTATTGCAATAGCATTGCAATAGTTGGTCACAATAGCCTATCGCTATCGCAATAGTATGTTGCAATAGACTATCGCTATCACAATAGCTGTTTCCCCCTCAATGGTCACCCCTAGTTAAAAGTATAAACTCTTTTATCTTTCACTTGAGTACAGTCAGAGAAGCTAGGACCATGTCGCTGTACCCAAATGTTGACACCATGTTTTCTGTGACTGACAGGTGAAACTGTTCAAAGAGCTGGTCCTTCAGATGCTGGTGACCCGTGAAGATCCGGGGTAGAATAGGTCTTCAGCAACCCATGTGCTTGCCATAAAAGGCGACTATGCTTGTCGTAAGAGGCGACTAATGGGATTGGGTGGTCAGTTTTGCTGACTTGGTTGACACATGTCATCGGTTCCCAATTGCACAGATCGATGCACATGCTGGTGATCACTGGATTGTCTGGTCCAGACTCTATTATTTACAGACCGCCGCAATATAGCTGGGATATTGCTGAGTGCGGCGTAAAACTAAACTCACTCACTCACTCAGATGCTGGTATCAATGTAGTATAAGCCATGTCACCGTATGCTTGTGTTATCCATTACAGACAGGTGACACTATTTGAGGAGCTGGTCCTTCTGAAGGAGTATGAGAAGAGTGAGGATGTCCTGGCAGCCAAGGTCACCGGCAAACAGCAGGAGAAGCTGGAGATGCAGAACAAGGTATGTATGGTCTAAACAGTGTGTTTGGTTCAGGTTATGTACAGTCAAGTGGTCCTCTGTGCCCCAACATTATCTCCCTTAGCAGTACCAGGACCATGGTTGTTTCTTTCAGAGCAAATACGTGCATGATTTCATCAACCAGTTCATATGATCAATAGGGTTGGGCATTGCCAAAATTTTCGTATTGCAATATATTGTGGAAGTGAAACACGTTGTTTCCTTCCTTTTGAAACAATGCCACTGTTCACTGTCAGGACTCAGATATGATTGTACAAGAGATCAAATTGAAAATGTTTCCAAATTGAAGACTTCGCTCTAAAGTTTGGAAAAAGCGTCTGCAGCGGCGCCCGCCATTTTGTTCTGTTCGGTACCGGCACTCGATGTACTGTTTTTATTTATATGGTTTAATAGTCATGCAAATGCAATTGCATGACCAATAAACATTCCCCAAATTATTGACGTATAATAATATAAAGGAAATATAATGTTGTTAGTATTTTTTACATCACGAAAATTTTACATGTTCACGGAAATTGCCGATCGTATCGGGTGAACCGGTTCGCAAAAAGTGTACTGCAATATATCGTATTGTGAAGTTCGAATTGCGATATACCGGTTAACCGGTATTATCGCCCACCCCTAATGATCAATAATTCATGTCAGACCCACCGTTGCTTCAAGGACTCCCATATTGCCTGCAAGGACACCTAAAACTAATAATGTTTGTGTTGTGAGTCGAGGTAAAACCCTGTCCATATATTGTATGTATGTCCCCTTCTCACTTGTTACTTCGTGGGGTAGCTTAATGGTTAAAGCGTTCTCGATTCCCCACCAGGTTGAATACAACATGGGTTAATGTGTGAAGCCATTTCTGGTGTTCCCCGTCGTGATATTGCTGGAATATTGCTAAAAGCGGCGTAAAACCAAACTCACTCACTCACTCACTCACTCCCACTTGTTGCTGTCAGATCCTGGAGGTGCAAGGGAAGATGGATGCGAAGAAGAAGGACATTGAGAAGCTGCAGGAGAAAGAGAGAACGCTGCATGCCACCTTCGTCACCTCCCTTGGAGACAACAACAAGTTTGCTGACTACCTCACCAAGGTGTTCAAGAAGAAGATCAAGAGGACCAAGAAGAAGACTGCTGAGGGTGACGGTATGCAGGAAACCATGTTTGTAACAAACATCGATTAGTTGAAATCTGTTTAACAAACTACAGCTATAGTAAACAGAAATTAGTGGTCCTTTTAGTTTGTTTACGACCATAGTGAGTGGTGGAAAGCCTTGCGGTTAAGGCGTTTTCTGGTCACGCCGGACCTGGGTTTGATTTTCCATATGAGTACAATATGTGAATCCGATTTCCGTGATATTGCTGGAATATTGCTAAAAGCGGCATTAAACTAAACCCATGCATTCACTCACTCACTTACTACCATAGTTTATGTTACAACAAATCCGGCTTCTGTACCAGACTGATGATAGTGATGAGATGATGCACAGTAAGTCTGGCTGTCCGTGTGTAATATTGTACCCATAATACTAACATTCCAAGAATAATGGTATATGTTAAACAATGCTGTAGGCAATCCTTGCACTGTCATGTCAAGCAGTTAAGTTGGACATGAACTCTGCCCATGTATCTGCCCACTCATGAGTGTATCCCCATTATGTGATATATGTGATAGGTCTACTGGTACATTACAGGAATGGAATATATGATATAGGTTCACTCACTGTGCTTCATCCTGAAGAGATATATATAAAGGGTCGCGAATATAGAAGGCTTTTATTTTTGCTAAGATCTGGGGGAATTGCCTTTAATGATTAACATTGGTAGACGTTGTGGTATTGTTTGCGATGAATGATTTTGTAATTTATGTATGAATGGATGTATAGAAGATGAATACCATTTTCTGTTAATATGTAAAGTTTATTCCATTTTAAGACAAAAGTATATTCCTGAAAACTTCTGGAAACATCCCTCTATTTATAAATTTAACATGTTATTATGTTGTGACAAAGTGAATACCCTAATTAACTTAGCAAAATTTGTAAAAAGAAGCTTTAAGGTTAAGAAGTGCTTAAAAGGTGTATCTAACCATTTGGTCACTTGCATTATTATTTTGTGAGTTTTTGTTCTTGGGCCTATGGCCTTTATAGGGAATAAAAGTTTTTGATTTGATATATAACATGCTGTATGACGCCTGTCTCAGCAATACAGATCAATGTGTCACCAGCTTACATCTGTGTCTAGGTTCTGACGAGGACAGTGACGAGGACTCTGATGATGAGTCCGACTGGGAGGAGTCAGATGAGGAGTCTGACGAGGAAGCTGGGGGATTTGACCTGGATGTGTGTCCTCCTGGCTGTGACCAGGTCAGTACCAGTAAAACACCAGGGCCCCGTTTTACTAAGCTCTCGTAAGCCTAAGATTTCGTAACTTTCTCGTAGCATTTGTACCTCCTATACTGTAACAGTTGAGGTATGAATGCTACGAGATCTTAGGCTAACGAGAGCTTTTTGAAATGGGGCCCTGATTATGAACACCTCCTTATAGTAACAAATGTGTGAAGCCCATTTCTGTTGTTTCCTCGCCGTGATATTGCTAAAAGCGGCATAAAACTAAACTCACTCAGATAGTAGCACACCAGTGTTCCACTGTTAGACTTCTTGGTAAATATAGATGCTCTATGTCAAAATAGACCTAAAATCTGCACTAGTCATTAGACGTGACAAATAGGGTTGATTACTTTGCTTGTGTCTCATCAGCCTAGCCAGTAGGTGTGGGGGATGCACTGTGTTTATCTGGTTCTGGATTAAACCTGAGGTGTGACTTTTGTTATAGACGCTGTATGACAACACATGCCAGCTGCGAGAGAAGAGGCTGGACCTGGAGGAAGCATTGGCTGAGGAGAAGAAGAACCAGGACACTATGAAGAAGGAGCTGGAGGGTCTCAACAAAAAGGCCAGGGTCATTGACGCTGCCCTCAAGACAGCACAAAATGATCTTGAGGCCTTCCAGGTTGGGAGATTTTCAGTCTTCTGGCCCTAGTTTAGGGACCGTTCATAATTTATGGCTAGGGGGGATGATAATGATTTTTATGGAGAAGCAAGTACAATGTGAATGACCCCCTCTAAAAGTTATGTACAAAGTAAGCGAAAAAAACTTCCCCACACACACACACACACACACACACACACACACCTGCATGTCATGTACAAAATCAACAATAGCACTCCTAGTACATGTGTACAAAATTGATGACCACCCTTACCTCCTCAGAACAAAATGGGTGACACCCGCCACCCCTTTAAAATCATCATCACCCCCTTACCATAAATTATGAATAGTCCCATATCTCTTGCTATCATTTTCACCAAATTGACTGGTTGTTACCTGATTGCCTCTGATAGTTCCCTAATTGACTCTGATTGTTATCTGCCTGATTGTTATCTGCCTGATTGTTATCTGATTGCCTCTGATAGTTCTCTGATTGCCTCTGATTGTTCTCTCAATGATAGTTCTCTGATTGCCTCTGATTGTTCTCTGATTGCCTCTGATTGTTCTCTGATTGCCTCTGATTGTTCTCGTCTGATAGTTCTCTGATTGCCTCTGATTGTTCTCGTCTGATTGTTCTCTGATTGCCTCTGATTGTTATCTCACTGATAGTTCTCTGATTGCCTCTGATTGTTCTCTCGCTGATAGTTCTCTGATTGCCTCTGATTGTTCTCTGATTGTTATCTCACTGATAGTTCTCTGATTGCCTCTGATTGTTATCTCACTGATAGTTCTCTGATTGCCTCTGATTGTTCTCTCACTGATAGTTCTCTGATTGCCTCTGATTGTTCTCTGATTGCCTCTGATTGTTCTCTGATTGCCTCTGATTGTTCTCTTGCTGATAGTTCTCTGATTGCCTCTGATTGTTATCTCACTGATAGTTCTCTGATTGCCTCTGATTGTTCTCTCACTGATAGTTCTCTGATTGCCTCTGATTGTTATCTGATAGTTCTGTGACTGTATTTGATTGTTCACTGACTATAATGTATCTATTTTCAACTCTCTGACCGCTTACCTGACAAGCCTCTATTTAGGGCTGTATATCTGGCTCCCTCTTTACATACAACTGCTATCTCAATATATATGTGACTGTCCTCTGTCTATCTCCAGCTTGAGAAGCAGCAGAAGCTGAACGAGCTTGATGTGGTGGTGACACTGAAGCTCAACCAGATCCAGTACATGGTGAATAACGTGCTGCCCCAGGACCTGAGTCAGACCCTGGTGTTCGAGTCCAATGGCGTTGTCCGTCTACAGCAACGCATCAAGGAGCTGGAGCACGAGAAGTTCCTGCAGAAGAAACAGATGAAGTTAGTACACACTCCTTATATACTCATCAAAATAAATAAAGGAACATGTACAACTGGAAGCATTTATATGTACTTACACATGGTTATATAATGAAGATGACAATTGTTTGACAATTTGGTGAAGACTCATTTTACCTTATCCTGACTCATTTGTAATATTTTTATATGTTGGAATATTTTACCCGTCAGTAAATATTGGAAAAAATAATTACAAAAAGTAAAACCTGGGAAGAGGTCTTACTTGCAAACAAAAACCTCAAATGCGGTTATTCGGGGAAAACAAGAGATGCTTAATATATAGTGAGAAGCACGCTTCAGGTTTATATAGCATGAAGACCCATGATTGATTGCCCACATGGGTACAGTGTGTAATGCTGTTATCTGGTATCCCCCACCATGATATTGCTGGAGTAGTGCTGTAAGCAACATAAAACTAAACTCACTCATTCACTCACTTCTGGTTTACAAGTCACATGACCCGTGAAGATCTGGGTTAGAATTGGTCTTCAGTAACCCATGCTTGTCCTAAGAGGCGACTAAAGGAATTGGGTGGTCAGGCTCGCTGACTTGGTTGACACATGTCATCATATCCCAGATGCGTACATTGATGCTCATGCTGTTGATCACTGGATTGTCTGGTCCAGACTTGATTATTTACAGACCGCCCCCATATAGCTGGAATATTGCTGAGTGCGGCGTTAAACAACAACCAACCGACCAGTCTCACATGTAATACCGACAACAGTGTGAGGATTGTTGAAGTATAAGCATGACACGAGGTTCTCTGTCTCAGGGAGTCCCGACGATTGTTGAAGTGTAAGCATGACACAAGGTTCTCTGTCTCAGGGAGTCCCGACGATTGTTGAAGTGTAAGCATGACACAAGGTTCTCTGTCTCAGGGAGTCCCGACGATTGTTGAAGTGTAAGCATGACACGAGGTTCTCTGTCTCAGGGAGTCCCGACGATTGTTGAAGTGTAAGCATGACACGAGGTTCTCTGTCTCAGGGAGTCCCGACGATTGTTGAAGTGTAAGCATGACACGAGGTTCTCTGTCTCAGGGAGTCCCGACGATTGTTGAAGTGTAAGCATGACACGAGGTTCTCTGTCTCAGGGAATCCGGCGATTGTTGAAGTGTAAGCATGACAGCGAGGTTCTCTGTCTCAGGGAGTCCCGAACGATTGTTGAAGTGTAAGCATGACACGAGGTTCTCTGTCTCAGGGAGTCCCGGACGATTGTTGAAGTGTAAGCATGACACGAGGTTCTCTGTCTCAGGAGTCCCCGGCGATTGTTGAAGTGTAAGCATGACACGAGGTTCTCTGTCTCAGGAGTCCCGGACGATTGTTGAAGTGTAAGCATGACACGAGGTTCTCTGTCTCAGGAGTCCCGGCCGAAGCATAGTGATTGTTGAAGTGTAAGCATGACACGAGGTTCTCTGTCTCAGGGAGTCCCGACGATTGTTGAAGTGTAAGCATGACACGAGGTTCTCTGTCTCAGGGAGTCCCGACGATTGTTGAAGTGTAAGCATGACACGAGGTTCTCTGTCTCAGGGAGTCCCGACGATTGTTGAAGTGTAAGCATGACACGAGGTTCTCTGTCTCAGGGAGTCCCGACGATTGTTGAAGTGTAAGCATGACACGCAGTTCTCTGTCTCAGGAGTCCCGACGATTGTTGAAGTGTGAAGCATGACACGAGGTTCTCTGTCTCTAGGAGTCCGACGATTGTTGAAGTGTAAGCATGACACGAGGTTCTCTGTCTCAGGGAGTCCCGACGATTGTTGAAGTGTAAGCATGACACGAGGTTCTCTGTCTCAGGGAGTCCCGACGATTGTTGAAGTGTAAGCATGACACGAGGTTCTCTGTCTCAGGGAGTCCCGACGATTGTTGAAGTGTAAGCATGACACCAGGTTCTCTGTCTCAGGGAGTCCCGGGGACGATTGTTGAAGTGTAAGCATGACACGAGGTTCTCTGTCTCAGGGAGTCCCGACGATTGTTGAAGTGTAAGCATGACACCAGGTTCTCTGTCTCAGGGAGTCCCGACGATTGTTGAAGTGTAAGCATGACACGAGGTTCTCTGTCTCAGGGAGTCCCGACGGAAGCATGTGCAGCTCATCAAGGACCGCAAGGTGTTCGAGCAGAAGATTGTGGAGATGGACGAGACGTGCAACCAGATGATGGTCAGCAAGTTTGGCCGCATCGTGGACCTGGAGAAACTGGAGACGGTCACTGTGAACCGCAACATCGAGGAACTGAAGGAGAAGTGCCACATCACCGAGATACAGTGTGCCGAGGAGCTGACTCAATGGGATGTGAGTACTAGGTCTAGGGGGATATAGTGGGGTCCTGGTGGGATATGAATACTCTACCCCCTCTCACAGGGGAGCTGTCTCACTGGGGGGGATATACGGTCATGATGATTTCATTACTTACGGTTTTAATCCATTCCCTGCCCCACCCACCCAACAGCTGTCTCACTGGGATGTGAGTACTAGGTCTAGGGGGATATAAGGTCATGATGATTTCATTACTTACGGTTTCAATCCATTTCCTGCCCCACCCACCAAGCAGCTGTCTCACTGGGATGTGAGACAAGGTCATTTTGATTTCATTACTTACGGTTTCAATCCATTCCCTGCCCCACCCACCAAGCGGCTGTCTCACTGAGATGTGAGTACTAGGTCATTTTGATTTCATTACTTACGGTTTCAATCCATTCCCTGCCCCACCCACCAAGCAGCTGTCTCACTGAGATGTGAGTACTAGGTCTAGGGGGATATACGGCCATGATGATTTCATTACTTACGGTTTCAATCCATTCCCTGCCCCACCCACCAAGCAGCTGTCTCACTGGGATGTGAGTACTAGGTCTAGGGGGATATAAGGTCATGATGATTTCATTACTTACGGTTTCAATCCATTCCCTGCCCCACCCACCCAGCAGCTGTCTCACTGGGATGTGAGACAAGGTCATTTTGATTTCATTACTTACGGTTTCAATCCATTCCCTGCCCCACCCACCAAGCAGCTGTCTCACTGAGATGTGAGTACTAGGTCTAGGGGGATACAGGGTCATGATGATTTCATTACTTACGGTTTCAATCCATTCCCTGCCCCACCCACCAAGCAGCTGTCTCACTGGGATGTGAGTACTAGGTCTAGGGGGATACAGGGTCATGATGATTTCATTACTTACGGTTTCAATCCATTCCCTGCCCCACCCACCCAGCAGCTGTCTCACTGGGATGTGAGTACTAGGTCTAGGGTGATATAAGGTCATGATGATTTCATTACTTACGGTTTCAATCCATTCCCTGCCCCACCCACCCAGCAGCTGTCTCACTGGGATCTGAGTACTAGGTCTAGGGTGATATAAGGTCATGATGATTTCATTACTTACGGTTTCAATCCATTCCCTGCCCCACCCACCCAGCAGCTGTCTCACTGGGATGTGAGTACTAGGTCTAGGGGGATATACGGTCATGATGATTTCATTACTTACTGCTTCAATCCATTCCCTGCCCTACCCACCAAGCAGCTGTCTCACTGGGATGTGAGTACTAGGTCTAGGGGGATATAGGGTCATGATGATTTCATTACTTACAGTTTCAATCCATTCCCTGCCCCACCCACCAAGCAGCTGTCTCACTGGGATGTGAGTACTAGGTCTAGGGGGATATAAGGTCATGATGATTTCATTACTTACTGCTTCAATCCATTCCCTGCCCCACCCACCAAGCAGCTAGTGAGTAGTACAGGGGATAAAGGTGGGTTCTGATAGGAGGTGAATTCTCTACCCATCTCACAGAGCATCTGTATCACTGGGCTTTGATATGCACGAGAGAAGGGTGGGTGGGGCTGGGGGGCTGGGGATCTGGGGGCTGATGGTTTAAATCTTACCTCAGTCCTTCCAACTGAGCAGCAGCTATCTCTCTGAGATGCCATCAGTACAGGTGATTCAGGGAGGTCCAGGATGTTGCATACTCCCTTCCCCACCCCACAAAAATCTAATACATTATTTATGAGAAACATATATATCCTTGTCCCATTGTCACTGATCCTCCCTCCACAAGCATAGAAGTCAAGATTTCAATAATGTTTTCAGTCAATTATGGAAATGGTGATTTGCAAATTTGACAGAAGATAACTAATTATGATCACTTTCAGAAACTGATAGCTGAGAAGCGCAGTCGAATCACAGAATTGATCCGAGACAACACAAACCGCCTGGAGCAGCTGAACATGCTGATGACAGAGAAGAAGGACTTTGAGTCATCACTGGACTCTCGCCAGAAGAACTTGGTAAGCAGTTGTCTCCCCCTTGTTCACCTGTGTTGTGGTCCCTGAAGGACTGACAGTAGATAGCTGTACTCTTCATTACTGTGTGCATGATGTGTAGTGTTGTAGTTACATGATTGGTGGGGTGGGGTAGCCTAGTGGTTAAAGCGTTCGCTTGTCATGCTGTCCCGGTTTGATTCCCCAAATAGGAACAATGTGTGATGCCCATTTCTGGTGTCCACTCCATCATATTGCTGGAATACTGCTAAAAGCGATGTAAAACCATACTCACTCACCATATATGATGTGAAAGGTTTTCTGGTGTGTCACTAGAATGGGTGGTTCGTAAATGACAGTCTGGACCAGACAATCCAGTGTTTCTGTGAATGGCAATCCACACTGGATGACATGCATCTGGCAGGTCACTGAGTCTGATCGTCTGGGCCTACTTGCACAAAGTCATTTTAGTGCTACGATGATCGTAACTCTCATACTCTAACATAGTCTTAAGACATAACATATGTTACATTTGACCACTTTCTATAGTCTGTTTGCAGTGAAAACGTACCGATGAAGTTCTCTTTAAACAAAAAATTAAATCAAATAAAGTGAAATTAAGATTGCGAATCCTCATAATTTTACCCTGCCAATTGAACTTTTAAATCTCAGAATTTTTATTGTCTGGTCCAGACTCGATTATTTACAGACTGCCGCCATATAGCTGGAATATTGCTGAGTGTGACGTAAAACTAAACTCACTTACTCACTCTTCTACTTCTTCTTATTATTACGATGTGTGTATTCACAGGGTGAGGAGTACACAGGCCAGCGCAAGGCTGACCTCAACGAGAAGCAGCGCCTCATCCAGCTGGTGCAGCTGCAGGCCCAGGAGATCGACGCCCTGAAGGAGGAGATCATGCTGCTTTCCAGGAAAGGAGGTCACATTCTACCCCCGGCCCAGCCCCCCGCTGCCCCAGAGTCCCCCCAACCTACACAGCATCAACCACTGACAGCAGCACTCTCCTGTCCATTTGCAGCCACAAGCGACCCTTGGAACATGATCTACTGGTTTTCTCGGGAACCTCATCATCTGACATATCTTTGAATATTTGCCATCGTCTTGAAGTTTTACAGATCTTATCTGTTTTGCAGGACAATAAAATGACTCTTTGATCTTCAGACTTTTCATTCACTTTGTCATTCACAGAGGTTAAATGAAGAATAACTGATAACAATTTTCATGGAAACATCTTTGATCAAATGATTCAACTTAAATCACAGTAGCATGTGAGAAATGGTTTATATTCATAATATGTTTAGTTTTGTCTATATAAACTGGTTGTACTGAAGCACCAACTCTGGTAAAAGCGACATCCCAAGTGGCACTCTTTGATCCTAGTTCATACAAGCCAAAACAGACAGTATTATATTTCGCTGGACACTTAGTGTGTTCTCTTACACCCATCAGTGTAACCTAACCTAGATGCTGTACATGATATGTGATGCCTGTCTTTGTGTGTGCTGGGTACATCGTGTGAAGCCCATTTCTGGTGTCTCCCGCTGTGATGTTGCTGGAATATTGCTAAAAGCGGTGTAAAGCCATACTCACTCACTCACTCTGTGTGTGTGCTCCTGTGTCATCTGTTCACTGAAGGAGGTTGATCCTACTGACAAGTACCATGTAACACACAAGCACCATATTCCTTGGTGTGTTGACTTCATATTCCTGAAACATGGAGTTTTACCATTCTGTTAACTGTTTTTTTAATTATTAATCAGTTTCAAAGCATTATTGTTGATGTTTTCATTCCGGTTTTGTATCCACTCCGTCCAAGAAATTATGTTTTTGTAAGTTGTAACAGACTGTTATGTAATTGTGAATATTTATATGAAATAAATTATACATAATAGATCATGTCTTTACCTGATATTTAGAGGGTGTAGACTGTATGTTACCTGGGGTATCACAACTACTAGTGTGTTACAGGAATATCATAGCTGTAGCACAGCTGTAGCACAGCTGTATGAAGTAAAGGCCACAAAACCTTTCAACATCTATAAGGCAAATATACAACTGTGACTAGATCCTGAACATACTAAATCTCTCTCTCACTCACTCACTCACTCACTCACTCACTCACTCACTCACTCACTCACTCACTCACTCACTCACTCACTCACTCACTCACTCACTCACTCACTCACTCACTCACTCACTCACTCACTCGGGGCGGTGGGGTAGCCTAGTGGTTAAAGCATTGGCTGGTCACGCCGAAGACCTGGGTTCTAATCCCCACATGGGTACAATGTGTGAAGCCCATTTCTGGTGTCCCCCGCTGTGATGTTGCTGGAATATTGCTAAAAGCGGCGTAAAACCAAACTCAGTCAGTCAGTCACTCACTCACTCTACACTACGGTGCAGCTATACAGATCCAAAAACGTTTAAAGATATATCACAACTATACTACCTATCAAAAGTTTAGACTCACTTAAAGCACTCACTATATGTTATGCATATACATATGGTTACATCGAAGATGAATTTCTCGACTAACTTGAGGGAACCAACTGCAAACCTTATGCAGATAAATTGCACGAGGATCATGCATCAAATTGCTGAAAAGTATGTGTAAATATCGTGCATGTGAACAGCTGCGTTTTAAGTTTTCCTAAGAATTCGTCAAGTTTCAGTTTCATCATTCATTGAACTCATGACAATAATCTTTTCAACGTTACGAATTTGTTTTACAATACATCAGTATGGAATATTTTGCAAAATCTAGTTTAGGACAGTTGACTGAAGTAAGTGCCTACATTTACACTAGTGAGTCTAATCTTTTGATGGGTAGTATATACAGAAAAGCTATACTACAACAAACCAGGACTAATTGTCCGCAGTACCCCAGCTGTTCCATAAAGCCATCCAATAGTTGTTCAACAGCTGCAACCAAAAGCAAACCTTAGTTACAGCAAACCTTAGTTACAGCAAACCTTAGTTACAGCAAACCTTAGTTACAGCAAACCTTAGTTACAGCAAACCTTAGTTACAGCAAACCTTAAACCTTAGTTACAGCAAACCTTAGTTACAGCAAACCTTAGTTACAGCAAACCTTAGTTACAGCAAACCTTAAACCTTAGTTACAGCAAACCTTAGTTACAGCAAACCTTAGTTACAGCAAACCTTAAACCTTAGTTACAGCAAACCTTAGTTACAGCAAACCTTAGTTACAGCAAACCTTAGTTACAGCAAACCTTAGTTACAGCAAACCTTAGTTACAGCAAACCTTAAACCTTAGTTACAGCAAACCTTAGTTACAGCAAACCTTAGTTACAGCAAACCTTAGTTACAGCAAACCTTAAACCTTAGTTACAGCAAACCTTAGTTACAGCAAACCTTAGTTACAGCAAACCTTAAACCTTAGTTACAGCAAACCTTAGTTACAGCAAACCTTAGTTACAGCAAACCTTAGTTACAGCAAACCTTAGTTACCAAACCTTAGTTACAGCAAACCTTAGTTACAGCAAACCTTAGTTACAGAAGAGTCATACAATAGTTGCATCGAAATTATACTGCGGATGTTGCACAATTATCCCACAACAATCGTACTCTGTTATTACTGATGCTGCATCAACTACACCACAAGTATGAGCTGCAGACGAGGTATCCACCATCTGCCAGAAGTACTGTATACTTCAGTCAAACGCAGCGTTGATCTCTATACTATTTCAAGAATAGAAGCACTGTGCAATACAGACAAACACAGATATGATCCCTATATTGGTTCAACATTATAAACACTGTATACTACAGACCAGCACAGCTGTGACATCAATATTGGTTCAAGAGTATAAACTATAAACACTGTACACTACAGACAAGCATGGCGGTGATCCCTATATTGGTTCAAGAGTATAAACACTGTATACTACAGACTAGCATGGCAGTGATCCCTATGTTGGTTCAACATTATAAACACTGTATACTACAGACCAGCACAGCTGTGACATCAATATTGGTTCAAGAGTATAAACTATAAACACTGTACACTACAGACAAGCATGGCGGTGATCCCTATATTGGTTCAAGAGTATAAACACTGTATACTACAGACTAGCATGGCAGTGATCCCTATATTGGTTCAAGAGTATAAACACTGTACACTACAGACTAGCATGGCAGTGATCCCTATATTGGTTCAAGAGTATAAACACTGGATACTACAGACTAGCATGGCAGTGATCCCTATATTGGTTCAAGAGTATAAACACTGTACACTACAGACTAGCATGGCAGTGATCCCTATATTGGTTCAAGAGTATAAACACTGTACACTACAGACTAGCATGGCAGTGATCCCTATATTGGTTCAAGAGTATAAACACTGTACACTACAGACTAGCATGGCAGTGATCCCTATATTGGTTCAAGAGTATAAACACTGTACACTACAGACTAGCATGGCAGTGATCCCTATATTGGTTCAAGAGTATAAACACTGGATACTACAGACAAGCATAGCAGGGATCCCTATATTTCCTCATGAGTATACACACTGTATACTACAGACAAGCATGGCGGTGATCCCTATATTTCCTCAAGAGTATAAACACTGTACACTACAGACAAGCATGGCGGTGATCCTTATATTGGTTCAAGAGTATAAACACTGTATGCTACAGACTAACATGGCGGTGATCCCTATATTGGTTCATGAGTATAAACACTGTACACTACAGACTAGCATGGCAGTGATCCCTATATTGGTTCAAGAGTATAAACACTGTATGCTACAGACAAGTATGGCAGTGATCCCTATATTGGTTCAAGAGTATAAACACTGTATAATACAGACAAGCATGGCGGTGATCCCTATATTGGTTCATGAGTATAAACACTGTATACTACAGGCAAGCATGGCCGTGATCCCTATATTGGTTCTTGAGTATAAACAGGAATTAAACGCAACATATAATTACGAAATATGCACTCGTTGACATTGTGAAGGCCTTCCGTGTAGAGAGTGAGTCATTAAACTATGCGTATTCAAATTGCAATATCATATTCATTTACTAGACAGACAATACAGCCCACTGTTCATGCGTGCAACGCAATAGATGATGCGACATAATTTTTTAGGATTGCATAACTGTTTAATACACACAGAGTGCATGTTCCGTACAGACGGACTGCGTACACTTGTCGCGCTCTGGTAATTGCATCAGATTAAAATAAAGCTGACTGTTTGATGACACGAGTTCTTCAACTTCTGACACATCCGTGATCATGGATAATGAGCACAGACATGTATTCTGCTCTGTGAGGGGAGATAGAGTCGTTACACAGGTAAATATATCGCTTGTTCACACTCAGCACAGCGAGATAGAGTCATTACACAGGTGTGTGTATCACTTGTTCACACCAGGCACAGCGAGATAGAGTCATTACACAGGTGAGTGTATCGTTTGTTCACACCAGGCAAAGCGAGGGGAGACAGAGTCATTACACAGGTGAGTGTATCGTTTGTTCACACCAGGCACAGCGAGGGGAGATAGAGTCATTACACAGGTGAGTGTATCGTTTGTTCACACCAGGCAAAGCGAGGGGAGACAGAGTCATTACACAGGTGAGTGTATCGTTTGTTCACACCAGGCAAAGCGAGGGGAGACAGAGTCATTACACAGGTGTGTGTATCACTTGTTCACACCTAGCAGCACAGCGAGATAGAGTCATTACACAGGTGAGTGTATCGTTTGTTCACACCAGGCACAGCGAGGGGAGATAGAGTCATTACACAGGTGAGTGTATCACTTGTTCACACCAGGCACAGCGAGATAGAGTCATTACACAGGTGAGTGTATCACTTGTTCACACCTAGCAGCACAGCGAGATAGAGTCATTACACAGGTGAGTGTATCGTTTGTTCACACCAGGCACAGCGAGATAGAGTCATCACACAGGTGAGTGTATCGTTTGTTCACATCTAGCAGCACAGCGAGGGGAGATAGAGTCATTACACAGGTAAATATATCGTTTGTTCACACCTAGCAGCACAGCGAGATAGAGTCATTACACAGGTGAGTGTATCGTTTGTTCACACCAGGCACAGCGAGATAGAGTCATTACACAGGTGAGCGTATCGTTTGTTCACACCAGGCACATCGAGGGGAGATAGAGTCATTAGACAGGTGTGTGTATTGTTTGTTCACATCTAGCAGCACAGTGAGGGGAGACAGAATCATTACACAGGTGAGAGTATAGTTTGTTCACATCTAGCAGCACAGCGAGGGGAGACAGAATCATTACACAGGTGAGAGTATAGTTTGTTCACACCTAGCAGCACAGCGGGGGAAGATACAGCGAATCTCAGCACAGCGAGATAGAGTCATTACACAGGTGAGAGTATCATTTTTTCACATCTAGCAGCACAGCGAGGGGAGACAGAATCATTACACAGGTGAGTGTATCACTTGTTCACACCTAGCAGCACAGCGAGGGGAGACAGTGTCATTAGACAGGTGTGTGTATTGTTTGTTCACACATTGCACCGCGAAGGGAGATAGAATCTAAACTCAGGTGAGTGTATCGCTTGTTCACACCTAGGAACACAGGTGAGTGTATCGCTTGTTCACACCTAGGAACACAGCGAGGGGAGACAGAGTCATTTCACAGGTGAGTGTATCACTTGTTTACACCTAGAAGCACAGCGAGGGGAGACAGTGTCATTAGACAGGTGAGTGTATCGTTTGTTCACACCTAGCAGCACAGCGAGGGCAGATAGAGTCATTACACAGGTGAGTGTATCGTTTGTTCACACCTAGGAACACAGCGAGGGGAGATAGAGTCATTACACAGGTGAGTGTATCGTATGTTCACACCTAGGAGCACAGAGAGGGGAGATAGATTCATTACACAGGTGAGAGTATAGTTTGTTCACATCTAGCAGCACAGCGGGGGAGATAGAGTCATTACGCAGGTGAGAATGTCGTTTGTTCACATCTAGCAGCAGAGAGAGGGGAGAAAGAATCCTTACACAGGTGAGTGCTTTTAGTGCCACGTCAATGTGCATTTCATAGAAGGGTGATATGATATGTGGTATGGTTTCTATCGAATGTTTGGTAAATAATATACCTGTTTATAGGATTTATATATTTAATTTTCCTGGTCTCGAAACGTGCACAGTATTCATATCAGTCCAGTAAATTCATTACGGTCTCTGAAGGAAATAGAATTATTGTGAGTTCTTGTGAAAAAAGGCAACACAAGAGAGATTGTGGGTCAGTGTCACATACATTGTCGGTCAGCCATTGACCTTACATGGAGGGTCGTTTTACTGTACACACAAAAACTACCTCCCGAGTGTTGTCTGTCTCGTCAGTAACGTATGCTCGGTGAGGATAATTCATTTGAAAGAAAATAGACAAGAGAATCGAATTAGGTCAGATAGTTTGTGAAACTTCCAACGAATAGAACGAGAAAACAAAACGCAACGTGTTTTATAAGCCAGAAATAAGTAAACGGTTAAAAAACAACCCAGTTTCTGACGCTATCAATATAAACTTATTATTCAAAAACGTTATATATAATTGAAAACTGACAAAAATATGAATTATAACGGATCATGTGAGGAAATCGATAATATTGCATATTTCAGATTACCGACCGAGTTTTTCGGCCCCAAATACCCAAACCGAAAGCAAAAAGACCCTGGCCTTATTAATTGAGACCAATCAATTAAAGATGTTGATTTCATTCCCAACTGTTTTTTTCTGACCTTATTAGCTGAGGCCAATCAATTAAAGATGTTCACTTCAATCACAACCTGTCTTTTCTGACCTTATCAGTTGAGGCCAATCAATTAAAGATGTTGGCTCGATTCACAACCTGTTATTTTTTTACCTCATTACTTGAGACCAGTCAATTAAAGATGTTGACTTCATTCACAACCATTTTATTCCCTCATTACTTGAGATCAATCAATTAAAGATGTTGACTTCATTCACAACCAATTTTTACCTCATTACTTGAGCCCAATCAATTAAAGATGTTGACTTCATTCACAACCTGTTTTTTTCACCCTAGATGACGTTTAATTACTCGTTATTTTCGTGTATTTTAGGGGTAGCCAACTGGTTAAGATATTCACTCGTTCGGTTTCCTACATTGGCACAATGTGTTAAGCCTTTTTCTGTTTTTTCCCTTGTTGAAAGTTTGCTGAAAGTGGCGTAAAGCCTGACCAACTTGTGTTTGGAACGTTGACGAATATGTTCTCCTTTGTGAATACATCGTCTACCCGGATAGTGGAAGGTCGTTAGTGAAATATGTCAGTCGTCGTTACACGCTGTTGTGACCCGGGAAGACCCTGGTTAGAATAGGTCGGCAACAACCAATGCGTGTCGTAAGAGGCGACTAACGGGATCTGGTGGTCAGGCTCGCTGACTTGGTCATCGTATCCCAACTGCACCACACTCAGCAAAATTCCAACTATATGGCGGCTGGCTGTAAATAATCGAGTCTGGACCAGGCAATCTAGTGATCAACAACATAAGCATCGATCTACGCAATTGGGATGCGATGACATGTGTCAACCAAGTTAGCGAGTCTGACCATCCCTTCCCGTTAGTCGCCTCTTACGACAAGCATGGGTTACTTAAGATCAATTTCGAACCGGATCTTCATGGTATCTCGCCTTACAAAGTGGGAAGTCCTAGTTTTTTGTCGAAAACCCAACACACTGTGAACGCGGTAACACCATACATATATTTACCGACTTTGACATAAAGCTGAAGTCAACGGTTAACGGTTGTAGTAGGTTTATCGCATGACCTATGTCTTCATGCGTTGGCACACTCCGACGATATTAAATTGGGTCCCTTGAACTTACCTGTGTAGGTGAAAGCAAACAGAGGATGTAGTTATGTCAATATGAGTCGTGGCATTTCTTCACACGTTATCCCAAATAATAACATTGCGAGGGTCGTGTAACCACCGTCCTTGAGTCAGATAATATACTCTTGACCGAGATTACATTTTTGCCTGGCACAAACTATACAGAGAATTTGCCCCCCAAACCTGAGTTTATAGCGGTCAAGACGTCTGACTTTGTGTTCTGGCGATTAGGTGCCTGACTCTGAAGGTGTGGGTTCGAATCCCGGGTGGCACTAAATCCAACAAAAGTACTAGAATCTGTACTTTACCAAGAAAGTGTAATCCCAAATACACTCATGCCAATACTGGTTGTCACCCCCTTCAATTTTTTATATTGGAGAGGGGGTGTGGGATGGGGATGTGGGGTGTGTATTGGGTTGGGGTGGGGAGGGGGGTGACAACCATTAATGGCATGAGTATATAACATGTGTTACTTTGTAGGAGTTGGAGTAAAATAAAACAAAAACATTAAATTTCATGGAAAACGTAGCTTGATTCAGTCGCCTTAGGGTTTGAGATTCGCGGTGTGGATTCGCTTCTCATTGGCACGTCAGAAAGCTGCGATCGTGTGTGGTTATTATCTTGGTTCGCCACCACCATGACTAATACACCTATACTGTTAAATATAATACTGAAAATATTTATAACGCGCCTTTTCCAGGCTAGATATCATGCTGAAAGCACACAATGTGATCATAATCACCCCGGATAAACCAAGCTTCCTGTTAGGCGCTAGAAGGTTAATAACTTTTTCACCGGGTACCCATTTTCTGCTGGGTGAACAGATGCAATTTTGAACAAACTCACTTTTCTAAGTCGAGACCACATGTGTCACACGTGCTTCGTTGTGGTGCTGGACAGAAGTTCTAGAAACTCTCAGGAGTCAAGCTGTCACACACGGTCACTCATCCAAAGACTCTCCGCGCCTAACGTTGCCTAACTTCAACTGATTGGGACTTGAACTCTATGCACATGACCACACGCCATCATCTGAATGCACTGACCCTATTTCAGATAACGTACTACGAATATTTTAAGCATTATCAATATGGCATGGCCGTATTCTGGTGCAGAAATTCTGCAAATTAATGCTTGATGACGTTCTCAATACATCCACGTAGACAATACTTTCACCCCGTAGAACCCGTGAAGAAGGTTAGAACTGGGCCCCGTTCCTCAAAGCGATCGTAGCGCTAAAGTGATCGTAACTCCCATACTTTAACATAGACTTACGACTGTCGTAGCGCTACGATCGCTTTGAGGAACGGGACCCAGATCTTCAGGCAACCCATGTTTGTCGTAAGAGTCGATTAACGGGATCGGGTGGTCAGGCTCGCTGACTTGGTTGACATGTCATCGTATCCCAATTACGTAGATGGATGCTTATGCTGTTGATCACTGTATGGTCTGGTCCAGACTCGATTATTTACAGACCGCTGTACAATATGTACAACGCTGTACAATATGTACAACACTGTACAATATGTACAACACTGTACAATATGTACAGCATATGTTACTGTACAATACAACATGCATAACACTGTACAATACTAACGGGCTACAATATGTACAACGCTGTACAATAGGTACAACATGTTCTACAACCTGTCAATATGCCTTTAAATTCAACAACAAAGGTTCATGTTCTAGGTTAAGGTTTTAAATGACAAGGATATAACACACAGTGAACAAGGTGTAACTATAGGTGTTAGGGTCTGAATTTCGTGACACATACATATGAATGTGTGACAATCAATAGCTCTGTGCAAGGTAGTCAGGAATGTTATAGCGTCACTCCCAACGGTTGCTGAATAACAGGTGAATGGCGTACTATCAGTGTCAATCGCACACTTTCATTCCAGTGTTCAGATTTTGAAGTTTGCAATAAAAACGCCTTTGGTTTGGTTGTACTTGTTACATCTTTCAGAGGGTTTAAGTAATGTAAGTGTCCCTGATAGTGACACGCCTGTATCGTCTTGCTGTGTATCCCCACTTGCTCGTATTTGATCTGTAGTTCGCATCTCTCAGCATTTACACCCGGCAGCGATTGAACAGTGGTGTTACATTACAGTGTAGACAGTATGTATGGCACTGTGGATGCAACTTTTTCCAGGATGATGGTGAGGATGTGGACGTCCCTGACGGTGTCCTCAATTGTAGCAGTCTTATGTATGGTGCAGCCATCGGCAGGTGACGTCGAAGGCATTTATCCTTGTGACAGGTAACTGATTACTACTGCTACTACTACTACTACTGCTGCTACTACTACTACTACTACTACTACTGCTGCTGCTACTACTGCTACTACTGCTACTAGTGCTACTACTACTACTGCTGCTACTACTACTACTACTACTGCTGCTGCTACTCACTGCTACTACTGCTACTAGTGCTACTACTACTACTGCTGCTACTACTACTGATGCTGCTACTACTGCTACTAGTGCTACTACTACTACTGTTGTTGCTGATTTTACCACCAGTGCTGCTGCTGCTACTACTACTACTACTACTACTACTACTGCCGCTGCTACTACTACTTGCTGCGACTACAACAATTACCACTACTTCTACTGGTCCTACTGCTACTACTACTGCTACTAGTGCTACTAGTGTTACTACTACTACTACTACTACTGATATGGCTGCTTTTACCACCAGTGCTGCTGCTGCTACTACTACTACTGCTGCTGCTACAACAACTACTACTGCCTCTGCGACTACAACAAATACCACTACTTCTACTAGTCCTACTGTTACTACTACTACTACTAGTGCTACTATTAGTACTAATATTACTACTAGTCCTGCTGCAACTACTACTGTTACTTCTACTACTGCTACTATTTCTACTACTTGTTCTGTTGCGTAACTATTACTGCAGCTACTGCTACTACTCCCGCTACCAGTGCTACTATTACGACTATTTATCTATTATTACTACTACTTGTTCTGCTGCATAGCTGCTACTGCTACTCTTGCTACTATTACTACTAAATGTTCTGCTGCAACTACTACTGAAGTTACTACTGGTACTATTGCTACTATTGCTACTATTACTATTTTAGCTCTGCTGTTACTACTGTTAGTTCTGGTGCCACTTCTACTGCTGCTACAACTGCTACTACAACTACTACATATACTACCACTACCACTGCTCCTACTACATTATACAACTGCTACAGCTTTGCTACCTGACGTACCAAACACAAATCAGCAGCTATGGAATCCCCTGTTTAGATACTGGTGACTCCCTGCAATTGCTTGTCTTGCAGCCAGATCTACTGCCGGGGCCAACTGCTGGACAAGGTGCAGATGGCACGGATCTACAGAGACTCCAAGACATTCGTGGACATGAACTTGAAGGAGGACCCAGGTATTATTGGTAACAGAATACAGTTTGAGTGAGAGCATGGGGCTTTGGATTGAGGTGAGCGAAGGATGGGTTAATTGTAATCACACACAAGTAGCCAGGTAATAATATCTATTATCTCCCAATCAGTTCAGTATATATTTTATCTCCCAATCAGTTCAGTAAAATACTATATATATTATCTCCCAATCAGTTCAGTATATATTTTATCTCCCAATCAGTTCAGTATATATTTTATCTCCCAATCAGTTCAGTATTTCTTATATCTCCAAACCTGTTCAGTATAACAATCCAAACTTAATTTAGTTCGGTGGGAGAGCCTAGCGTCCGTGCGTTTATTTGGCACGCCGAAGACCCGGGTTCGATTCCCCACATGGGTGCAATGTGTGAAGCCCATTTCTGGTGTCCCCCGCCGTGATGTTGCTGGAATATTGCTAAAAGCGGCGTAAGACCATACTAACTCACTCCAAATTTGTGTATAATTATTGTCTACCCAAGAAATCATTGTACGAATTATGTAATGAACTGTATGACCTGGATGTATGGAGAATCAAAAATAAAAATTAAATGCTTAAAAAAAATCATCATTAACTTCCTCCCGGTTGAGTCTGACTACTGTCTCCCGCCGATTTGAGGCACTGACCACTATGATTGTTCTTCCAGTAACAGTGTTGCGAGCCTTCAATACTACGCTGGCAAACGCTCCGTCCAACAACTCCCAGATCCAGGCTTTCGTAGATCAATACTTCGAAGGTCCGGGGACAGAGTTCGAGGAGTGGACACCCGGAGACTATGTCGAAAAGTACGTGACTATGTTATTGTGTTGAACAGTAGGCGAGAATGTTACCATGTCGAGAAGAATGTGACAATGTTACAACTCCCAGCATATCGGGATGTCCAGTTATCATGTTGAGAAGTAGGTCATTATGTTACCTCGTTCAAATGACAATGTTGAGAAGTTGAAACGTAGGGACAATGTTCCATGTGACAGTGTTACCATGTTGAGAAGTGGTGTTACATGTTGAAAGTAGGTGACAATGTTACAATGTTGATCAGTACGTGACAATGTTACCATGTTGAGAAGTACGTGACAGTAGGCGTGACAATGTTATCATGTTGAGAAGTAGGTGACAATGTTACAACGTTGAGAAGTATCGTGACAGTGTTACCACGTTGAGAAGTACGTGACAATGTTACCATGTTGAAACGTAGGTGACAATGTTACAATGTTGATCAGTACGTGACAGTGTTACCATGTTGAGAAGTACGTGACAGTGTTACCATGTTGAAACGTAGGTGACAATGTTACAATGTTGATCAGTACGTGACAGTGTTACCACGTTGAGAAGTACGTGACAATGTTACCATGTTGAAACGTAGGTGACAATGTTACAATGTTGATCAGTACGTGACAGTGTTACCACGTTGAGAAGTACGTGACAATGTTACCATGTTGAGAAGTACGTGACAGTGTTACCATGTTGAGAAGTACGTGACAATGTTACCATGTTGAGAAGTACGTGACAATGTTACCATGTTGAGAAGTAGGTGACAATGTTACAATGTTGATCAATACGTGACAGTGTTACCATGTTGAGAAGTACGTGACAATGTTACCATGTTGAGAAGTACGTGACAGTGTTACCATGTTGATCAGTACGTGACAATGTTACCATGTTGAGAAGTACGTGACAGTGTTACCATGTTGAGAAGTACGTGACAATGTTACCATGTTGAGAAGTACGTGACAGTGTTACCATGTTGAGAAGTACGTGACAATGTTACCATGTTGAAACGTAGGTGACAATGTTACAATGTTGATCAGTACGTGACAGTGTTACCATGTTGAGAAGTACGTGACAATGTTATCATGTTGAAACGTAGGTGACAATGTTACAATGTTGATCAGTACGTGACAGTGTTACCACGTTGAGAAGTACGTGACAATGTTACCATGTTGAAACGTAGGTGACAATGTTACAATGTTGATCAGTACGTGACAGTGTTACCATGTTGAGAAGTACGTGACAATGTTACCATGTTGAAACGTAGGTGACAATGTTACAATGTTGATCAGTACGTGACAGTGTTACCACGTTGAGAAGTACGTGACAATGTTACCATGTTGAAACGTAGGTGACAATGTTACAATGTTGATCAGTACGTGACAGTGTTACCATGTTGAGAAGTACGTGACAATGTTACCATGTTGAGAAGTACGTGACAATGTTACCATGTTGAGAAGTACGTGACAATGTTACCATGTTGAGAAGTACGTGACAATGTTACCATGTTGAGAAGTACGTGACAATGTTACCATGTTGAGAAGTAGGTGACAATGTTACAATGTTGATCAGTACGTGACAGTGTTACCATGTTGAGAAGTACGTGACAATGTTACCATGTTGAGAAGTACGTGACAATGTTACCATGTTGAGAAGTACGTGACAGTGTTACCATGTTGAGAAGTAGGTGACAATGTTACCATGGTGACACTTTCAAGTCTGGCTAAATTGTGTTTTGGAAAACTAGATATTCCAAGCGTTTCAATGGAACCAAAGACATCTCCCGAAGACGTGATTCAATTTTTGACACTAAATACCATTGCTCTATACAGAATAGCGTCGAGAAGGCCATTCCAGATATAACTATCCACTTCCGCCTTTCATAATTCCGGCCAGCAGCGACCACAGATTAAGACATATCCGACATCTATACAATATGCTATACTGAGCCATATTTCCACTCTCTATATTCTAGCCCGGCCTTTCTGGCGGATGTTAAAGACAACAACTTGAAGCAGTTCGGCAAGTCCCTGTGTGGGATTTGGGAACAGCTGGGCAGGAAGGTAATAATACTTCAACAGTACTCTCTTGTGATTGGTCACAGGAAGAACTTACTTCCAAGATCATTTTGACGTTTATTCCAAACTGGTCCAATGTTTACATGTGCGTATTCAATTTGTCAATCCTTTCATAAAAACGCCAACACAATCTTCACAGATTTAACAACTGTGAAAGTACTATGGATATACAACTTGTTTATTATAATATAAGCAACGTTTTGGTGTAGATACAAACATTGTTAACGAGCAGGTGATTAATGCAGACATCTACAAAGAAACGTCGATTATATTTTTATACAGAAATGGTATATCCATAGAACTTTCCCTGTTGATTTTGTTGGCGTATTCATCACACCATCTTCTACATGGCATTCAGGGGAGTCTTCAGGGGCGGTGGGGTAGCCTAGTGGTTAAAGCGTTGACTCGTCACGCCGAAGACCCGGGTTCGAATCCCCACATGGGTACAATGTGTGAAGCCCATTTCTGGTGTCCCCCGCCGTGATGTTGCTGGAATATTGCTAAAAGCGGCGTAAAACCAAACTCAGTCAGTCAGTCAGAGGAGTCTTCAACTGTTATATGAACATAACAAGATGAAATAAATACATAGAAACAAACCCCCAAACCCATGCAGATATTAATGATATCGTTTAGCTCAAAGCAGCGTTCTGTTACCGGCCAATCAGGACTCCACGTTCTGAACATGTCCACCTTGTGCTGCTGCAGATAAAGAACGACGTCAGGGACAACCAGGAACGTTACTCCCTGCTGTACGTGGAGAACCCCTTCATCATCCCCGGCGGTCGCTTCAGGGAGACTTACTACTGGTAGGATGTGTGTGTGTGTGTGTGTGTGCATGCGTGCGCGCGCGTGCGTATGTGTGTGTACGTGTGTGTGTGGCATGTACATGAATGTGTGCGTGTGTGTGTTTGCATGAATGTGTCTGTGCTGGTAGGTTTGTGAATATATTTCGAATGGATGTCTATGGATGTGTAAATGTGTTTGTGTCGGTGTGTGTGTATGTTGTGTATAGAGAATACTACACGAGGTCTCATTACATACGAATTATACGAAACGAGTGTCCTTCCTATGGTATCTGACCGAGCGAAAGCGAGGTCAGAAACCATAGGAAGGTCACAAGTTTCGTATAATTCGTATGTTATGAGACCGAGTGTGGTATTATATTTATTACTCACGTCTTACATGCTTTAAATTGACAAAATGGCACATTTTTGTTATTTTATGGTTTCAAACCGAAACCGGTTTCATAAAGAGGTTGCGGAAGAATATTTGTTCTGTAGTACACTTTTTGCATGACGTCACACTGTATTGACGTCACTACGCCTTGCTCGTCTGTCCCCTTGGTAACCGACGTCACGATGCATGTCAGTTGTCATCGCCTCGTACAGCCTGTTACATCAAACTACTCCGTAGCACCCCATCTCTTAGTTTGCAGTTGCTTCATTCGGCAAACATCACTGGTGGAAACATTGCGTTTATGTTTTTCGACGCTTATAATACCTCAGTTCGACTCACAATTAAACAGCGACCTGGCAACGTTCGCAATGTTTACATTCCCACAATGCATATAAGTTGTAGAATGAATGAATTCACGTGTTTGTTATGATTGAAAAAGTAGTTTCGTCACAACGTGACCTAGTTGAAAGGTCATCGGTTATCCAATCAAATCGTCAGAATCTCAGGTCAAGTCGTTACGACACAGGTCAGCGCGATACGACACTCCTGTGAGGTACGAGATTAGTATGCACCTACCCATACGTTGACCACGCGGGTAATAAGTGATTTTGTGTGGTATTGTGTAAATGGGTGTGTCAATATATGTGAGCACATGTATGTGTATGTGTGAATATATGGGTGTTACTGTATGCATGGATGTGTGTGCGCTGATGGGTATGTGAATATGTTTTAAATGTGGCTATGGGTAAGTATCTGTGTGTGTGTGAATGTATGTGTGTGTGTTAGCATGGATGTGATTATTATTTGCGTATCTCCGTGTGTGTGTGTGTGTGTGTGTGTGTTTGTATTTGTGTGTTAGGATGTATGTGAATATGTTCATATGTATATGTATATGCATGTGCATTGGTATGTGTGCATTTCAAGGTAACCTCTCACTAGATTGCGCAGTAAGGTGTTTGGGGAAGAGTGGAAGAAATTTGGGAGCAGGGTCGTTTTATATATTATTTATTTATTTGTTTGTTTGTTTGTTTGTTCGTTTATTTATTTATTTGTTGGGGTGGTGGTGGCAGTAATGTGTGTGTGTGTTAGTATTGAAATTGAATCTATTTTAGGAGACTTGCAGCTAACCGTACGATGAAATGCAAGATAGAAGTGTGTGATTAACTTAACATGTGGACGGTGGGGTAGTCTAGTGGTTAAAGCGTTCGCTCGTCACGCCGAAGACCCGGGTTCGATTCCCCACATGGGTACAATGTGTGAAGCCCTGGTGTCCCCCGCCGTGATATTGCTGAAATATTGCTAAAAACGTAAAACTAAACTCACTCACTCACTTAGCATGTAAATCAGTTTGATTTTAATCATGAATTCCGTTATAAACCTGCTTAATATATCATTATCACTTTCACGTAACATGTTCTCTATACTTTGGGGCACAAAACACCAAACAGTTTTGTCTGATGGTTTCTTTGGCAGCTATCTGGTTTGATATTTATAACACCTGGATCAGTGTACGAACAACATTGTAACTAAGGTGACATTAAAATGCCTACTGATAAACAAGCGAGAGGGTGAGAAAAACATTATCTATGTATGTCAAGCGCCGTGAGTATCCAGGTAAGAATGTTTCAAGTACTGTTGGGGGCGAGGTGTAAGGCAATGTGACCTAGTGATGGTGTGTTAAAGACGACATGCCATACTGCTCATAATATCAATCCTTGGTTTGTCTGAATCAGACACGATTACTCACAAACCACCGTCACATGGCTTGAATATGTCCGGGGGTAGTCTAGTGGTTAAAGCGTTCGCTCGTCACGCCGAAGACCCGGGTTCGATTTCGCACATGGGTACACCGACCGCCGTGATATTGCTGGAATATTGCTAAGGCGGCGTAAAACCATACTCACTCACTCACTTGAATATGTCCGAGCTGGTGATAGCAACAGAGGTTACCTTCGACTGTTTTACTTATGAACAAACAAATAAGCAAACATCACGTGACAAGGTGTACTATGTTGCCAGGGACTCGCTGTGGGTGGTGCACGGACTTCTCCGTTGTGAGATGACTCAGACAGTCAGTGGCATGCTGGAGAACTTCTTCTTCATCATTGACAGGTAATCATCATCATCATCATCATCATCATCATCATCATCATCATCATCATCATCATCATAATCACTCCCACCAACACCAACACCATCATCATCGCCCCAATCGTCGTCGTCGGGTATATCGGGTTAAATCTTCTTCAGAGACAATTTTCGATTCGATGCTGACACCTTCTTGGTCATTGACCCTATTTCCTAGACAGGGATATACTTATTCTTCCCGATATCAATTTATGTTTTGGTATGAACCTTCAGTCCGTGTGCCAAACTTCCGTGCCGTGGTAAGTTAAACCTTTATGTTTGCATTCTACAGATACAGTTTTGTCCCCAACGGTTTCCGGGTGTACTACCAGAAGCGGTCCCAGCCGCCTGTCCTGGCGTGGATGGTAGAGAGCTACTATGATGTGAGTAAGGATAGGGACGCCCTGGTTCGATCCCTAGGTCCCTTGGAGAGGGAATACCAGTTCTGGATGACCAATAGGAGCGTGGAGGTTCAAGTGAACGGCCAGACTCACACCTTGAACCTGTATAACACCGTCACCAACACTCCCAGGTATTGAAATTGAGTGAGTGAGTGAGTTTGATGTTACGCCGCTTTTAGTATTATTCCCGCAATATCACAACGGGGGACACCAGAAATGGGCTTCACTCATTGTACCCATATGGGGAATCGAACCCGTGTCTACGGCTTTGCGAGCGAACGCTTTATCCACAAGGCCACAGCAACTGCCTAATATCAAGTTCGAAACTACGCAGAATATTCAGGTGTATTTGGTCACCCTCCCTGCCAGCTGATAGTTGCAACATTCCAGCAATGACACGTAGTGTACACCATCAGTAGGGACCCGTGAAGATCTGGGTTAGAATTGATCTTCAGTATCCCATGCTTGTCGTAAGAGGGGACTAACATGACCGGGTTGTCAGGCTCGCTGATTTGGTTGACAAATGTCATCGGTTCCCATTTGCGTAGATTAATGCTCATTAGCCTGCATAACGATGAATATACATACACAACGGTCATGTTGTTTTAAACTTGAGTGTGTAGCTAACATGTTTCGTAACTGGCGATTAGAGAGTCATATCACATATACTATGCTAAAGGGCAGTTTCCGACAGGTGACTAGACAAATTGCAAATATTCACAACGTTCTTTGATGGGGGTTACAGTTAAAGGGGGTACTGCAGAGAACTTTCATATTGCGATATATTGCGATGCGAAAGCATGTATTTATAATCCAGTTACTGCTTGATTTATAGAAGAAAAACACAACAAAATCACTATGCTTGATTAAGCTTTAATAACAACTTTTAATTATCCGAAGATTTCCGAGTGTTACGAAGTTTTTCGAATGCAAGTCAAAATACCGGTTTTCGATCAGCGTATTGCAATACGTATCATTTTCACGTCTGAACCGGTAAATACCGGTAAACCGGTTATATTGCGCAGCCCTAGTTACAGTATACCAGGTCCAGTAGAGCTGTATAAAATGTTTTACAGACAAATGGGAGCAGACAAATCATGACAGATATAATTCCTTATCTGACTTGTAGCATACCTTCCCGCGTTTATTAATATTTACTTGCCTCTGTATGTGTTTGTGACAGGGGCTTTCGGTGAGACACGATGCGCTCACTTATTTGCGGATGGAGTGAGTGAATGAATTTAGTTTTACACCGCTTTTAGCACTATTCCAGCAATATCACGTCGTGTGACACCAGAAATGGGCTCCACACATTGTACCCATGTGGGGAATCGAACCCGGGTCTTCGGCGTGACGACCGAACGCTTTAACCATGTGCTACCCCACCGCCGCATTTGCGGAAGGAGAGTTAAAAACCATGATGTTGTCAGAATCGTAAAATGGATTCTGCTTAAAGTATTTTTTGATTGGTTTGTCGCTCAAATATTCCAATGTTTGATATACATTTTCTCCTTTACTCAGACCAGAGTCTTACGCCGAGGACGTGGAAACAGCAGGGGAGACAACTGAAGGTAAGCAAGGGAGACAACTGAATATCAGAACATTCTATGTTGAGTATTGAAATGTTGAAGTTCTAAATTAAAATAAATATTCACCATTATTTATTCATTGGAAATGTTTAAATTTAACCAACTGAAATCATTCAAAAAACATTTTTGGACCCATCTCAATCTCACACCTTAACATGGGTGTGGCCATTTTGAATACCAGTACGCGTAACAGCATATGCCGTCGTGGATGATGTTTGTGACCCGGACAACGGAAGCTGAACTATTGGCAGCATTTAGGAAATCAAGCTCTCAAGTTTCTCACAAAGGCACACCTACATTTTCTGTCTCATGCCCTCTGGCACCCTTCGAAAAAATTGCATTTCTCTACCTGTAACCCATGGGCGTGGATTGCTGCTCACACTATTAATCACTGGATTATCTGATCCCGACTCGAATCAATACTGACCACCATCTTATAGCTAGAATATTTTTGAGTTATGAACCAATCTCAGCATCCCAGTTCTATGTTACAGAGCAAGCGTCCGGCATCTACACGAACCTAGCTTCAGCAGCTGAGAGTGGCTGGGATTTTAGTAGCCGCTGGTTCTCGCGTGAAGACGAGACTAACATGAGGCTTAACACTACTGTTATCACAGACATTATTCCTGTAGACCTCAACAGCATCCTTTGCAGGAATGAGAGACTCCTGGCGCGCTTCTATAACATTACAGGTAGCTTGCTGTCAATATACTAGATACTCCCCCCATCACTGTATATCGCATTCTGATTGGACCGACTAGTATGCACAAAACCCCAATGCTGCCACTTAACATATTTTTTTCGCCGAACTTTCTCGTTGCTTAAATTATTTTGTCGTTGTTTCTGTCTAAAGCTTCGAGTTTCCTGTATTTTCTCGTTACTTCAAGTTTCTTCCGAGAACTTGAAAGGCTTCTTAAAAAACAAATGAAGCAACGAAAGAATAATCTTAGCAACAAGACACTTTTCAAAATAACGACAAAATAACTGAAGTAACGAGAACATAATTAAAATATATCGAAAACAATTCTTCCAAGCACTGACAAAATAATCGAAGCAACGAAAAAGAAATGACTTTACGCTACAAAAATGGCAGCATTAGGCTTTCGTAGGTATGGAATCTTCGACAGAAAATATCTTTTTGATAACGCTTCTTTCTCACAAGTGATCGGAAGGTAACTCAAATACTGATTCTGTTAAATAGATGTTGTGATTCAGAGAAATGCAAGTATCAAGACACCCGTGAAGGTCCGGGTTAGAATATTGATCTTCAGCAACCCATGCTTGTCGTTAGAGACGACTAACGGGATCGGGTTGTCAGGCTCGCTGACTTGGTTGACACATGTTATCGGTTCCCAATTACGCAGATCCATGCTCATGCTCATGCTCACTGGATTGTCTGGTCCGGCCTTGATTATTTGAAGACCGCCGCCATATAGCTGTAATATTGCTGAGTGCGGCGTAAAACTAAACTCACACACTCACTCACACGTATCAAGGAAGCTTTGAGAAACTGTCTAGTAGCATCTGGAGTATGATTCATAGTGTTTTGTACCTTAATCTAGTGACCAATTCTGGTTTAATCTACACTTTATCTGTTCAGGAAACAGTGTAAAATCCAGGTACTACTCTGAAAGATATGAACGGCGGAAAGATGCTATAAAAGAAGTGTTGTGGAATCAGAAAAAAGGCGTCTGGCAGGATTACTACATTCCTGACCAATCTCTGAGAGACTACTTTTTCCCGTCCAATGTATTTCCTATGTATGCTGGTTGCTATGGCAACACCGATGCAGAGCGCGAGATGATGGAGGAGAAGGTCGTGAGTTACCTACAGGTATAGTATCGATATCTTAACAATTCGTAATAGTGCTAAGTGAGAGAGGGAAAGTTTTACATCGCATCGGCAATGTTGCAGCCATGTCAGGATGAGAACAAGTTGGTTGTATTCAAATGTCTGTCTACAAAGGACAGTAAACAGTAAGTTCAGGAATGAGTGAGTTTAGTTTTGCGCCGCTTTTTTTCAACATTCCAACAATATCACACCGGGGACACCAGAAATGGACTTATCACACCGGGGACACCAGAAATGGACTTCACACATTGTAACAATGTGGGCAAGTCAAAACATTGATTACACAACAGTCTCGTTTCCTGTTCACTGGGTCCCGTCCTATTGCGCAACTTAGTACAATAACCAGTACTAACCAATTCATTTAACTGGATACATAATTATTATTCAGCATTATCTGATACATCTAATCACTTGTATATTGCAACACTACGATCCTTCTAATCCTTGCAAACACGTCGTGCAGCGTGCTCTATCGTACAGCAAGCTCTGACAAACGGAAACCTGGTTATAGTGGAAATCTCAAAACGAGGCTTTCCCGCTAGAAAAGTTTGGCGGTCTGGTACGGACTTGATATTATATCGATCGCATTGTGTGTTACATAAATAAGCGCAAAAAACACATAACAGGTGTAACCAGTGAGCCAGATACATTGTGAATCATTTTACGACCTTATCAAACAGGGGCAGTCTGTGACCGTCTTAGTTAAGGCCATGCTGCCTACACCTCGCCATAAAATACAGAAATACGATGTTACTAAAATTTAAAATTAACATTCATTTCTAAATACCATTTTCTTATAAAACAAAGAATTGGAATTCAGTGTAACCATAGTTGTTTGTGCTGTCTATGTTCACTTTCACACGAGAAAATTCGGATCGGCTGAAAAGTAGGTCATTGTCTGAATAGGTTAATGAGACTCATGTTTCGGTTTGAATTGAACCTGGGTCTTCGGCGTGACGAGCGAGCGCTTTAACCACTAGGATACCCCACTTCCCAAGTAAGTTTAGGATCGCAGTTTAGGTAGTAAAATATTATTTTGTCAGAAATTATCATCCATCAATTAAAACTAGGCTATTGACCAGTAGTGACCAAAGTTAGACCACCTTCCTGGGAATCAAGGTGACTTACGGTACTTCTGCTTCCTACATGATTCCCAGGATATACGTCATTACTTTGGTCACCAGTGGCTGTATGCACATATGGTTAGAATATTGATTTTCCGTAACCCATGCTTGTCATAACAGGCGACTAACGGGATCGGCTGGTCAGGCTCGCTGACTTGGTTGACACATGTCATCGGTTCCCAATTGCGCAGATCGATGCTCATGCTGTTTATCACTGGATTGTCTGGTCCAGACTCAATTATTTACAGACCGCCGCCATATAGCTGTAATATTGCTGATTGTGGCGTAAAAGTAAACTCACTCACTCACTTAGCGTTGTAAGGTATAGTTCAAGCTGTTATAATGACTTGAAAGTCGAGTATTTCTTTAAGAATGTGGATGTGCAAAGTGAGTCATACCAGACCTGGGAATATATATCACGGACTCTTTGGGTAAAGGTACAGATAAACATTTGCATGCTCGACAACATTTAGACATAATTTGATTTGAAGTATGTAGTTATTACCTTTTCTTTGCATTGAAAATACCATGCCCCTCCCCCCCCCCCCTGTGAAGGAATTATGCTTAATATACATGGAGAAACTTACTTTACTAGTTTTGAGGGTGATAGTTTGACATGCTTTTGACCACTTCATGATGATGAATACAGAACACCAAGGTAGCTATAATAGCTTACCGTTTTAACATCTGAGCTGTGCCACTTTTCCCTTCTGCTCACAATTCCACCGTTTCGGAATACAACAACATTCGTTTTCTTCATATTGATTTCAAGTCCCCACTTCTGACTTGTATATGTGTCATATATATTAAGGATAAAACGTTTGGTGTTTTAGTTGCCAAAGTCTCTCACAATGCAAGTGTGATTCCTGATATATACTGAAGGAAGCAATAAGAGAATACCATTGCATGGCAGTGTTCCTTTATTTGTCCTCAGATTTCCTCCCTCAGCGCTATTCAAAGCTGATGAAAACTGGAAAATATTTAAAGAGCACTTGAATTTTATTGTGTTCCTTTATTTGTTTCTCTCAGTATATGATAATTATGATAAGGAACGCGCTCAGCTAATAATATCTATCTTTTCAGGCACAAAACGTACTACAATACGAAGGCGGTGTTCCCACCTCTCTATCAAACACCGGCCAACAGTGGGATCTGCCCAATGCGTGGCCGCCATTACAACACGTCATTATTACATCATTAGCTGAAGGCAGACGCAAGCAATCAAAAGCTTTGGCTATAGAACTCGCCCAGCGCTGGGTTTACACAAACTGGCTTGGCTGGAAAAATACCCGACACATGTTTGAGAAGGTATGAATGTTTTAGTCATTAAACAAGCCAGTTGTCCCTGATCTGGGGATTCGGTATGGTAAGGGACCGTTCATAATTTATGGCTTGTGTGTGTGTGTGTTTTTGGTTGTGGGGGAGGTGGGTGATGATGATTATAAGGGGGTTCACCCATTTTGTTCTGGCGAGCTAGGGGGTCATCAATTTTGTACACACATACTTGGGGGTCATCAATTTTGTACATAAATTATGTTTTAAATTATGCTTAGAAATTATAGGTTGAGGGGGGGGGTCATTGATATTGTAAATGACATGCAGGGGGTCACTTATTTTGTACATAAATTATTAAAAAAAAATTTATTTTATTTTTCACATTGTACATGCTAATCCACATTGTCATCATCACCTCCCCTAGCCATAAATTATGAACGGTCCCTAAGACAAGACCTCAGCCATTGCACTGTCCTTATAAATGAAATCTGTCTGTAGTGATTGACTGTCAAGGACAACTCTATCCTCCATTCTACCATGACGTCGTCATATGAGCGATATATTCTCAAGTACGACGTTAAACCCAATTTCACTTCACCTCATTCTACCATGACATTTAAGTATGTTAGATTTTGATTGGCTGTTACTAACAAATTAGAAGTGAATATTTTTCAATAACCACTTCTGAGAGCCGGTTCACTGCACGTAGGAATATTTTGCACTCATCAACCCTTACAAAGGTAAACAAACATGTCGTCTGAAACTGTTACGTTTGACATCGGCGCTTTCTTTGATGTGTTTGGATCGGATATGGAGGGAAATATTGACCCAGTCCGGTTCCAACATGAAATGACTGAACAATCACCCAAAGTAACTCTAAGTACCGAAGGTATGAGTATGTAAACGTAATAATGTCCAGTTTCTAAGCGTCGTAGTCTACTCCTGTCAAAACACTACGCAAGGGTAATGAGTGCATAATTAAAACGCGTTTTATTCATGTCGCATATGTCATGGTAGAATGGAGATAATCCTATTGTGTTTACATTTTGGAAGTGATTATAGTTGGTTGAACGCTGCTAAATGTTTCATTTAGTAAACACAATAGGATTATCTCCTAATTGAACAGACATAATGCGAACCACTGTGGCAAGCGGGTGGTTAGTGCAGTTATTATCAGGAATGAACCCCCAACACCTACAAACCCCACCACACACACACACACACACACACACACACACACACACACACACACACAGAGACACACACACACACACACACACACACACACACACACACAGAGAGAGAGAGAGAGAGACACACACACACACACACACACACACACACACACAGACAGACACAATCTACCAGCTATTCTCCAATAGTGATACTGTCGGTTCTCAACCTCGACTTCGACCTCAAAGCAATAAAATCTATTTTTGCAATTTATGAAATACTCTTACACATCTACTACCCTAACCCCCCACCACACCAGACACACCCCTCCCCGAATACACACATAACATTACCATAACGAACGTTTTAGCGAATGAATATGTTTTACCATGTTTTAGCATCATATCAGCATGAGGGACACCAGACATGAGCTTCACACAAGGTACCAATGTAGGAAATCGAACCCAGGTCTTCAGCGTGATGAGCGAACAAATTAACTACATTGTACTAACCTACACCATCGCCATATCAAGCATTTGAAGTAAGCCTTTATTTTACGGACAGTTGACAAGTGGTAACATAGTTGAGACGGTTGACAAGTGGTAACATAGTTCAGACAGTTGACAAGTGGTAACATAGTTCAGACAGTTGACAAGTGGTACATAGTTCAGACAGATGATGAGTGGTAACATAGTTCAGACAGTTGACAGTGGTAACATAGTTCAGACAGTTGACATGTGGTTACGCCATATCATGTGGTAAAGACATTGTGGTTACATAGTTCAGACAGTTGACATGTGGTTACATAGTTCAAGGACAGTTGACATGTGGTAACATAGTTCAAGGAATAAAATACTCTTATTTCTCTGCAGTACGATGTGGACAACGTCGGGAGACGCGGAGGAGGAGGAGAATACGACAGTCAGGTACGGGTTTGGTGCTCTTCCTTCGGCAGCGACTGGGTACCAGGAAGGATGAGATGTAGCTGAGACTGTAGTATGAATGTGCACTGAACCGGTGACTGGAGTAATGATTGAACGCACAAAGAACATGAGTGAGTGCGTTTAGTTTTACGCCGCACTCAGCAATAGTCCAGCTATATGGCGGCGGTTTGTAAAAAATCGCGTCCTGACAGACAATCCAGTGATCAGCAGCATAAGCATCGATTTGCGCAATTGGGAACCGATGACATGTGTCAACCAAGTCAGCGAGCCTGACCACCCGATCCCGTTAGTCGCCTCTTACGACAAGCATGGGTTACTGAAGATCAATATTCTAACCCGAACCATCACGGGTAACAAAGAGCAGGAGTGTGGAGTTAATGCTGTAAAATCGACCACGTTCAGGCCTACCAAAGAAAACTTTCCCATTGTGCAGAAAAACGCAGAAATCGTAGAAAATAGCCATAAACATTAACTCGAAGGCAACTTTAAACGAGTAGCCCGCAACTTCGATTTTGCGCATGCGCACATGGAAGAGGAAGTCTCGACCGCATGTTGACAGTTTCCAGCTTGGACAAAAGTTACATTCCTTTTTAAGTATTTCTATTGTGTTGTTTGGCATTTATCATCATGATATTTGTGTGCACACTTGTTTAAATTACTTTCCATTCGTATGAAACGATTGACAGCAATCATTTCGACATATTTAATACTTTTTCTACGCGAGGCGATTCACGGTTGCTCGGAAAATGGAAAGAAGCCCGGATCGTAATGCGCATGCGCAGTAGAAGTCAAAGTTCGCTGATATAAAAATGTTGCAGTTTCATAGTTTCTCCTTGCCGTTTTTACTGTTTCAGTAGCGAGGTAATGTGTTTATGTTGCTATTTCCACGATTAATGTGGGCTTTTCTGCGTTTTTCTGCACAGTGGGAAAGTGTTCTTTGGTAGGCCTGACGTTATTCTTGTTAAAATACTGAAGGTCTCCGATGCTGGTACTGGGTTTTAGTTAACCTTCGCATATAATGTGGTGATCGTGGGCGTTAGGCTACCATCCTTTGATATAGGCTTACGATCATTGTAGCACTGAAATCGCTTGTGGCAGAACAGAACAGAACTTTATTGCTGTTCAGGCCGTAAGACAACGGCATATAAAGATCAAAGTGATTATACAAGTGTATATATTTTGGTTACAGGGCTGGTAGTCTGAGTATAAGGCATATAAGCTACAAATAATATATAGCTGTACATAGTACTTTCTTTTACACAGACTTACATCTAGATTTTCACATAATTTTACAGAAAAAAGTGACTTTATAATTCACTTTCCCAGTGTCTTGTACCTGGACATGACAGTGTTACAAAAAGTACAAAGTTTTCTTAGTTGACCAACATTTCATTTGGAAACAATTGACCATTTAACATTGGCCTTTCTTAAAAGTAAGGTTTAATGAATTTCTGGAATCATCAAAATAGGGACATTCTAAAATTGCATGGTATTCATCAACAATAGAGGTATACCGGTATTACAGAGAGTACATATGTATATTCATACTTCTATATGCAAGTGGAGAATATAAAATATAACACTAGCTTTCTTTCTATCTTTGTACTTAAATAGCCATGAATACATCATACAAATAGAAATGAAAAGCTTTAATGGGAGCTGACAGTGGTTGGCTGGCAGTTACTGTACAAAATAATTCTGATGATGAATTTAAATGAGTATTAGTATTTAATCGTTAATAAAGTTCACTTGTTCTTGACATATTCAGTTATGGCTTCCTGGTATCTTGCCAAAATCGCTTTGACAGTGTAACACATGTTTGCGTTAACATTCATGTTTGTTGAGTACATGTGTACATTTGTGTAACAAATATCCCATGGCTACAACTATCTTGTACTTCAGTACTTCAGGTACCCTCTCTCCCTCATTCTCTCTCTCTCTCTCTCTCTCTCTCTCCCTCTCCTTCTCCTTACTGACTGCAACTATCTTGTACTTCAGTTGCATGCTCATTTATAAAGAATATAAACAGGGAACGACTTAAAGTACAGCCCTGTCTTACACCACTGGATATTGAAAAACAGCCTGTTCGTTCATAATTTACCTTGATACATGCACTCACAGAAGCATATTTTTGTTCTTTGTGCGTACATAACTTTTTAAAAGCACTGACAGTTTGTGTTAACATTCATTTTTGTTGAGTACATGTGTATATTCCGTATCATCCTTCTTTCTTTCAGACCGGGTTTGGTTGGACAAATGGAGTCGTGTTGGACTTACTCAGTCGCCATGGAGACATCTTGACAACAGACACGTCGACGTCTGAAGCTCCAGCAACTATGCCGTCCATGTTTATTTGTGTTTACCTGTTTGTCAACGCAATGCTAGCCGTGGTCTTTCACCGTTGAGTAATCCTGGTCTGTGGCCAGTAGCAGTATAACCAGAGTATTGATAATCAGTGATCATGTATGGATTTATATCCACTCCTGAATAGATGCATACACTACCCAGGCAGCTTGAACCTCCTCACCCGAATGAGTGAGTTTGGTTTATCGCTGCCCTTGCTGGATCCCAGTGTGTCAAATTGATGATGAAGGGTTGGAGGTTTGGACGTGTGTATATTGATGTTGAAGGGTTGGAGGTTTGGACGTGTGTAGATTGATGTTGAAGGGTTGGAGGTTTGGACGTGTGTAGATTGATGATGAAGGGTTGGAGGTTTGGACGTGTGTAGATTGATGTTGAAGGGTTGGAGGTCTGGACGTGTGTAGATTGATGTTGAAGGGTTGGAGGTTTGGACGTGTGTAGATTGATGTTGAAGGGTTGGAGGTTTGGACGTGTGTAGATTGATGTTGAAGGGTTGGAGGTTTGGACGTGTGTAGATTGATGTTGAAGGGTTGGAGGTTTGGACGTGTGTAGATTGATGTTGAAGGGTTGGAGGTTTGGACGTGTGTAGATTGATGTTGAAGGGTTGGAGGTTTGGACGTGTGTAGATTGATGTTGAAGGGTTGGAGGTTTGGACGTGTGTAGATTGATGTTGAAGGTTTGGAGGTTTGGACGTGTGTCAGATTAATTTTGAAGGGATGTGGAAGATATGCAGGTCCGATGTTTAAGGTTCCATTGTGTAGAAGCCCACGAACATGATTAAGGTGTATACAGCTAGAAACATGATGAAACCGGGAAACCACGACATATTTTCACATGTCAAATGGACGTGCTCTCTCCTACATGAGTAAAGTGAGTGTTTTTTTTAATGTGACGGTGATTCAGATATGAACGCGAACAGTCTTTAGAGTTTGATAATCTGTGACGAGGTGAAAAGAACAAGGCTCTGTCACAACTGTAAATCGGCATATATACGACACATCAAAAGTTTAGACTCTCTAGTGTAAATGTATCAAGTAATTTCAGTCAACTGTTCTAAACTAAATTTTGCAAAATATTCCATACTGTTTAAAGGTACTGTGTACACATGACCTGATGAATTGTAAAACAAATTCGTACGTTGAAAAGATTATTGTCATGAGTTCAATAAGTGATGAAACTCGGCGAATTCTTAATAAAACTTTACACCAAAACTTTGCACGATATTTGCACATGCGATTCAGTATTTTGATGCATAATCCTCGTGCAATCCATCTGCATAAGGTTTGCAGTTGGTTTCCCCAAGTAAGTGGAAAAATTCATCTTCGATGTATATCCATATATATCTATCTATCCACAAGCATAACATATAGTGCATGTGAGTGCTTTAAGGGAGTCTAAAGTTTTGAAAGGTGGTATATAACCAGAGTAATGCAAGTGGGTATTACAAAAATAAAACAAAACAGAAAACCGTTTGGGCAGCACACTGGTGACCACGCTGTGGGGAATATTTACATGATTAACATTATTTTGTTATCAAATCTTCATTAGAGTAATACAGGGTAGAGTTGACTGTACCTTAATACCAGCGAATATAGCAATAAAGAGGTCAGTGTTGACCTGTCTATCCTTTGTTGTTACGTACTCGTACACATTGTGACATTGTACGCTGATGCTGAGTCGGTTTACGCCGCTTTTAGCAATATTCCAGCAATATCACGGCGGGGGAAACCACATAATGGGCTTCACACATTGTACCCATGTGGGGAATCGAACCCGGATCTTCGGTGCGACAAGTGAACGCTTTAACCACTAGGCTACCCCACCGCCCCTACTTTTATATACCTGGGAGAACTATTGGTTTAACATTGTAACACATACTGAATGATTGAACAGATTTTGCAACAATATAACATAGAAACAATACAAAAGCCTATAGGTTAGATGTTCATGGACAACTGGGGCGGTGGGGTAGTCTAGTGGTTAAAGGGTTGGCTCGTCACGCCGAAGACCCGGGTTCGAATCCCCACATGGGTACAATGAGTGAAGCCCATTTCTGGTGTCCCCCGCCGTGATATTGCTGGAATATTGCTAAAAGCCGCGTAAAACCAAACTCAGTCAGTCAGTCAGTCTTGGACAACTATACTTACAATTATATAATCTAACATATATTAGCCTAGCTATACTTTCTATACACGAGAAAGTATCTTTCCGCTGACGAAGAAAAACCCCAAGGCACTGAAGAAACCCTGTAATACCAGTCTAAGATACCAGAATAGTGCCCCTTTGGTAGAACATGTTTTCATGGCGAAATTTCTTGTTATTTCTCCGTGCTTATAATTTGGAAACTACGTGTTTTCTCGTTAATTGGTTAAGTTCGGTTAATTTATCGTTCCTTCAAGTCTATGTAACCCCTCCTCTCACACGCACGCACGCATAAAAAGCCAAGAAACATGATCTGGGCAAATCGGTTTTCGAACCCATGACCATAGGTCTCTGCCCAAGAGACGCATCAGGAGCAGGTTCTGGGAACGAGGAGTTGTGGTTCGGGTGTATTCTCTGATGTGAGATCCCTGAGATAAGCTGGCGCATGATTGTGCAGACACTTGTAGACAATGAGAGGACCTTAAAGTCAACAAGAGATGCTATGGGAAGCCAATGTAGTGATTTGAAAATATGAAGTATATGATCTTACTTGGATTTTAAGAAACAATGACTGACTCATTCACTGGGTTTGGTTTTACGCCGCTTTTAGCAATATTCCAGCAACATCACGGCAGGGGACACCAGAAATGGGCTTCATGCATTGTACCCATGTCGGGAATCGAACCCGGGTCTTCGGCGTGACGAGCGAACGCTTTAACCACTAGGCTACCCCACCGCCCCTAAGAAACAATGCGAGCAGCTGTATTCTGAACAGGGAACTACATCTTGCTATGATTTCCTTCAAAGGCATCTTACTGACATGATCCTATATCTACAACACATGAAGGAAATATTCATTTCGAAAATTCAGTGTCCAGACCAGGCGACAACCAATAAGGATTGTTTGCCGAAACATAGGGTACAAAAGGCTAAATTGTGATGGAAATTGTGCTTTGATTTCCCTCAAAGGCTACTTACGAACATGATCCTTTCTCATAATTCATAACTGACAAATCAGTGACCACACCCGGTGTTCGTTAAGAGGGCACTCGTACATAACAATACTCTGCCATACGGTGGACCAGATAATCCAGTGACTGGTATTGTGACCAACTTCACACGTCAAGCTCGTAAAAAGCGACTAACGGGATCGGGTGGTCAGGCTCGCTGACTTAGTTGACGCATGTCATCGGTTCCCATTTGCGCAGATCGATGCTCAAGCTGTTGATCACTGGATTGTCTGGTCCAGACTCGATTATTTACAGACCGCCGCCATATAGCGGGAATATTGCTGATTGCGGCGTAAAACTAAACTCACTCACTCACACGTCAAGCCATTACGGTGATAGCTAATGAGTAAAACACTGGACAAACTGAATTTGGGGTTCCTAAAATAGAACCAAGCACTTGTGTTACAGAGTCTTATTTAACATGTAGCTAGCAGTGTGCAACAAATAACGTCCCCTTGTCGGGGCAGGATACGCTCATCTTGGTATCATTACTATTATATAGTGATTCATAACACATGCTCATCATATAGCCGGAATTATACAATGGAGTCTGCGTTTAGCAGAGTTTTGTTATGGACATGGAAAGGGTCTTGTCGCTTTTATGTGCATATATGACATGGAAAACAAAATCACCTGTAACCAAAGCCACGCCACAAGCCCAACGACAACCGCGCAACATTCGAGCTATTTAAATGCAGCCTGCAGATAATCTACCCAGGCCAATTTCAATATATTCAACAAGCAAAGTCATTTCAAAGTTTATTTTCAGGTAAATCGTGCAATTGTAAGAATATTTGTTCTATGCTAATTTCTACATCCGGTACCGATATCTGCCCGAAGAGAACTCAAACGTGCTCTGGATGTGTCGAAGTCGACACTTCGAAATCTGTTAACTTGTCTCCCTATCTGTACAGCACTTCAGGTGTATCCGTTGCTCACTGCACAAGCTCCGCCATTACACCAGCACGAACTCTCGCAATCTCTCACTGAATCTCGTGTACTGCGAGACTTGGACGACACAGGTGTCTACTGAGCTATTGCGTTCAGACTTGCCTGTGCCGTTGGGGAGATGTCCACTGCAAAGTCAGAAACATACATTGCATAAGACATTCATGACGGACACGAGAATATAACTGTTAAGCAGAAAATATGTATTTGATACTTAAAGACATATTCTTTCAAAATTCGTCATCCAGTCTCTCATCTAATAAATGCTTTCACTACTAAATGATAAAAGATTCCATATATACACAACATTATATTTCAGTTTTGACCATAAGGATTTGTAGATCTTCACTGGCGAGATTCTGCTGTCCTGCGCATGATTTATATATTGAAACTGGGAGATACCAAGGAATTAAGAAAAAAACCAGAATCTGTCAAAAGTGCAACTTAAATGGTGTCGAAGGTGAATTTAATTTCTTATGTGTGTGCCCAGCATACTTGTCGTTAAGAAATAGATATATTATGTACAACCTGAAACTCATAAGTTTATATCATTGATGAATAATTCAAGTAAAACACATTTAGAAAGTTCATCACAAAGCTTTTATTCTCAGAAAGAATTGATTCCTTTCCACACATAAATGATTGTTTTGTACTACAGGCCTGTGGCCTTTCAGTATGAAATAAAGATTGATTGCTTGACTGTGCGAAGCGACTTTTTAATGACGGTACCCCATGTTTGAATGCACCTGTATGAATCCCATTTCTGGGTACCCCTGTCGCGACATTGCTGGACTATTGTTAAAAGTGTCTTAAAACAACACTCATGCAATAATCGTTTCAGCTTTCTGTCCCACAAGCTTTGGCGTCTGAATGACGTTTTTGGATCTGCTTTAAGTTCAGATAATCCCCACTGACATATGATATTGACATTAATATAATGAAAAAGAGCCCTGAGACTTTCTTCATTTTTAGTGGAAATCTAACGAGTGAGTGAGTTGGGTTTTGCGCCGATTTTAGCAGTATTCCAGGAATATCACGGTGGGGGACACCAGAAATGGGCTTCATACATTGTGGGGAGATGAACCCGGGTCTTCGGCGTGACGAGCGAACGCTTTAACACCTAGGCTACCCCACCGCCTCTATAGGGTCCTGTAACGTAAAACTGGTATCAAGGTATACATATGTGCACATTCTTTTGTGGTCATTCCTGTGTACGGTGCTATTTTTTCACTCCGCCATACATGTGTAAGAAAGTTAGTGGGATGTGTGTCAGCGTAAGGCTGTATAAAAGTGATGACGTTGCATGGCTGAACATTTACCTTAAATAATTCAACTTAGACGTAAATACAGACACATATTGTGAAACCTTTTGACCCTTTATTTGCGGTGGAAATGAATGAAATTTCGTTTAAATGGATTTCTATCATGAGCGAAAAACGTCATAGCGCGTCCAGCAAAGCAAGCCAGAGTCTGATAATAAGAGTCGTCATTAGGTCCTCTGTTGACCTGCAATGGCTGCTTACAAAGTACTGTTTTAGTACCCCCCACCATGATATTGCTGGAGTATTGCTAAACGCGGCGTAAAGCTAAACTCACTCACTCACTCACTCATTCACTCACTTTTAGTACCTAAGCGATCACCCCACATGGGTGTGACCTGATTGTGTTGGTTTCAATCACTACAATGAATGACTGGCAAACTTACCTGGTCCGGGGCAGCACATGCCAAGAGTCATCGAGGTTGAAATCCCCACTTCCTGGCACTGGAAGGGAAGTAACTGCTCTCTCAAGTCTGATAGTTCTGTTCCAGCCATTTCACTCATCATCATGCCCCTTCCCATCCGACCCATCCTTCCACCGCGTCCCCCCATCATGCCCATAAAACCTGCCATTGGGTTCGGTGAGCTTCCCGTACCCATACCGCCTCCCATACCAAACATTCCACCCAGAGCACCTCCCATCCCACCCATACCCCCTCCCATCCCACCCATACCGCCTCCCATCCCACCCATACCACCTCCCATCCCACCCATACCGCCACCCATAGCACCCATAGCACCTCCCATCCCGCCACCCATAGGACCTCCCATACCACCTCCCATCCCACCCATACCACCTCCCATACCGCCCATACGACCTCCCATGCCACCCATAGGACCTCCCATACCACCTCCTCCCATCCCACCCATACCACCTCCCATCCCACCCACCCATACCACCTCCCATACCGCCCATAGGACCTCCCATGCCACCCATGGGACCTCCCATCCCACCACCCATAGGACCTCCCATACCGCCACCCATAGGACCTCCCATAGGTCCTCCCATACCACCCATAGGACCTCCCATTCTACCCATACCACCCATAGGACCTCCCATTCTACCCATACCACCCATTTGACTATTCATACCACCCATATTTCCACCCATCCCAGCGTTGGGACCCGTGTTCTGCGACAAGGCGGTGAAGGGATTAAGATTGTTCAGGAACTGTAGAATCTGCTGCTGACTCTGTCCCATGAAGCGATTGACGATGAGAGTGTTGGGGTGTTTCTTCATGTTGACCAACCGACAGGTGTCATTTGCTGCGGCAGTGCATCCACTGGAGAACTGCGCTGCTGTTGCTAACCGCATCATGTTGGGGGTGTGTTTCATGGCCTCAACGCAGCCGAAGTTACTCTTGTAGTAGCTCATGAGGTTGGTCATGAGCTTCTCCTTTCCTTTGAGCTCCATCTGAGCGAACGCTGGGTTGACCATGGGCGCTGGTTGCTGATGTTGTTGTCTTTGCTGTCGTTGCTGCATTTGATTAAACTGCCCAAGTGGTCCCCCAAAACCGTTATTGAAATTCATAGGCTGGGAATAAGGATTGAATTGCTGAGGGAATCGAGTCTGTTGTCTAGGCTGGATCATGTTGTATGGCGCCTGCATATTTGGAGGCCATTGACGTTGTTGAAATGTACCGAAAGGACTTCCACTGGCTCCGTTAGAACCCGAAAAGCCACCAGCAGGATTCGATCTAGCCCCAAATGGACTTGAATTAGGACCGACGGGTCCCGATGGAGGAAACCGTTTTGCTAATTGTTGGAAAGCATTCTTCATTGTTTGAGCATAAGGCATCGGGAGAGTAAAGGGGGGTCTGAGAAAATATTTGATTGTTTGGTTGGGGTCCATTGCTGGAGGACACGGTTCCCTGCGCACCACCTGCAGAAGCTGCCTGAGGAGTTCCTGAAGGGGAAGAATGGTATGACTAGTTACAATGTCCAGTATAGGAGATGCCTCCGATTTTTTTCAAGGGTCTGAGACCTGTTCGTTTAATGATTTATAACAATAATGATGTATATAGGAACTCCCTTTGATTAGCCCAAGGGTCATTGAACTGTATGTTTAGTGGTAATAGATAATGATAGATATAGGAATAATTCTTCGCATGAAAAAGAGAAGGATAACGTCTTTGTGTCGGGTTTAGGATGTTGCTTTGATAAAATCAAGCCATAATGGATTTGCATCCCAAAGCTTTGCAGACTAATGGACCGTCATCTAACATATCACTTATTTATGTCTCAGTTTATGAAACTGGTTAGCTGAGCCTTTTCAACTCAACCCTTTTACTGTTAAAATTATAGAAGTTGGTAGAGCGATTATGGTTGATATTTTTACTTGTGAGGCACATACGTCGATTTAAGTTAAATTTCCTCAGCAGGCCTCTACGACTTTTGTCGACTGGTGTTTATAAGTTTGACATCGAAATACTGTAGTGATATTCACTATTTATAGTTACTTTGTTTCCAGAACATTGAAATAACCAACGTCGTATACGCTGATCCAGTGATGCCATTCGTCACTTGATGTGTCCATATTATATGGTCACTCCAGACACACTTGTTGAAAAGTGTATATCATGGGGCGTTTGTCCACACAGTCCATGCAACAGTGCTATTAGGATATTCATCATTAATGTATGTAAACACAATTTTTCAAACATTATTTGTTTAAACACATGCTTTCTCTTGTTTGTTATCCCTTACACTATAGCATGCTTGTTCTCTAAATTTACCATGTGCATTTCACATATAACATGAAGACAAAACTCATTCTGTTCTAACGATATGATGTAGTACGTAAGATATCTGTGCCAAACACCACAAATAATACCGAGTGACAAAAGGAAGTATACTAAGTTTGAGTTTTGAGGAATTGAAAACTGGACACGAACTAATGTTATGTGTAAGATATCTGTGTGACTAACAGCTGTCTGTGTGACCGAAAGAGTGACAATGGAATGTCTTAAGTTCTGAAAGAACATTTGTTAAATTCGATTATGGCTATTTAATCATCACTCATTCTTGCAACAGTCTGTAAAAAAGTTATCTGTGGCTGGTTAACTTTGTGTAAAAATACTTCAGTTCAATGAAGGCTTGAGTAAGAAATTCTATGTAACCCAAAAATCCCTACACTGTTTAAATGTTGCAAATTTGGTTTCATTAGCTGAAATTTCCCTCTACAAATTTAAAATATTAGTGAAGGTACTGGTAGGACTTGTAACGACTTCAAGAGTAGTGGATCTATATGTCTATTTTGTCTACTAGTGACGATATGATACAGACTCGTCACGCAGACGAATTTGATCCTTTCATAACAAAAAACATTATGTTCTTAGATTGCCAAGGTTGACATTTGAGGCCCAAGTATTACATCAGTTTTCTCAAGTATTAATTTGCATTTGTTGACAATCACTAACTTTGACAAAAGCTATACATTGTCAGCAAACGGCAAAGTAAAGATTTCAATTTAAGACCTGGTTATACTTGAAAACCATTAAAGCGTGAACAGTTGATTTCAGATGCCAGTACGTTAATGGAAAATGTAAACAGAAAGGGGCTTATGAAACAATCTTGTGTAACACCAGCATGACAATCATCTGAATATATATATATATACACACACACAAAATGTCTAAAATAGTACAGGTGTTCAGTCATAAATATCACATAGATAAATAACAACAGAATGCCTTTTTCTCCAACATGTTTGGTTCTTTACTCTCAATCTCCCTGAAGAGTAAAGCAAGACCATGCTTACTAACAATATGCCACATGTTTTGTCTCTGTATTGAATCAAATGCTTTTGAGAAATCTACACAACATACATAGAATCTAAATATTTACTAATTTCTACTTGAAGGGTAACTTCATTGTGTATGGTAGGTTATAATATAGCTGTTGCTGCATAAAAATGTAACAAGCACCGCTCACACAATTTTCATAAAAATTAAGTGTTGTTACCCGATGTGGCATCCAGAAATACACTTTTCTCATGCAATGGCGGGTTGTAACCAGCGCCTTTTAGAACAGATAGTAACATGGGACATATCAGTGCATCCTGACACAGCTAAGGGATGTAACTCTGCATTAAGGGATGTAATTCTGCAGCAAGGTATGCAACTCTGCATTATGGTATGTAACTCAGCGGCTAAGGAATGAAGCTCTGCAACTAAGGTATGTAACTCTGCAACTAAGTAATGTAACTCTGCAGCTAAGGGATGTAACTCTGCAGCTAAGGGATGTAACTCTGCAGCTAAGGGATGTTACTCTGCAGCTAAGGGAAGTTAGTCTGCAGTAAGGGATATAACTCTGCAGCTAAGGAATATAACTCTGCAGCTAAGGTGTACAACTCTGCCGAGCGGTGTGCTGCGTCGTACAGTCGGTCAAACCATTGGGCGAAAGCAGAACCTAATTATTCCCATTCTCTGTTTACTGTCGCGCACTGTGGCGGATTCGGCTATTTGTGGTAAGGACGACAATGCGAGGGCGCTCGAACAGCCCTTTTGGTGGCCAGCCTGTTCTGTCCTGTTAGTTGTCCATTCAGGGTCGGTATGTTGCATTAATTATTGTATGGATGAGTGTGTACGTGAATAATAATTATCAAGAGCTATGGTTCTCGGATCCATGACTTGTTGACTTAGAGAACCTTTTATGCCCGTGGTCGTGTCACGCCACACTAACTATAACCTCCGAAATAACGTGAATGTACATATGTCCATGCGTGCGTGCGAGCGTGTGTGTGCGCGTGTGCGTGCGTGCGTGCTTGGGTTTTTCATTTTTGACAAAAGAAGACACAGTATTCACAAATACATCTAACATAGCAAGGTAAATACTTCACATGATTTATTCACAAAATCTGAATAGAGAAATAAAACATTCTTTCTAAACATGATAGACATACATGTTTAAATGAATCTTGAGTAGAACTTTAAGCTGTGTTTCTACAAGCGTGTTGGTAGCCTGCATGTCATCCGCATGTACTAGTGTTTCTCGCACTGGCTCTTGAAGACCTCTATTCAGTCTATCACACATACACATATCACAAAATATGATATACCTACATTTTGCATTGTTGGATATACTACACACTCTTTGGTTTATCAGAAGAACTTAGGAAATGACACCAGCATTATGGGGAAGCACTTTGTGTAGGACATGACTGTATTAATACCAACCAAACATAGACCATCTGGATTCGAAGCGTCAGATTGAAGTTCGGGTTATTAATTTATTAAATCAAGAAGAACTTTTCTTGAGCACTGTTCAGTTATGCGCAGTTAAAATGTCCACAGTGTTCGTATATATACACAAGTTGTAGATGTCCACAGTGTTCGTATATGTCCCCTGGTTCCGGTGGCGTTCCTGTCGCCGTCGATGGTGCTGTTGACCCTTCTATGTATGAACGAGGTCCGACAACACCAGCATCTCAAGCTGAGGGTCAAATGACACTGAAACATAGCGTTTTTCAGGTTAAACAGTACCTATATCAATCATATTCTACGTCATATCAGTACCCTGCATATTGTTCCCTGATACAGATTCTGAACAAATTAACTTCATTCCTTCATTCACATGATGAAGGAGTAGGCATATACTCTGAAACGTATTCCTCATAATAAAGAAGTTGACATCCATCAAAAAATGTCATCCTTATGTGTATCATTTCTACATAAATTTTACCCGTGAAGATCCGGGTTAGAATTGATCTCCAGTAACCCATGCTTAGATGAATGAAAGACAACAAGTGCTGTCTCGGGGTGTTCAAAGCAAGGGTAATCCTCTTTTGCCGTACGTATGTGAGTGAGTGAGTGAGTTTAGATTTACGCCGCTTTTAGCAATATTCCAACAATATCACGGCGGGGACACCAGAAATGGGCGGTTTACCCCCACCGCCCAGCTCTACGTATGTACCCGTGAGGATCCGGGTTAGAATTGGTCTTCAGTAATAGGCAAGACTCAAGTTAGCCTATCAATCAAAACCATCAGTATACTGCAAGTTGCTCTCCTAATACTTTCAAGACGCTTGAAAATAATTCCCTGAAAAGGGAAAGATAACTGCGATGCTGGATGGTTTTGTGAACAAAACATGCTAGAATTCTTCATTCAGAGACAAAAGACATTAGTCTCACCAAGGGTGGTGGGGTAACCTAGTGGTTAAAGCGTTTGCTCGTAACGCCGAAGACCCGGGTTCGATTCCGCACATGGGTGCAATGTGTGAGGCTATTTCTGGTGCCCCCCGCAGTGATATTGCTAACATATTGCTGAAGGCGTCCCTCTATGTGATCCCCCTCAAAAGATAAAGCTCACCTGGTCCCGGACAGCAGATGCCCATCTGCAGGTTTCCGGCCCCGATGTCCTGGCACTGGTAGGGAAGGAGCCTCATCCTTGTGTTCTTGATCATATCAAGACGCTCCCCGCTAAACGCTGGACCAGTTCCAAGTCCCTCTGGCCCATTGACCATCCGGAAGATAGCAGGATTCATCTGACCACGTGGGCTCCTTCCCACGAGATAGTCATTAAACATGTTGTAGGGACTAAGTCCTTGAAGTCGAGTTACATACATGCTCTGTTGCATAGCCGGCATTGCACTCTGGGCAAGAACATTCGTCGCACCTAACTTGTTGACTGCATAGCGGGAGCAGGTGAAGTTAGCAATAGGACTGTTAGCGCATCCTGCGCTCATTGCCATGGACGATATGGTACCATCGGGCAGCTTCTGGACTGGGTCAATACAGCCGTGGTTCTCGTACAGCTTGATGATGTTCTTCAGCAAGGTCCTCTTCCTCTCATACAGCGTCATCTGCATCATCAGCCGCGAGTTTTGCGTCATTGGTCTTCCCATACCTGGAGCCCCGGTCCCTCTCATGCTGCTTAGAAAAGATGCCATGCCGCCCCCTGGCGATCCAGCCGGCATTGACATTCTTCCCATGGACATTCCTCCTCTGCCCATAGGGGACATTCCTGCCATGGACATTCTGCTATTGGGTCCCATTCCCATTGACATTCCATTACCAGTTGGCATTCCTTGAAAGGACATCCCTCCCATCGGCATTCCTCCATTTGAAGGCATTCCTCCCATCGGCATTCCTCCATTTGAAGGCATTCCTCCCATCGGCATTCCTCCATTTGAAGGCATCCCTCCCATGGGCATTCCTCCATTTGAAGGCATCCCTCCCATGGGCATTCCTCCATTTGAAGGCATCCCTCCCATGGACATTCCTCCATTTGAAGGCATTCCCATGGTCATGCCACCGTTGGACATTCCTCCATTCGCAGGCATCATCCCCGACGTACCCATGCTCGACACTGGTGGAGTCTGGCTCTGTCCTGTCGGGTTGGTATTTCCTGACTGGCTTGCCATTCGACCTGCCTGCAACTGCGCTGCCAATCTGAGCTGTTCCAGGTACCGACTTAGACCAGGCATTGAGTTGGTGCTGCCACCTGTTGGAATCAACATATTCCATAGGACCAGTTCGCATCTGATTAGTCCGATAACGCAGAGGTAGGGAATATATGGTGTTACATCCCAGCACTCATATAACAGGTTAATGTCCAAGTTTAGACATGCTCGCTCAGCGCGTTAGGGAATAGTGTGGAGAATAAACGCCAGGATATATGTATGAGAGACATGCAGAGACAACCATTGGTGCCAGGAACAAAGAGATGGTGATGCGCGGATTATAAACTCCACAATATTAGGAGACAAAGAAAACGCGATAAATAGGAAGCACAGAAAGGCGGCGCGCTGACTACATGTGGTTATGGAAGAGAGAGAAAACAGGCAGTGGGAAATGGTTGGAAACAGTGTTAGGGAAAGTAGGTGCAATGACCACGTGCAACAAACCTAATGCAGGTGCAAATAGCATGCAAGTACACGCAGTGATACATGGGCAAATAATATGCAAATATCCATATGAACATCTTATATTTATAAATCGGTAACTTATAAGCTTGAGGTTTGAAAAGTACAGTTTAACATTTGCTCTCGAAAAATAAATGAACATCAAATGTTAAAGACATTCAGTTAACATGTTAACTTTAAGATTGTAATTGAGTTTTGCAATTAATTTTGTTCTGGACCAAAGTATTTAAACAATAAGTTTGGTGTAAAAGGGAATAATTAGAACATACCTTCACAGACTGAGTATTGCAATGTGACAGTTTGTGCACGTATATGTTGGTGTGAAGTATCATTGAAGAATTATATAATGTTGCAGGTGACAAAGTAAGTATATGTGTAGATTATGCAAGATCGTAATATACACGCGCATTCAGGGATACATGCGCAGCGCACGTGGACATAACATGCACCATGTACAAATACATCCGCAGCATATATTGTAACTCTAGTGTCACCCTGATGTGGCTTCTGTTGTTCTCAGGGTCTAAACTGACGTTCAAAAGAAAGTACACACCTGCTGCTTTGGTAAAATGTTTTCGTGAAAACAGCATAATATTCAAAAAAGTGTTTTGATTGCGACTCACAAGTCACAAACATTGTGTACGTGTTGCAATAACACCATAGATATCGTACCCAATTGGAACATTGCTAGCAAAATATTTACGTTGTGTTAATAGTCTCAAAACACCAGGAGTGTACTTTCTTTTGTACATCAGTATATATCTACCTACAGCTTGGTGTATTTCAAGTAGCTACATCTCGAAATCATAATGGAGGGACCTACACCTGGGGGGTGGGAATAGTAAGTGTGCTATTGCTTATGAATTAATACAGCATATGACATACTATATAGCAGCCATTGTCGTCCTCAAATTTTGAGTGAGTGAGTATGGTTTTACGCCGCTTTTAGCAATATTCCAGCAATACCATGGTGGGGGACACCAGAAAGGGGCTTCACACAATGTACCCATGTGGGGAATCGAGCCCGGGTTTTCGGCGTGACAACGTACGCTTTAACCACTAGGCTACCCCACCACCCCCTTAAAATTTTGAAATTGCAAGCAATCTGTATGCGTGCTTCGGATTCACTTGGCGGTCCCCATAGCTGAGTGACAGGGTAAGAATGTGTTTTTACAAATAATATGAATGTACATTACAACTATCTAATATGAAACCAGTTGTTACCCCGATGATGCACAAGGTAGACGTCAAGGTAAGCTTTAGTAAGAAATTCTAGGAATCGTGTGCATGTCTTACATTCCCAGTGTTAAGTCCAATGTTATTGGTGGGGGAGGCAGCTTGGGTATATTCGTACTGTGTTGTTAATTAACTGTTGGTGTGGTTAAGGGTTAACTTACCTGAGGGTGGGGCATTCTGACCACCTGGAACAGAGAAATACACATGTAACACTTGTTCATACGAAAAGGTGGTTGGATGTTTAACGCCGCACTCAGCAATATCAGGGGTGGAAATAACTTTAAAATTGCTAGTGTACTCCGGTACAGTGGCAGATGTAAAATCACTTGCCCTGATGATTTTTCCACTATACCGGCCGTTTTCTTGTTGATTCTTTAAATAAACAACATAATTAACATTGGAAAGTCAACTGGACACCGGTACAGTGTGATTTACAAATTTGGTTGCCCGACAGAAAAAAAACGCTGGACTCGGGCGTCGGGCAATGGGTTATTTCCACCCCTGCAATATTCCAGTTATAAATCATCATCAGCATCAAGGAACAATAATTTCGAAGATTATAACTTATATTCTGATCTCGTGAATAAACACAAACATATAAATATTTATTCAAAAAATTTATTCATTCTACTTTATCATAAACATGATCCACCTGTCTTAATCAACACGACATGAGGAACTTGAAACACTTCATGACAGCTGCTTCCAGGAGCTCTGATGAATAATTACGATGTGATGCTCACGTTTGAGAAAGAATGATGTTGATGTTTGTTTGGAACAGAAAGCGAAACAATGTAATTGTCAGGAAGCAATAAACAGTCTTGGGGGAGGCGTGGAGGTATTTAAAAATTATAACTAATTTACATAGAAATATACTTTTTGCGTCAGTCACATTCACTGACATGTCACGAAGCATCAAGTACTGAAATCTCTTCAAAAAGGAAGAAGCAAAAATGTCATCAAAAATATGCAAAATCAAGGTTATTAAACACCTTTTTTTAAAAAAAAAGCTATAAATTTTGGAGAGCATCAGCGATGCCACCATAATGATGAAGCGTGTCTTGTGATGTTGCTGTCGGATGGAGCTGTCAGCCGTCGCGGACAAGACGGATGTGACAGAAAAAGTCTGTCCTGTCACGTCACCGTCATTGTCACGTCCATCAGGTCGAGGTCATTCAATGTCACAGCTTGTCCCAGCGTCACGATTCGGGCTTGTTTTTGATACATCCCACGTTACTCTCGCAATAAACTTTTGAGTTTGGTTCAGCCAAGGAAACAACTTTCCTTGACATCCAACTGACGTGAAGTTGTACATCAACATTTACTGCGTATTTTTGCTAATCCAATAGCTTAACGAAAAAACCCCAAAACATTTGTTCATTTGTATATCACACGTAACTTAATGGACATAGTTTTGTTTACAGTTTTTGCAATGGGGTAGCCTAGTGGTTAAAGCGTTCGCTCCTCACGGGTTCGATTCCCCACATGGGTACTATGTGTGAGGCCCATTTCTGGTGTCCCCCGCCGTGATATTGCTGGCATATGCTGAAAGAGGCGCAAAACTTAACTCACTCATTCACTGTTTACTGTTAGTCATAACAGTGGCTAGCCTAGTGGTTTCAGCACCCGTCACTCGCAAGATCCGGGTTCGATTTCCTACGTGGGTGCATTGTGTGATGCCCATTTCTGGCGTCTTCACCCGTGGTATTTGTGGACTATTGCTAAAGCGACGTAAACTCATTGTAAATCATGAACGTATTGTGAAATAAATGCGACTGGCAACCAACTTTATCACGGCACCGGTGGCCTGCATTTTAAATTGTAATAAATCTGCAAACATTTCAAATGCCATTATAGGCATTGTTTGTGGGTATTGTCTTTTCGACTGAGAAATGGCAGTTACCCCTATTGACCAAAAGCAGGTTCTGCAGCTAAAACTAACATGTATTGGAGAAATAAGTATGGGTTTAACGAGCTTGAGAATATATCTCAGTGACGACGTATGGTGAACGAGCCCAGGCTGAACGCTGAATGATATAATGCCGCAGTGAAGCATGAATTTCACAGACGCATTATTGACTAGCGGACAATATTCCAGCATTATGCACGGCAGGGGGACTAACCAGTAAATTTTAACGTCTTTTGGTATGACGCGGTCGGGGAGAAATAAGTATACAAGAGACTGTGATCTAGTGAATATGGTGAAACGAGTTTGGTGAATGAGTAAGTGAGTGAGTGAGTTTGGGTTTCACGGCACTTTCAACAATATTCCAGCATTATCACGGCTGGGTACACCAGAAATCTACTTCACCCATGTGGAAACTCGAACCGGGTCTTTGGCGTGACGAGCGAACGCTTTAACCACCAGGCTACCCCACCGCCCCGAGTGACTTTTGGTCTAACGCCGTTATCAACTGGTATTCCACGGTGTGTCTGCTTAATGTGGGAAGAAAACCCGAAGTAATGCTGGTCTCACACGTGTATCATTTTCCCGAAACCCACGAGCAAGGATATGGTTCTGACAGACGTACAAACATACGGGATTCGAACCAACAATCATAAGATTCTGGCGTCTCCAAGGGACGCAACTCTGCATAGCGAATGGCGAGATCTCAAAGAACTGAGCCCCCACCCTACGCCCACCACTTCCCCCGGGGTAAAGAGCAAGGTATTTCTTATCCAAATGGGGGCGGTGGGGTAGCGTAGTGGTTAAAACGTTCGTTCGTCACGCCGAAGACCCGGGTTCGATTCCCACATGGGTACAATATGTGAAGCCCATTTCTGGTGTCCCCCACCGTGATATAGCTGGAATATTGCTAAAAGCGGCGTAAAACTAAACTCACTCACTCACTCACTTATCCAAATGTCGTTACACAATTGTCCAGTAGTCCGTACATATGTAAGTGCATAAAAGTCTGTGTTGTACAACAATGTTACTGAGCTGCTTTGAGCGTGTCGTTACAACGTGATGTATGGGAGACAGATGGCCAACCCACTTCACATCGTGCAGGGCTGTCTCCGGTACTGAATCTTATTTAATTTATGACGGTCATAAAAAAGTATAATCTATCTTCAGAGAGCTGCGCTTGCTATATTTCATGCTTCAGTTAAAGCCAAACTATATGTATGAGAAAGTATTTTACATAAACAGTTGTCCGCATATCAGTATGTACAGTATATCTCAACTTCTATGGGGTGAGTGAGTGAGAGTTTTATGCCTCTTTTAGTGATATTCCAGCAAGATCACAGCAGGGGACACCAGAAATGGGCTTCACACATTGTACCCATATGGGGAATGGAAACCGGCCTTCGGCGTGAACAGCAAACGCTTTAACCCCTAGGATACCCCACCTCCCCCAGTTTCTATGGAACAGATGCATTTAGAACATGTCAGTAAGCTTAACATATATTTCATCAAAAGCAAGAACGCGCTCAAGTATCATAGGAAATAAATGATAAATTCGCTTCTCAGAGTTACGTCCCTTAGGTATAGGTCAGTTGAATGTTCCATTCTGTGTGTTTCCTGAATATTTCTAAGCAAATAAGTGAATATCTTTGATCTCCACCGGGTTTTCCTAATCAGTTTTAATGCATTGATCGTTACGTCGTTAAACCCAACTATTTCAAAGTAGAACTTCACAAAGCAATTTCTTTCCATTCAGTTGCATTGTCTTTAAACAAAGCTTCAGTCAAATATCATCATATTGCAGATACAATATTCATTAGTGCAAAAGCCTGAGGGTGCCAGTTTCTCGTTAGTTTTATTAATTGCTAATGTTCTTCGAACGTTCGAGTATTTTCCCGTTTCTTTGATTATTTTTTCGTAATTTCGATTAACTTTTCGTTTCGTCAAGTGTATTTAAAAATCTAAAGATTTCGATCTTTTTATGTTAACTTCTTTGGATCCATTTGCGTTGTAAAACTATTTTCTCACTGATGCGAATATTTTCTCGTATTGTTCATGATATTTCCAGCATTTACTCGCTACTTTAAGTTTAATTCAAAATCTTTAAATTGATTTTTTAGAAAATATCTCTTATTTTTTAAGAGTGAACGACTATCGTGATTAGTTGGTCAGACTTGCTGAATGGATTGATGCGTGTCATCGTATCCCCACTGTCTGGACAGATGCTCATGCTGTTGATCACTATTCTCTGATCCAGACTCGATTATTTACATACCGCGGACAATTAGCTTAAATATAAGTGCGGCGTTAATACAAACAAGCAAACAAGCAAGCTGACAAACAAACAAAAAAGCCCCAAACAAGGCCAGGCACAGAACTTACTTAGTTTTGCTTCAATATAGTGATACTATCGCTACAATTATCACTAGCTATGCTAAAGTATCGGGGCGGCGTGTATCTTAGCGCTGAAATAGTTTCGGGCAACGGGGCACATATAACGTATTCCCTTATAGGGTTAACGTTGTTTTTGCAAAAGGACAGCCAGGACATACCACAAGACACTGTTATTTATCACACGACCTATTCTTATATAACATATATATATATAACATCAAGTAAATGTTTATAAACCTGTTTGTAAAAATAACCCCTTATGAATTCGTAAAGGTACTCTCCTGACAGAAAAGTGTCAAGTGGGATAGGAAGTGATGTATAACACGGACAGAAAAAGCACTTGGATTTTCCGGTGACAAATCTCCTGTCACGGTAATGTAAATTTGACGACATTATAACTTATATTAATACCTACTCCGACCCAGGAAACACAAGTTATTTGTGGACACATAATGGTCATGATGGTCACTCAGACATGATAGCTTCTCTCATGTGCAGTTTTTGCGACACGCCAAAAACGTGTTAACAGAAGTCATAAAATTTAACTCGTGCTCAGCATCAGATGCACTTAACGTGGGAAGTAAACTTTACTGTAGGAGGTAAACTTTTAAGTGGGAAATATTTTACATGTGCGAGGTAAACTGTTATGTTGGAGGTAAACTTTTATGTGGGAGATACACCTGTATGTGGGAGATACACCTGTATGTGGGAGATACACCTGTATGTGGGAGATACACCTGTATGTGGGAGATACACCTGTATGTGGGAGATACACCTGTATGTGGGAGATACACCTGTATGTGGGAGATACACACCCTGTATGTGGGAGATACACCTGTATGTGGGAGATACACCTGTATGTGGGAGATACACCTGTATGTGGGA